AGTTTCCATGGTAATACTGTTTTCCTGGCCTGCCATGTTCTCTCATCTTCCATCTCTAGGACTGGAGTCTACCCTTCACCCTTCCCACCTTCTCTACCTGTCTGCTGAACATTGCCAGAGCAGGTGGAGCATACTTCCTTGTGCCATTATTGTTAGGATTGATCTCATAATTTGCTATAGCCAGGGGAATGTGATTCTACTACAGTGTTTGACATGCAATCAGCATTCATATATGTAAATGAAATGGACTGATGAATTGTGAGAGAAAAAACAAAATTCAGTACCTGTACTGCTAGGAAATTTTGATCTGTGTGCCATTAGTCTGTTTCTTTCCAGTTCCCTCCCCTACTCTCGAGGGGACTGGCCCTTGCAAACTACATCTCCCCGGCTTCCTAATCAGTTGTTCCCAGCTAGATCCAGTCACTCAGAACACTAGCACTGAAAGGAAGAAGCCAAGGCGGTTCTTTCCCTTTCTGTCCTTGGGAGAGAGGATGCGTCTCTAGTAGTGTCTGCTTCTCTTCTGTGTTTCCAGCACCCATTAGCCAGCCCTTCCTTCCCATGGCTTCAGATCTCTCCGTAGGCCACAGGGGTTCCCATTCCCTGAAGGGCCTATGTTTCTGGCTCCAGGGAGGATGGATACATCTGTTTCTGTTCTTCTGTCACTAGAGATATAGCAGCTGACTGCAGTTGCTAACTTCTGAGTTTCCTAACCTTTCCATATTTGCTCCTTCAACTTTTCAGATCCTGGAGTATTTTCTGTGTCAATTTCCCTCTACTGGTTTAATTTTCCAGGCTGGACCCCAATAGATAATCTACTATTATTCTTAACCAACCCATTCAGTATAACACCATGGTTTATTCTTAACCATGGTTGCTAAAGGAGATATATTTATCTTCATCTTTAATTCTTTTTTTTTTTTTAATTTTTTTTTTGACAGGCAGAGTGGACAATGAGAGAGACAGACAGAAAGGTCTTCCTTTTCCGTTGGTTCACCCCCCCCAGTGGTCGCTGCAGCCGGTGCACCGCGCTGATCCGAAGCCAGGAGCCAGGTGTTTCTCCTGGTCTCCCAGGGCCCAAGCACTTGGGCCATCCTCCACTGCACTCCCGGGCCACAGCAGAGAGCTGGCCTGGAAGAGGAGCAACTGGGACAGAATCAGGCTCCCCGACTGGGGCTACAACCCGGTGTGCCGGAGCTGCAGGCGGAGGATTAGCCTAGTGAGCCGCGGCGGTGGCGCCCGGCCCCTTCATCTTTAATTCTTTAAGAGACTTCCTGGGCTGGTGATGTGGCTCACTTGGCTAATCCTCTGCCTGCGGCGCCAGCACCCCGGGTTCTAGTCCTGGTTGGGGCCCTGGGTACTAGTCCTGGTTGCTCCTCTTCCAGTCCAGCTCTCTGCTGTGGCCCGGGAAGGCAGTGGAGGATGGCCCAAGTGCTTGGGTCCCTGCACCTGCATGGGAGACCAGGAGGAAGCACCTGGTTCCTGGCTTCAGATCCGCGCAGCGCCGGGCGTGGCGGCCATTAGGGGAGTGAACCAACGGAATGAAGACCTTTTCTCTCTCTCTCACTGTCTAACTCTGGCTATCAAAAAAAATAAAAAATAATAAATAAATAAAAATAGAGAGACTTCCTGGGAGAAACTCTTCCCTTTGACTTCTTTTCCTGGTATTTTGTGTTACTGGAGATAAGATAGTATCCAGAATATTATCAGCAATTAGAAAGGTTAAGACTGCTCAATATTGTAAATAGGTCAGTTGTTCCTAAACTGACCACAGATTTGATATCATTCCTATCAAAATCCTAGTAGGTTTTTTCATTGAAATTGATTCTTGATTACAAAATGTATATGAACATGTAAAGGACCAAGAATAGCCAGTCCTCCTCTGAAGGTGAGGGGAACTTTTTTTTTCTTTTACAAGAAATCAAGACTTATTAAGAAGATATTACAGAGGAAGCATGGTACTGCTCCAAAGCACCTAGGGCTGACGAGATGGAATGCACCAATGTTCTGGAAGATTCCAGAAATAGGTCCAACCTGTGTGCTCTCACTTTGTAGATTTTTTCAAAGTGGTATTGCAGAGCAGGTGGGAAAGGACAGTCACTTCAGTAAAAATTCCCAGGATGATGATATGGCTAAAAAAATGGTGACTTTTCCTCTATCTCAAACCATGTTTATTCTAAGCCCTGGTTGCTAAAGAAAACACTGCTTTTCCTTATTCATCCTGCTTTGGAAGCATTCCTGAGAAATGCGCCGCCTGATCCCTTTTTCTTTTTCTGGACATGGAGCTCTAAATGTAAGAGGTGAAAATCACAAAACGCTGGCAGAATAATAAAAAAAAAAATGAGAAAGGAAAGCTAAGACTGAATGTGGGAACTCGCTGCAGGCCAGGGCTGCCTTTTTTTTTTTTTTTTTTTCCAAATCCAATTGACAACAATAAAAAGGTCTTTCCTAAGTCAGGACTTGCCTTGATGAGAAACAAACAACTGAAGCCCTGTCTGAGGAGCCACAAGTTGACATTAACATTATTGAGCCTTGCATTTTCAAGGGAGGAAAGAGAGAGAGAGAGGAGGAAAAGAGAGAGAGAGAAATCGCTGGAAAACCAGGCGGCAGATGCTCCTGGAAGGTGGAAATTTTCAAGAACTTTTGGCAATCAGTGCATTTGAAAGAGCAGTTGGAACTCTTACATAATCCATTTCAACAGCAGAAGACTCATAGATTTACACCCAGAGAAGGGCCTTCACTCGTCTTTGTCTCTACCCGCTGATTTATTGAACACTCTTTTGTGTCCCAAAACTCCGGTTTTTTATGTTTAAAAGAATTTTACATTTCAGAAAAATGCAAAATTGTATAAAAAGTCTCATAAACTTTACACCCCCAGTTCCCCAAATGTTAACATTTTGCCCTACTTGCTTTTGCCTTCTCTTTTTTCCTGTCTCTAACTCTACATTCGTTTTAAAAATTGAGAATAATTGCCTTTAGATACTTCAATGTGCATTTCCTAAAAGCAAAGACATTCTCACAACTACAGTATCATTCTCAAAATCAAGAAATCAATATGGGGCCAGTGCTGTGGCATAGCAGGTAAAGCCTGCAGTGCTGGCATCCCATATGGGTGCTGGTTCAAGTCCTGGCTGCTCAACTTCTGATCCAGCTCTCTGCTATGGCCTTGGAAAGCAACAGAAGATGGCCCAAGTCCTTGGGTCCCTGCATCCACGTGGGAGACCTGGAGGAAGCTCCTGATTCCTGGCTTCAGATGGGCATTGCTCTGGCCATTGTGACCAACTGGGGAGTGAAACAGCAGATGGAATACCTCTCTCTCTTTGCCTCTCCTCTCTCTGTGTAACTCTTTCAAATAAATAAATAGATCTTAAAAAAACGAAATCAATAATAACATGATTATATAATCTGTAGACTTTACTCAGATTTTACCCATTGGCCCACTTATATCCTTTTTAAGACTATTTTTAAAACATTAATTTATTTTCAGTTGGTTTGAAAGGCAGAGAGACAGAGATCTTCCATCTGTTCATTCACACCCCAAATATCCCTAACAGCCAGAGTTGGGCCAGGCTGAAGACCAGAGCCCAGAACTCAATCTAGACCTCCCATGGAGGTGGCAGAGACCCAACTACTTGAGCCATCATCTGCTGTCTCCTAGGATGATCAGCAGGCAGCTGGATCGGAAGTGGAGTAGCAGAATCACAAATCAGGCACCCTGATATGGAATGCTGGTATCCTAAGCAGGGACTTAACCTCTGTGACAAAAGCGTGCCTCAAGTCTATTTTTTTTAAAGGTGTGGTGAAACTTTCTTTTTCTTTTTTGAAGGAGTTATTTATTTATTTGAAAGTCAGAGTTCCACAGAGAGAAGGAGAGGCAGAGAGAGAGAGAGAGAGAGAGAGAGAGAGAGAGGTCTTCCATCCGCTGGCTCATGCCCCAGTTGGCTGCAGTGGCCAGAGCTGTGTTGATATTTTAAAAATATTCTGTGGCTACGGTCTTGGTGTAATAATTCCCAGGCTTTTCAGGGAAATATAGCTATCCATGTAGCCCATGCTTAAAGAATTTGAGCCGCATTAATTTTCAGGAAAAAGAAACTGAAACCTCCTTTTACTTGAGCATACAGGCAGCCTCCTTCCTTGAACGCAGAGACCACGAATGAAGGCTCACTGTGTTCCATAAAGCCTGTGTTGTAGAGATCATTTCTCTTCTGTGCAGGGCATTGCTGGTTCCTCGTTAGGATGAGGGAATCTAGATCCAAAATACTTTGGAAGAGGTTTTCACCTTTCTCTCACACATACTAAAAATACTTTGCTGTTTCTGTGTTAAAGCTGGAGAGAATGGACAGGGCTTACAGGATGCACCAGTTCCTACAAATGGGTTATTCCCTGCCTGCCCCTGACACTGGCTGTGTTGTAAAGGAGCAGAAACTAAAGGGTAGCCACCCAGAAAGGGGGTTGGTTACATAAATTCTAGTGTAACCATGCAATGTGATACAGCACAGTCATTCCAAAGACGCAGCAGCATATGTTGCAAGTAAGCCACACAAACTGGTTAAGTCGCGTTGACTCCGCAGGGGGACTGGACAATTTGAAAACTGGAGAGATGGGAGACTTTTGAGGTAAATCCATGGTGCCATCTGATTTTATTTTTAACCAAATATATATGTTATGTATTCCGAGAAGGAGGGAGGGGAGAAAAAAAGCGAGGAGGGGAGAGAGAGAGAGAATGAATGAATCATGGATAGATATCAAGACCAAAAGTTTTAAGGAACAGCAGGTCGCATATTCTCCGGCTGCATCTTTTGTTATTAAAGTCATCGTTCCCTTTTCCACTTCCTCGACCTGGGCAGGAGTCTCTTCCTCAGTTAGGTAGTGGAGACACACATCGGACTGTCACGCACGCCCTCTCTGCAGAACCGCACGCTTGTGCATGCAGCCTCCCGCGCACGCTTTTAGAACTGGAGGTGGTTGCGGAGGAGGGTGGTGGTGGAGGTGGGAGATACGCGCAGGCTCTGCAGACCAAGCAAGTAGAGCTCGCTTCTTCTGCTGCCTCGGGGCTGCACCACCTGCCCTCTCCCTTCCCATCCCTCCGCCCATCTTACTCCCCTCCCCCGCCCCCGACCCTGCGCACCCAGGCGCCTGGACTGGCGTAAATTTCCGCCTACTTGCGCCGCCGCCCGGGGGGCTGCTTCGTGACGTCAGGCCAAGCGAGGGGGTGCCGCCTCCTGGCTGCCCGCTCCTCCCGGCCCCGCGGCCCCCGCCTGCCCTTTAAAAGAGCGGAGCCTGCGCCTGCCGCGCCGCACCGCGGGGACCAGGACGCACGGCTGCTTTCCCGGAGTACCTCCATCTCGCCTGCCCTAGGCCCCTGGCCTCCTGGATCCAGCCGCATCCTCTTTCCGCCCAGGTTGAGGCGAGCGGGACAATGCTGCGTGCCGTGCTTCTCAGCCTCCTGGGAGCCGCGGTGCTGGCCGGTGAGTGGGCGCGGCGGGCCGTTCAGCACCGCGGACAGCGCCATCCCCGGTTCTCCTCGCAGCTCTCGGGGCATCTGGGCGCGGGATCTGGGAGACTGGCAGGTGCACTGGCAGATTTCCCGTCCTTGCTAGAGGGTCTCCGCTTCTTGTTCCTGGGTTTCCCTTCAACTGCCTCCCCTCCCCACCGATTGACTCGGTCAGCCTGGAGAGTCTGCCTTTTCCTATCTGAGTTTTCCTGTAGATAGGAGGAAAGCGTGCCGCACCTCCAAGGAAACCCACATTTTGTGCTCACTTTAGGATGTCAGCTCTCTCTCCCCGTCTAGGGACACTGAAGCCTCATTCTGTATCTAATTTACTCTTTAAAGACAGGTGACCACAGAGAGGCAGGAATATATGTAGTATGGTATCAACTGGCCTCTGCATATTGTCCTTTATTATTTTTACTATCTCTGTGATATCAACTTGAGGAAGGAGAAGTGAGTCCCATTTGCACATAGGATATGCCTTTTGAGAAACGTTTGTATATAATATATCTGTATGTGTATGTGTGCACAGGTTTGTTCTGTTTCTGTATTTTGTATTTTCATCTGCAGAAAGAGGTAATGTCACACTCCAACTATTTTAAAGTTATGAATGGAAACTGCAATAGACATTTTTTACTGTTATACTCCATAAAGATAATTAGGGTATAAAGTAACTACAAAAGGGTCTTTGGAGTAGTAAAATAAAAATGATTCAGTCCATTCAGGAGTATGACATTTTAAACCGCTGATTTTTGATATGTGTGAAAGACTGGGATTACTGTTTGAGACTACTCTGAATCTCAAAGAAACAATATCTTCAGGTGTGTGTGTGTGTGTGTGCGTGTGTAACAATATTCTGTGTCTTGAGAGTGCTGAGATGTATGTATACCACCATGAATTGAAGTAGAGGTTTTCTGTGGTTTCTTGAATGATCTATAGCAAATTGTATCTGAAGTTGAGATTCCTAACTAGAGTTAAAATATTGCCATCTATTATCATGAAGCTTTCATTAACAAAAATTACTCAATCCAAAATTTAGAGATGGATTGAAAGCCAATGGCAATTTATTTTACTGCAAACTACATATATTCAAAATTTTTCTAAGATTTTATTTTTATAATTTGCTAATTTTCTCAATTTAATTAAAATTAATGATTTAGAATTCTTTCTAGTCAAAGCATTTTCAGAAAGGAATTGTTTAAGAGGTTGAAGCTGTGCTGCCTATTTTTGCTGTAGACCTCAAAAACTGACATTTGTGGGATTAATTTAACTGTGATGATAAAATACCTACAGCTCTCTTATGTAAGATAATGTCTTAACAGCAACAGAATGGGTACATGATATTCTTTTAAAACATTTTTTGAGCTGTAATTTACACACCGTAAAATCCACACTTTTAAAGTGTGTAATTCAGTGGTTTTTAGTATATTCATGCATTGTGTAACCAGCAACGCTATCAAATTTCAGAATATTTCTATCACCTCAGAAAGACACCCTGTACCTATTAGTAGTTATCTTTCCATTCTCCTCTGCCCCCGGCCTCTGGCAATGAGATATGAGTACCTTCAAGTAGAATTTGTTATTTAGCAAAATCACAAGGTTAAGAGAAACCTCAGGAAACCATTTAGTTCATCTTCCACCATTAAAAGCTTCAAGAGGGAGATCCACAACCTTCTGTGGTAGCTGCTGCGTACTCTAAAAGTTAATATGAATGAAGTAGCTACACGATATCTACATTATATTAGGTAAGATGGTTTCTGCCATTCAGATTTTGCTGGCCTGCATGTTATAAGAAGAACTTTGGGTCTTCATAGCTTATTATTAGAAAAGTTTGTTTAATCTGTTTTACAGCTATTATTTTTAGTCTGGGATCAAATCATAATCATAACATATAGTATTAATACTTGAGAAATTATTCTCAGATTTATTATATTATTTCTACCACTTAATGACTTCACTTTTAACATGAACATTGTTTTCTTTTGTGATCCCGAATCTTATTGTATAGAAAAGTAAGTTAAATTGCTCTATGGCAGTCAACATGTCTTTGGCTATTACATTGCTGTCACAGATTCTACTGCAAGAAATACAGAAGCATTTAGATGTCTCACCAAGAAGCATAACATGCTTTCACAGGCAGACCCTTGTTTCTTTACATCAAAAAGTACATCAAAAAGAGGTCTGAATAGTATCAGAGAAATAGGATTTTTCTGTAATTACAGGTAAAAGCTACAAATTTTTTAAAAGTATAAAAATTTCTCTTCCATAGATATGAGAATTTTTAATACTGACACTTTAGCAATGCCAGCAGGTAATAAAAGCATGTATTTTACATTTGTGGGGAGGAAAAAAGAGAAAAATATTCACACAAAACTCAGTTATCAAAGAAGGTTTAGTAAAGCTTCTAATTTCTTAGGGGAGTAATTCTCTCATGGTTATTGTTTTCCAGAGGATGTTTTTAAAAAGCAGGTTTCAAGTGGAAAGAGAAAGCACCAAAGTAGGTGTGTTCTTGAGAAAGACTATTTTAGGCATAAAAGAATGACCTAGCATATGGACCCTGTGTCCTAAAGGTAGGCCATCTGGATCCTGTCTGAATTGCTTTTAGGAAAAACTTGGAGTCTTTGTGGATTGCCAGCCACTCCTCAAGCATTTTATAATTATTCTAATAGGCTGGATAACTCTGGGCCTCTTGGAAGAATTGGAATATATTCCAGGTCATGCTTTGAAAAAGATATCTTAGTAAAGTGAATAAATCAAATAGCTGTTCTATTTCTGAGTTGCTCCCTGGTATGTAATTAATTTGAGGGGCCAGTTATGGAGGCTTGGAGAGCAAAGCATTTTGGGCAGAAAGGTCAGGTTGCAGGTCATAAGCAATCTGCATTGAGTAGCTTCCATGTCTGATGTCTGGAGGTTTTGTTCTTGGCCCCGCTAGTTCTTCTTTTGCTTCAGGAACCTAGAATAATTTTCTGTACTGGGTGTCTTCCACCATTACAGACTTGTCTACTTCAGGGGGTGCCAGGAGAACTGTATGGATGGATCTATATGTTAATGCAATGAGTTCCTCTAGTAGAAAAGGTTTAGACATAAGAAAGGATGAAAGATAAAATAATCAAAGCAGTGTTAAGAGAGAGAAAAAAAATGGCACTGAAAATTTTAAAATACCAGAAATATTTCCTAAGAATACAAAGGCACTTCACATGCTTTATTTTTTTTTTTTAAGATTTATTTATTTGAAAGACAGTCACAGAGAAAGGTGGAGACAGAGAGAGAGCGAGCTCTTCCATCCGCTGGTTTACTCCCCACATGGCTGCAATGGCCATAACTGAGCCGATCTGCAGCCAGGAGCCAGGAGCTTCTTCCAGGTCTCCCACATGGGTGCAGGGACCCAAGGACTTGGGCCATCCTCTGCTGCTTTCCCAGGCCCATTAGTGGAGAGCTGGATTGGAAGAGGAGCAGCTGGGAGTTGAACTGGCACCCATATGGGATGCCAGTGTTGTAGGCCAGGGCTTTAACCCTCTGCACCACAGCACCAGCCCCATTAATGCTGTTTTAAGATAGGTAGAATCTCATGGCATTTGACTTAAATAAATTAAAATTTTTCTTTTTACAGTGTTCTCATAAATCAGTTGCTCAACACTGATGTGCATATGATATTATGGACTTGATGCTGTCCTAGGAGAATTAGGAAACTTCTAGGTTCTTTAATGGTTGCAGTCCATGTAGGGGAGGGTAAGCACATTGATGTAGCTGCATCTGTAACCTTTTCAGGCAAAGGTGTTGGGGTGAAAAACGAGGTAATTATTTCACAATAACCATGTTTCAGTGAAGGAAATGAGTTTAGGAGAGGATGTGTTGTTGGGAATGGAAATAGGCAAAGGGGACCACAGATCTTTACCTGTTTGTTGTAGACAGAAGGGAAAGGAGGGGGACTGGCCCTGTGGCACAGTTGGTTAAGCCATTGCCTGCAGGGCAGCATTCCATATGGGTGTTTGTTTGAGTCTCAGCTGCTCTATTTCCAATCCAGCTCCCTGCTAATGTGCCTGGAAAAGCAGAGGAGGATGGCCCAAGTTTTTGGTCCCTGCCTCCCATGTGGGAGACCCAGAAGCTCCTGATTTCTGGCTTTGGCCTGACTGAGCTTTGAGTATTGTGGCCATTTGGGGGAGTGGACCAGCAGATGGAAGATCTCTCCCTGTATCTCTCTCTTTGCCTCTGCCTCTCCTCCTCTGTAACTCTGCCTCTTAGATAAATAAATATTCTAAAAACAAAAACCAAAAAAAAAAAAAAAAAAAAAAAGGAAAGGAAAGGTGGAGGGTGCCTTCGTTCTATCTAGACTTGGTTTGTTTTAAACTTATATTAAAGTATAACATACAGGAAACTATATATAGCCTAATGAATATTTCAGAAAATTGAGTATACCTATGTAACCAGCAACCAGCTCAAGAAATTCTCTGTGTTCTGGACTTGATTTACATTGGATGCTAGATAGCGTTTAGATATTGTTTCAGACATTGCTATGGGAAAACAATTTTGTTTGATTACATGTGTGTGAGTTCAGCTGGGGTAAGTGTGGTTGCTGTAGAAGGCATTCCCAACTGTCTGCTACCTGGTCAGCTCTAATTCTGCCCCCTCTCCAAGTAATGTGGAGTGATTTTGTGAGTCTGGGTTCACACAGCTTCCAAAAATCAACTTAAGTCATTTGTCATTCTTTTTCTCCTTCAAAGCTGTCAGTGCTGTGCCAGTGGATAACAGAAACCACAATGAAGAGATGGTAAGTAGAACTGTCAGCCTGGAATCTGTTAGATTCTCCCACTCCCCATCATACCAAATCAAACACACACACACACGCACACACACACATAGCTGGACACAGTCAGGTTTTCCTCACTGAGAATATGTCTCCTGAGCAGTGCTTTTCCATTCTTCCTGGATAGTTTAGTGGCCCTGAGGACAGCTGTGTTAACACAGCATTGTCTTTCATTGTCCTTGTTCAGAAGTGGGTGTTTATTCCCCTTCCCAATTCAGTGCCTTCTTGTATCATTCTGTGTAGAGGCTGAGAGGTTTATGGTCCTCCAAACCTGGCTCCTCGCCCACAGATCCCGCATCAGTACAGGTTGCACAGGCTGGCCTCTCTTCCTTGACTTGAGCAGTCAGTCCATCATCCCAGGGGCATCAGTTTTTCCAACTGCTTTTGGGTCTTCTCCAGGTTACTCGCTGCATCATCGAGGTTCTCTCAAGTGCTCTGTCCAAGACCAGTGCTCCACCCATCACCCCTGAGTGCCGACAGGTCCTGAAGAAGAGTAAGTGCCCCGCCTGCAGGCGCTGCTTTGTCCCTGCAGTGACTTTTCTCTTGCGCCCTCCCTGTCACCTTCCATTTTACCTACACAGGACCTGATTGGGGTGAGGGGGTGCAGAATATGGCAGTAAGAGTGTTGACTGGCTGCACTGGTGTCTGGGAAGATAAAGGTTCCAGTCCCTGCTCTGCCACTTAGAGTGGGACTCTGGGGAAGGCACCTTGCCTCTTGGGCTTACTTCTTTGTACCAAAATGAAGGAGCTGGACTCTGTCATAGTCTTGGAGATCTGTAACAGCTTGGTTCCATATTTTAGAATGGGCCTTCATTTTGATGGAAGGCAATGTGGGGAATGCTTATATGTGATTCATTGAGGAGGGGGTCCTGGGAGTGGGGAAGATAAAAGGATAAAGAGAGAGTGAAAAACTGCTCTTCTCATTGCTTTCTCCTCTTCTGACAGCTGGAAGTTAGAAGCTTAGAAGTGTGGCTTGAAAATTCCCAGCCTGCTTACACAATAGATTAGTTATGACATTTCAACACAGAGCTTATTAGAATGGAAGGTACTGCCAGGTGGGACCAGGAGCTCCAGGCCCAAGGACTAGAAGGCTTTAGGATAGAAATAGAGTATCCCAATGAGTCAGACTAAAGGCCTTTGGGAAGTCTTCTTTATATTAAATAGCTTCTGTGGAAAACAAAATCTGAACAGTGAGATAAGCAGTATCCACTGGGAATTGACATTATGAGACCAACCAATTTTACAAAGCCACGCAGTCTCTTCTATGCATGAAGTCAGACTGGTCTAAATGAATCCAGGAAACAGTGCTTTTTTTTTCTCAAGATTTATTTATTTATTTAAAAGTCAGAGTTACAGAGACAGAAGAGGCAGAGATAGAGAGAGAGGTCTTCCATCCGCTGGTTCACTCCCCAATTGGCTGCAATGGCCGGAGCTGTGCCAGATCCAAAGCCAGGAGTCAGGAGACTCCTCGTGGTCTTCCCACATGGGTGCAGGGGCCCAAGGACTTGGGCCATCTTCCACTGCTTTTCCAGGACATAGCAGAGAGCTGGATCAGAAGTGGAGCAGCCGGGACTCAAACTGGCTTCCATATGGGATGCTGGCACTGCAGGCAGTGGCTTTACCCACTACACCACAGCACTGGCCCCAACAGTGCTCTTTTTAACATCTTCCTCTGCTTTTAACTTTTCAGTCAAGCTCGGAACAGCTTGACTTTTTTTTCCTTTTGCTTCTTAAAATCTCTCATTGCAAATCTCTGTTATTGTTGCTGCACATGAGCCCTCATGCATAACATGATGACAACAAGTAATGTTAGAAATTGGCCAGAAGAGTGATCCAGGGTAACTTAAACCACCTTTGGGGATTTCAAGGTAAGGTGTTGGGCCTCAGCCTTTGGGAATCAACTTTTAGAGGATGGAAGCTTTCCTACAACCTGGCCCATACACCTCTTTCTGAATTTTTCTTTCTGGCCATTACAACGAGTGACAACAGAGCAGGTCTCCAAACAGCAAATCCCTCTTGCTATTTGCCTTTTTCTTTTTGTTTACCTGATGGATGCAAAAGTGAGAGGTCATTTTAGGTCACCAAAAGAACCAGGATTGCTTAGGAAATGGTATCTCATATGGGCTTTTAGGTTCCTGGGGTCTTTTGATGTCTCTTGAGAGAGTCTTAGGAAACCAGTAAAAATAAGATGACCCATGTTATAAGGACCCTGGAGGCACTGTACCCATAGAGACATCAGACCCTGAGATGGGGAGGGTGTGAGAGCTCCTCTGAGGTTGCAGCCTTGAACCCCAGCCAGAGCTACACAGATGATAACATAAAGGAGTGCAGCAGAACAGGAAATGACTCACAAGCTGGAAGACATTAATCCCTTCCTTGGTGGGGAGCAGACACTTCTCAGCTCTTATCCTATAGTGCAGAAATACAACCCTCTCACCAGATCTTGAGATTTTTTTCAAAACATTTAAATGTTTATTTTTTTAAGCATCACCTCTGGTATTTGGAATTTGAATTTCCTGAAAATGCTGTTTAGAACTCACCCCTGGGCTCCAGGGTGCAACGTCTGTCTTACTCCAGTTTTCTCTGTCTTGGTAATCTGTCCTCTGTTGATCAGAAGACTCTGGAGCTGGTAGCCACCTGGGGGGAGGGGGTGGCCAATTCCTTCATGCAGCCTTCATCCCACCTCAAGCTCATATCCACTCCCCCTCTCTCCTGCATGTCTTTTTTCAAAAGTATTTTTCAGTTTAATTTCATTTATTTGAAATGCTGAGAAAGAGACAGACACAGAGAGATCTTCCATCTGCTGGTTCATCTCCCAAATACCCACAACAGCCAGGGCTAGGCCAAGCCACAGCCAGAAGCCTAGAACTCCATCTTGGTCTCCCACAATGGTGGCAGGAACCCAAGTACTTGAGTCCTCATTGCTGCATCCCAGGATGCACTTTCATGGAAACCTGGGATTGGAAGCACAGCTGAGACCTGGGCTCAGGCACTCCAGTAGAGAATGTGGGCATCCCAAGAGGCGTCTTACTGCTGTGCTACATGCCCCCTCCTCCTGCGTGTCTTGAGTTAGGATGCACTCATTGAGCAAATGAGCATTTGGAGAGTAAGAGAGAATCATTGTTTTATGGCTGGAAGGGGCCTCATGGAATATACACCATCCAATTTCTTCACAAGAACAAAAATTCTCTTCGGTTGGGGTTGCTTTGGTGGTCCTTGTAGCACAACAGTTAGGGATGACAGGTGCACTTCCCCCCATGAGCTCCCCACCTTGATTTTATAGATTGACAGTGACTGTGTGCTGCTAATCATAGCCCTTTTCCAATCTCACCTGCAGGGCTGATAGCTAAATTTAGAAAGAAGTGCTAAGCCTTAGGCACAAGCTGCTATAGACAGAACACACTTAACTGGGAAAAAAATAAAAACACTCTGTTCCTGGCACTAAGACCCCACATACCCACCTGGCCCTGTGCGTCTGGAGGCTGGGATCCTGTCTGATCAGCTCCATGTCAGCTGACTCTCAGATGACATCAGTGTCTGCCCAGAGAGAGCTCAGACTGCTATAACATACCTCCAGGATACTATCATTTTAACATATAATTGACAGAAGAAACCATTGAGAGATTTTTTTAAAGGCAAATCAGGTCTCTTTTTTTTTAAGATTTATTTTTTTATTTATTTGAAAAGCAGGGTTACAGAGAGGACGAGGCAGAGAGAGAGATATCTTCCATCCACTGGTTCACTCCCCAAGTGGCTGCAACGGCTGGAGCTGGGCTGATCCAAAGCCAGGAGGCAGGAACTAGGAGCCTCTTCCCGGTCTCCCATGCTGGTGAGGGACCCAAGGATTTGGGCCATTTTCCACTGTGTTTCCAGGCCACAGCAGAGAGCCCGATCAGTGGAGCAGTTGGGACTTGAACTGGCACCCACATCAGATACTGGCACTGCAAGCCGGGGCTTTAACCCACTGTGCTACAGTGCCAGTCCCACCACTGATAGATTTTTTTTTTTTTTTTTTTGACAGGCAGAGTGGACAATGAGAGAGAGACAGAGAGAAAGGTCTTCCTTTTACCATTGGTTTACCCCACAATGGCCGCTGCGCCGGCACACCGTGCTGATCCAAAGCCAGGAGCCAGGTGCAGGGCCCAAGCACTTGGGCCATCCTCCACTGCACTCGCGGGCCACAGCAGAGAGCTGGACTGGAAGAGGGGCAACCGGGACAGAATCCAGCACCCCGACAGGGACTAGAACCCAGTGTGCCGGTCCGCAGGTGAAGGATTAGCCTATTGAGCTGCGGTGCTGGCCAAGAGATTTTACACTCTTTTTTTTTTTTTTTCCTATGAAGTCTTAGAAATCTTGGACAGCATGATTCCCCATCTGGACCAAGCACATTTGTGGCTCCTGCAATGGATGGTGCAGATTTAGACCCAAGGCAGGCAGTGATCTTGGCCTTAGGCATTCTGGCTGTGTTATCAGAGAAATTGCAGGGTTCTTGTCTTCGCGCAAGAAAGAATTCAGGCGTGAGACAGAGAGTAGTGGGAGGTAAAATAGCAAGGTTTATTAGGGAAGGGACATCCATAAGGATGGATGGGCACCTCTCCAGACAGCCTGAGAGACTGGGGTGGGGTGGGGGGGGTGGAGGTTACATGGTTGAGTGGAGAGATTACACCTGGCCAGACCAGGCGGGCGGCTCAGCAGAGAGGCAGAGCGTGCAGTCTGGTTAAGGCCGGGGGTTTTTAAGGAGATGGGTCTTTGTCTTCACACATCTCCTCCTGAAACAAAGGATTTTATGGCTGTAAATATTAAGCTCCTATCTGAGTTTTCCCTTGAAGGTATCAGACAGGAGGAAGCCTAGCTGGCGCCATCCTGGGTTCAGAGGAAGGGTGAGCAGGACCCCCTAGAGAATGGGGATCCGGAGCAGGGTGTTTGAAATGCAGATACTGGACTGCACCTGGGAGATTGTGGAAGATTTGTCAGGCAGAAGGGGCGGGGACCCCACCTGGCAGGTTATCAGGTAGAAGGGGGCAGGGCAGGATGCGAAAACCGGGCTGCCCCTGAAACATTGTCAGGGTGACTTTGAGATGCAGATGCATATGCTGGACATAGATGTCTTCTCTTTAGGCCTTTATGTCACACACACATAAGCTCATAACTGACTTCCTACCTAACAGCTGAACTCATTGACATGGGTTGAAATCCAAGCCGTTGCGCTGTGGCGCAGTAGGTTAATCCTCTGCCTGCAGCGCCAGCATCCCATATAGGCACCAGTTCTAGTCTTGGTTGCTCCACTTCCAGTCCAGCTCTCTGCTATGGCCTGGGAGAGCAGTGGAGGATGGCCCAAGTCCTTGGGCCCCTGCACTCATGTGGGAGACCAGGAAGAGGTGCCTGGCTCCTGGCTTCGGATCAGCATAGTTCCGGCCGTTACAGCTATTTGGAGAGTAAACCAACGGAAGGAAGACCTCTCCCTCTCTCTTTCTCTCCCTCTCCCTCTCTCCCTCTCACTGTCTGTAGCTCTACCATCAAATAAAATAAATCTTTGAAAGAAAGAAAGAAAGAAAGAAAGAAAGAAAGAAAGAAAGAAAGAAAGAAAGAAAGAAAGAAAGAAAGAAACGCAAGCCCTTCTATCTAGTGACTGAGACAGTGTTGGCTGTATATCCTTTCATGAGTGAAGGGGGAGTCAGCGAAGGAGCTGCTGGAATTTGGAAAAGATGGAAAGAGAATAGCCTTCCATTAAAATATCAGTTTTACCATCTGCTGCTGACTCATGAAACAAAGACACCTCAGCCAAGGAAGTTTATCCTCAGTGTCTGAGAACACATTTGGCCAAAGGACCTGGGTGAAGGAAGAAATGGTCCTTCCCGCTGCAACCAATGCCTGAGTTATGTCATCACTTCCTGTGGCGTTAAGTCTGCACAGCTGATTGAGTAATATACTCCAGATACACTAATAATTAAAAATTTTTAAATTCTCCTTTGAATGTTGATTATTTCTCATTTTGGCTATTTAACTTTGCTTATCTAGATTTTGGTTGGAGTCATTGATACCATGGTAACTATGTAAACCCCACATAGAGTAAATATGGAAAGAACGGTCCCTAATTATATTTCTCTGAGTCTCGTCTCAATGTCTATGGAAAGAGGAGTTGCTCTGGTTCTAAATTCTGATGTTTCATAATTCTATATCTGGCTTTCAATTTGGTTATGGATACTACAGATGAAATGCTGGTCAGATAGTATGGAAACATAAAAATATAGAGTGTATTATTAGATTGAAAAAAAGCCTGAGGCCAGTGTTGTGGTGTAGCAGGGTAAGCTGCCACCTGCAATGCCAACATCCCATTATGGGTGCCAGTTGCTGCACTTCCGATCTAAGTCCCTGCTAATGCGCCTGGGAAAGCAGCAGAGGATGACCCAAGTACTTGGGCCCCTGCACTCATGTGGGAGACCTGGAAAAAACTCGTGGTTTTGGCCTGGCCCAGCCCAGGGCCATCTGGGGAGTGAACCAGTGGAAGAAAGATCTCTCTCTCTCTCTGTATCTCCCTCTCTCTGTGACTCTGTGTTTTAAATGAAATAAAATAAGTCTTTTAAAGAAAAAACAGCCAAGGGACTTTTATAGCATTTGCTTTTAAAAGGAATCTGAGGATATTCTTTATTAATTGAAAAAATTATCCAAGAAATTTTCAGTGTCCTCAGGATTTGTAGTGATTGCTGAGGCTAGTGCTTATTGAATTAGAAACAGTTTTGAAGTTATACTTACTCTTGTATTCTCATTATAGGTGGGAAAGAGGCCAAAGATGAAGAGAAGAGTGACAATGAAAACACCAAGTTCGAAGTCAGATTGTTAAGAGACCCAGTTGATGTCTCGGAAGCCCACAGGCCCTCGAGTAGAGAGGAAGCAGGAGCCCCAGGGGAGGAGGACGCCCAGGGCCCAGCAAAGGCAGACACAGAGAAATGGACAGAGGGAGGCGGGCACAGCCGAGAGAGCACAGCCGAGCCTCGGGGCAGCCCCCACCCCTCCGACAGTCACCTCTCCAGAGAAGCCAAGATGAGTGAAGAAGAAGAGGGAGCGAATGATGAGAAGGAGGGGCGTGGGGAAGATGCCAGTGAAGGGAAACACCCGGAAGAACCAGGAGAGACACAAAACGTCTTTCTCAACAAAAGAAACCAGGCATTGGCTAAGAAAAAAGAGGCATTAGCGGCCAGGTGGGACACACACTCTGCTGGACCCTCTGAGGAGAAGACACACAGCAGGGAGGGCAGCCAGGAGAGTGGAGAGGAGACAAGGAGCCAGGAGAAACACCCCCAAGAGCCAAAGAGCCAATCCCAGAGCCAGGAAGAGTCGGAGGAAAGCGAGGAAGACGCTACCTTGGAGGTGGCCAAACGACGCATGAGGCCCAGACACCACCACGGGAGGAGCAGGCCTGACAGGTCTCAGGATGGGAATCTGCCCTCCAGGGAGGGCGAACAAGCCCCTGAAAGATCTGAGGAGGCTCACGTGGGCATGGCCAGTGTGGGGGAAAAGAGGGACCACCACTCAGCTCACTTCAGGGCTTCGGAGGAACAGCCAGACTATGGGGAAGAAGTGAGGAGTTATCCAGGTGTCCCGGCTTCTGACGCTGTGGAGGGGGAACAGCACAGGGGCAGAGGGAGTGAGGAGTACAGGGCCCCAAGGCCTCAGAGTGTGGCGAGCCGGGAGGAGGACAAGAGAGGCCACCCCAGCTTGGAGCACAGATACAGTGAGGAAGCGAGGGGCGGTGAGCAGGGGAAGGGGCCGCATCACAGAAGCAAGGGAGGCCAGCTGGCTGCCTCTTCTAACGCCAGGGAAGAGGAAGGGTTCTTGGGGGAAGGGCACCACCGTGTTCAGGAGAGCCAGATGGATGAGGCAAGGAGACCATCACAAGGGGACTGGAAAGAGCAGGACAGAGATTACCCCAACTATGGAGAGGAAGGAGCCCGTGGGAGGTGGCAGCAGCCAGAGGACCTGCAAGACCCTAAAGCAAACAGGGAAGAAGTGATGCTTCGAGACAAATACGGCCCCTACCCCAGCACGCAAAAGAAGAAGAGGTTAGGGGGGCTGTTCAACCCCTACTTTGACCCTCTCCAGTGGAAGAACAGCCGCTTTGAGAAAAAAGACAGCATGGATGACAACTTTCTTGAAGGTGAAGAGGAAAATGGGGTGACCTTGAACGAGAAGAATTTCTTCCCAGAATACAGCTATGACTGGTGGGAGAGGAAGCCCTTCTCTGAGGACGTGAACTGGGGCTATGATAAGAGAAGCTTCGCGAGGGCCCCCAGACTGGATCTGAAGAGGCATCATGACAGGGTGGCCCAGCTGGACCAGCTGCTTCACTACAGGAAGAAGTCGGCAGAGTTTCCCGACTTCTACGATTCCGAGGAGCAGATGAGCCCACGCCACGAGGTGGCAAGTGAAAGGGACGGGGATGAGCAGAGGGCTCTGACGGAGGAGGAGGTACAGTATGGGGCTTCTGCTTAAAATTCACTTGTGGGGGTCAACGTTAGCATGCCATGTCCCAGACTTCCTGATGCCAGTGCAGGATAAACTGGTGGGATATAATCTCTATGAGAGCAGTGCTGCCAAGGTGACCTCCGGGGCTGACTTCCACCAACCATCTAGCCATGGTCCACATCCCTGTCCACCTGCTGCTATTGTAGTACGTCTCAACCTTGGCTACACATTGGAATTATCTAGGAAGCTTGAAAAAGTTCTGTGCCTGGGACCCACCCCCATAGATTCCATCTAGTTGGTACTAGACACTGCCTGACATCAGGTTTTTTAAGGCTCATCAGTAGCTCCCAGGGGAGGGATTACAGGTGATGAAGAAATCAGCTGCTTTGACCTATCTTTATTGGCTTATGCCCGACCACAATCAGAAATTTATATCTGGGGGAAGTAACATTTGAGTTCTATCTCTCTAAACAATCCACACCCTGCCCCCCAGGACTGATTATGTAGCTTGATGCTTCTCAAGCTTGAATGTGCCTAAGAATCTCCCAGGCCCTGGAGTTTCTGATTCAGCTGGTTCTGAGCGAGATCCAGGAATCTGCATTTTTGACTTTTTTTTTTTTTTTTGTAGTGCTAATGATGCTGATGCTGCTGTTCAGGGGACCACACTCTGACAGCCACGGATGCCACTGACTCACGTGGCCTTTTATATTTTTTTTAAATTTACTTATTTACTTGAAAGTCAGAGTTACACAGACAGAGAAGGAGAGGTCTTCTATTGGCTTGTTCACTCCCCAGTTGGCAACAATGGCTGGAGCTGCACCTATCTGAAGCCAGGAGCCATGAGCTTCTTCCGGATCTCCCACGTGGGTGCAGGGGCCCAAGGACTTGGGCCATCTTCTACTGCTTTCTCAGGCCATAGCAGAGAGCTGGAATCGGAAGTGGAGCAGCCGGGACTAGAACCCACGCCCATATGAGATGCTGGCGTTGCAGGTGGCAGCTTTACCCACTAAGCCACAGCGCCAGCCCCTTCACATGGCCTTAAACGTACTTCAGCTTTTCCTTTCAGTTCATGCTCCCTCAAACCACAGCAACCTGGAAACTCACAATTCCACTTTTCTGTGTTTTCCAGGAAAAAGAACTTGAAAATTTGGCTGCGATGGATTTGGAACTACAGAAAATAGCTGAAACATTCAGCCAAAGGGGCTGATGGTCAGAGCAATGGGCGACTTCAAGACGCAGACCTCATGTGATCTATTTTCCAGCACATCACTGGAAGACACCACTTATTTACCCAAAGGCAGAAAGTAGAATTTACTAGTCATTAAGTGTTTGACACAATTGCAAATATCTTCAATGTTTGCCAGGATGCTACTGAAGATATGAATAGCATGACTTGTAGCATATTCTTTCTTGCAAAATAGACTATTAACCTGCTTGTGACAATGACTGTGTCTTTGACAAAAACATCTGTCTCACTTTGAACTAATAAAAGACTCACCTGAGACCAAAAGCTTCGTGGTTCTTCACTTCCTGTGGGGTAATGGGGAGGAGTACAACACTCAAATCCGTTCTTTAAATTCTGAAAAGCAGGGGCCAGCATCGTGCTGCAGTGGGCTAAGTCACCACCTGCGACAATGGCTTCCTGCAATGGAGCACCAGTTTGAGTCCCAGCTGCTCCACTTCTGATTCAGTGCAGCTGGGAACGTGGCAGAGAGTGGCTCAAGTACTTGGGTCCCTGCCACCTATGTGGAAGACCCAGATGGAGTTCCAGGCTCTTGGCTTCTGCCTGGCTCAGCCCTAGCCATTGTGGCTTTTTGGGGAGTGAATCAGCAGATGGAAGGGCTTCTCTTTCTGTCTCTCCTCTCTGTCAGTCTTTCAAATAAAGCAAATCACACACACACGCACACATATTTACAGCATTAAGATTTGTTGGCTTCTGGATACATTAACAAAGTGAACCTTTTGAAGTAGAAGAATGTGCAATGTGCAGGATAAAAAGAAAGAGCTCAGGAAAAGACATCTGCTCCCCTAGGATGAAGGAGATTAGATAGGCTTGAAGAACCTGTTTCAAAAACAGTGAGATGGTGGGGGGTATCATCATGTGCTTACAACTGAATATATGAAGCATGTGAAATATGTTCCTTACATAAGTGAATAAAGAAAAACAATCATAAGACATTACTTCCAACATCTATCAGCTGGTGCTGGTGCTGTGGCATAGTATGCTAAGCCTCTGCCTGTGATGCCGGCATCCCATACGGGCACTGGTTTGTGTCCCAGCTGCTCCACTTCTGATCCAGCTCTGTGCTAATGGCCTGGGAAAGCAGTGGAAGATGACCCAAGTGCTTGGGCCCCTGCACCTGAGTGGGAGACCACGAGGAAGCTCCTGGCTTCAGATCAGCTCAGCTCCGGCTGAGGCGGCCATTTGGGGAGTGAACCAGCAGATGGAAGACTTTTCTGTCTCTCCTTTTGTCCTTCTACCTCTCAAATAATCTTTAAAAACAAACAAAAATCGGCCGGTGCCACGGCTCAATAGGCTAATCCTCTGCCTGCAGCGCTGGCACACCGGGTTCTAGTCCCAGTCTGTGTGTCGGATTCTGTCCCAGTTGCCCCTCTTCCAGTCCAGCTCTCTGCTGTGGCCCCGGGAAGGCAGTGGAGGATGGCCCAAGTGCTTGGGCCCTGCACCTGCATGGGAGACCAAGAGAAGCACCTGGCTCCTGGTTTCGGATCAGCGCGGTGCGCCAGCCGCGGCGGCCATTGGAGGGTGAACCAACGGTAAAGGAAGACCTTTCTCTCTGTCTCTCTCTCACTGTCCACTCTGCCTGTTAGAAAAAAAGGCAGAAAAAAAAAAGAAGAAGAAGAAGAAATCATTCTATCAGCTGATTTTTAAGAGTCCCATGTAATGGCCATTTTGGGGGCTAATATGAAAGCCTGGATAACAGGAAGCACTGTAGATTTGGAGTCAGAACATCTGGTCTGTCCAAACAGATCCCTGACCCCCTGAGGTCTGGCTGATTTGTACCCTGTAAGAAGACGGAGTTCTGTCGAAGCCTTGTATCCCATGTAGTAGAAAATAATTTCCTAAAGAAAATTTGAGGGGCCCAAAATGAACTAGGGTTTCAATCACTTGGAGGAAAGCAAAATGGTTGAATGCCCCAAATGCCAGCCTGCCCACACACATGCACACACTGCACTACTCAAGAGAAGCTGTTGGCAGACGGAGCACAGCACAGCACGGTGCCCACCAGCTTAGAGATGGTCCCTGAGACAGGAAATGTGCTTGGCCTGTCAGAAGAAGAGCAGAGAGACAGAACAGGGGCTCTTACAGGCAAGGGTGGAGAAGTGACAGGGGCAACCATGCAGAGCGTTTTTTTTTTTTTCAATTTAGGTCCTGGTAAGGACTTTGACTTTTATGATTGGAGAGTTCTCCATGGAGGACTGGCATGCTTTGCTTCATGCTGTAACAATGCTGGCTGCTGGGTGGCAAGAAGGCTATAAGAGGAGTGAGGCAGAAACACAAAAACCAGTGAGAGGGCTACTGCAATATCCTGGCTGGTCATTTGTGATGGCGTGGACCAGGATTGCAGCTCCCAGGTTGGGGAGAAGTAGCGGATCCTCAGATCTGTTCAGAAGCAGATGACAAGTACAGCTGATGGGTTTGGTGTGAGGGAGTAAGGGGATGATAGCAAGGTTTTAGGCTCTGCAGCTGGGAAGCGCAGAGATGGGGGAAGACTGTGGGAGTGTCTGGCTTGGGAGGGGAAGAGCTGGGGAGCTCAGGTTTGACTATGTCATATTTGAGGTGTGCACAGACACTCAGCGGAGGTGTCAAGTTGGGAACAAGGGCCAGGAGATGAGGGAAGAGGCCTGTGCTGAGGACTTAATGTGGGAGTCATCATCACAGAGATGGTATTTAAAGCCTCAAAAGAGAATGAGATCACCCAGTGTTATATAAATGAGTCAAAGATGGCCTCTGTGTATTGGCCCCTGGGCTGTTTACTTCAGCATTGCAGGGGGAAGCCAGTTAGCTAAAAGCCCAGGATTGCCAAGGTCAGATTTTTACACAGCTAATTATTTTAAGCAAAATTTTAAGTAATTTTTAGCTATTTAGGGCCTGCCTGCTTCGCATATTCATCCCCCCTCCAACTACACACATCTGTAGCCCATTGATAAGACACAGCATTGTGGTTCTAAGACACCCCCCCCACACACACTGCACTGCTCCCCACCACACTGCTGAGAACATCACCCATACCTGACGCCCTCTCTATCTCCCTCTCTCCCAGGGGAATACGCTTACCCTCTTCCATTGCTGAGTGGCATGCCCCAACATATAGCCAGTGGATAGACTGCCACTGTCACCTTGCAGTGTCACTGTCACCTAATGAAGCATGTGTGCACTACTGCCACCTCGTGGTCACAGCTTTTCCTTTGCCCAGTTCCCAAATCCCTTGAACAAATTAGGGAGCCAGTGTAGACCAGAGAGAGTTGTAGATTTATAATAGCTGACACCTGCAGCGTGTCAACCTTGGCAATGAGAAGAACCAGCCAAAGAGAAAAGGCCAAACAGGTAGAGGGAAACCAGGAGACCATGGTCTCCTAGAAGCCCAGCAAGGAAAGCCAAGGCAGGGAGGGGGGTGGATGGCTGTTTTCAAGTTCTGCTGACAGGTCCCGAGGGCCAAAGAGGGGTTCTTGGTTTCACATCACCTTTTTTGTGGCAACTTACTCCAAACCAGCTCCCTACTGCGGCTGCTCCAAAGGACTCAAACCCCTCTCATGGGTTTCTCAAATCAGTGGTCAGCAAATTCTTTCCCAAAGAGCCTGGTAGCAAACATTGTAGGCCTTGAGGCCATACAGTCTCTATCCAACTACTCAATTCTGCCACAGTGCAAAAGCTGTAATAGACAATATGAAAACAAACTGGTGTGGCTGTGCTCCAATCAAATTTCATTATGGGCACTGCAGTTAGAATCTTATGTAATTTTCATGTTTTTTTTTTTTTTTTTTTAAACTTCTGTAACCACTTAAAAATGTTAACAATCGGCCGGCGCCGCGGCTCAATAGGCTAATCCTCCACCTAGCGGCGCTGACACACCGGGTTCTAGTCCCGGTCAGGGCGCCGGATTCCGTCCCGGTTGCCCCTCTTCCAGGCCAGCTCTCTGCTGTGGCCTGCAAGTGCAGTGGAGGATGGCCCAAGTGCTTGGGCCCTGCACCCCAAGGGAGACCAGGAGAAGCACCTGGCTCCTGCCATCGGATCAGTGCGGTGCACCAGCTGCAGCGCGCCGGCCGTGGCAGCCATTGGAGGGTGAACCAACGGCAAAGGAAGACCTTTCTGTCTGTCTCTCTCTCTCACTGTCCACTCTGCCTGTCAAAAAAAAAAAAAAGTTAACAATCAAACCAAAAAACTGGTAGGCAGAGCACCAGATTTGACCTATAGGCTCAAGCTTGCTGACCCCAACCATTGTTATCCCTCCTCCTCCCCTTCTCTTCCTTCAATCTGTCACCATATAATTTTAGTTTTTATCATAGGTGGCAACTTTGCTTCACTCACAGGTAATGGAAAAGAACTAAGGCCACTGCAACAACCGAGGACAGGGAAGGACTCCCAGGAAGCAAAGGACTCCTCTATCATCTCTTCTGCCTTCTGGCTCAATTTCTCCACTGTGTGAAAGTTTTGGTTTCAAATGATAACACAAAGCATGCTGAAAAATCCAACAGATTGAGCCTACCCACATTTCAAAACAGTTTTCTTTGGTGTTTTGTTACCTGTCAACGTGAAAATGAAATGTCAAAATCTTTCCAGTCTTGTTTTAATGATAGCTCAACCAAATGCCAAAAAAAAAACAAAAAAAAACAAAAAAAAAAAAAACAAAAAAAAAACCACCTCAGATGAATGGAACTGTAAAAAAAGGCGAAAAACAAACAGTGGGGCACCAAGACACTATACATTAATTTCTGGGACTGGTGTGGCATACTGGGTAAAGCTGCCCTTGAGATGCCATGCCAACATCTTGTACGGGTGTCCTGGCTGCTCTACTTCAGATCTAGCTCCCTGCTAATGTGCCTGTGAAAGCAGTGGAAGATGGATGGCCCAAGTATTTGGGACCCTGCACTCACATAGGGGACCTGGCCCAGCTCTGACCATTGTGGCCATTTGGGGAGTAAACCAGTGGATGGTAATCTCTCTTTTCTCTATAACTCCGCCTTTCAAATAAATAATTTTTCAAATATTTATTTGAAAGGCAGAGTTACACAGAGGTGGGTGGGGGGAAAAGAGAATATTCCATCTGCTGGTTCACTCCCTCAAAAGGCTGAAATGCCAGAGCTGGGCCAGGCTGAAGCCAAGAATCAGGAGCTTCTTCTGGCTCTCCGACGTGGGTGCAGGGACCTAAACACTTGGGCCATCCCCTGTAGCTTTCCCAAGCACATTAGGGAGCTGGATCAGAAGTGGAGCAGCTGGGACAGAAACCAGTGCCCAGACGGGAGGGATGATGGCATTGTCAGCCACAGTCTTACCTGCTATGCCACAATGCTGGCCCCTAAATAAATAACCTTTTAAAAAATTATCCACACCTCCCTCTGCTCCAAAGGTGAATATCCATTTTACATGAGGCAACATTCTACATTTAGCTGTATCTGTGATGCAGGTACAGCACAGTGGTTCTCCAGGGCTGGAGGGGAAACTTACTAAAAATGCAGGATCTCTGTGCCATCCCAGAACTACTGAATAAGTAATTTTTGGATGAAGGGTCCAACAATCTGTTTAACAAACTCCACAGGGGATCCTAAATTTTTAACAATTAGGGAATAGGACAGGACTTGGAAACAGGTTTGAGTCCCCAGAAGGAGATGGCTCCAACAACAGTGACCAATGGAGAGCAGCCAAGATTGCATCTAGTCCATGACTATACATCTGTGTTGTCCTTGATAAACTTGACTGGCTGTATGTAGGTGACAACATATTGGTTTATTACATTTTTCTTTTTCTTTCTTTAAGGGAAAAACCCAGCAGGCCAGAGGGAAGGGGCAAAGAAGGAAAAAGAAAGGAGAGCATAACAGAGAAAGAAAGAGAGAGAGAGGAGAGGAGGCTAGAGAGGAGAGGGGAGAGGAGCGAGAGACAGGAGAGAGGAGTGAAGAGAGGGGAGCAAGAGAAAAGAGAAGACGAGAGCGCTGTTTATTACATTTTTCAGTGAGGTGCCCTATGAAGGAATGTTCTCTTCCCCAAACATGATAGGTTGAAAACCATTCAACATAGCAAAGATTGCATCATTAATGTTAGTCAAACAGATCATAGAAACACTTTTATTTTTTAAAAGCAACTGTTTTAAGAAAAAGGAATCAAAGCTGTACTCGTTGGTAACCGCACTGGCCATTATCAGAGGAGTCAGAGGAGCACATGCTATCAGGACAAAGAAATTTTTTTTTTCTGAGATGCTCCTTGCTGGATGATATGCATCCATTCTATGATGAGATGAACAATACACACAGTGAACATTTCTGGTGAGCCAGGGCCTTGACTCACTCTACACACGGTTCTTTGTTGCAACAGATGATCAAACAGCTTGATTATAGGTTTCCAGAGCTTATACAGACTAATAAACTAATCATGCCAGAACTCTTTAGATCAGCATTAATAACCACCAAAGAAGGCACTTTAGAATACATCAGACAAGGAGTGACACCAATGCAATGAGAACTGGTCCAAGTTCTGCATAAACTTTGTTATAGTTCAAATAGTACACTCTATGTGTGTCTTGTATGTATAGGTAGTGCATTCTTTCTCTGTCTTCGTGTGGCGTATATATGGCAATATCTATACACATATATACAGTGTACCTGTGTGTATCAATAAGTCTCTGAAGAGTTAAAAAAATTTGTTTCCTTCAGTTGAATATTACACAAAAATTCTAGTCACTTTATTTGGAATAAAGAATGAGAGGATCAGAAAATGCAAAAAGTATCCTACTAAAATCTTTGTATGCACAAAAAAAGGAGTAAAATAAATACTCAGAACTTTCCCAGTTTTTCAACTATTAAAAGAGAACCCAGCAGAGACAAAGCTTATTCTACTGCAGGGAACAGGGTGGACATTTTTGGTACTGTAAATCTCACACTCTCACATCCATATTGCTCAGGTTGAAGAGAATGGAAAGAACAGGGGAGATTTCTCCCACAAACTGCTTCTTTCCTTTCAGTACTCACCAACTTTTAGCTAAGCTGCGTTACTCCACTTAGCTGAAAACACACAAGTCTCCTAGAAACAAAACTCAGAGGATGCTGAAATCCTCGCAATATCTGTGTACTTAGAAGTACTGAGGGGAGTTCTGTAAACAAACAGAACTGCTCATATCCATCCATGCATGCCCCAGGGTTGCAGCTTTGCCAGCCCAATCCCATCTGTGTCACAGATACACAAAAGGCTTACTCCTCTTCCCACAAAGGCATTTATGGACACGTTCTTATTCTCGGGGTAGGAAAAACCATTAGAAATGGCATTTAAAGGTTAACTGCTAACTGTATAACGCCTGAGAACAAAAAGCAATTCTTGAAGCGTTAAGAGCCAGACTGCGGGCATTTCCGTTTCTTAGCTGCCGGCTCCTCGGTCTCCTGTGATTCCAATGTGCTCACGCTGGGTTTCAGGCTGGTGTCTGCTTTTGGGTTGTCCATGGCAACAGTGAAGCCTGAGAGAAGGTACCCCCCACCGCCACTCATCAGCAGTTTGGGATGACTTCGATCTGGCAAAACCTAATCAAGACACAGAAACATATTCACGCTTTCCCAAGACCGCGAGGCTCATGTGAGTAACACATACGCCACAAATCAGATTTTAGACCACATATTCTCCGGAAGATATAAAGGAGTCCATTTCTAAGCAATTCTTTCCTTTACATGACAATGCAAAGAAAATCCTAGAAATCAGGTTCAGTGGTTTTCTCTGAATCTAACACTGATTCCCCACTTCTCTGAGACCTAAGCGAGTTTCTGGAGAACAGGCAAATTGCTTGTGTAGCACTCCAGTCTGCAGTTTTCCTCCTCTTGGATCTGGGAAGCCACAAGGCCAACAGTGAAGGGTGGGCCTGCACACGCAGGAGGCGCTCTGTCTACCCAGCTAAGTGAGATGATCCTTCTGAGCGGCAGGGTTACCTAGGATCAACAGCTTCTCTACCACAGTGCACAACGCCAAGCAGCAGGACAGGGCCAGTGGCAGCATGGAGGTGCCCGACTCAGGTCTCCCTACACGAGGGAACAGGCTGCAAAGCATTTGAGCAGCAGAATGCTTCCAGCTACTGCTGCCCTGGGATCCCCTGAGGGAAGCCCTGGATTGCTCCCAGCGAGTCGTGAGCACAGGAGTAAGCCAGTAGTGAGCATTTCTGCCCAACATGGGGCTGCTTTAATGGACAATCTGAGTGGTGCCAGAAAGATGGAGGAGGTATTAGGGAGGCATGCAAAGGCAGTGTTGCACCAACCGCCCGCCTGTGGGTGTGCTGGGAAAATGACCCCGGGCTCCGGTGTGCTCCTCATCATGCCTTTGCTGTCTCTTGTTTCGGGCTTCCTGCTAACACATTTGGAAAGCAGTGCGTGGTTCATTTGCTTGGATTCCTGTCACCCATGTGGAAGACCTGGATGCAGTTCCTGGCTTCTGGCAAAAGCCCTACCTATTCTGGGCATTTGGATGGCAGACAGATCTCTCCCTCTCTCCTTTTCCCTGTCACTATGCTTTTCAAATAAACAAACAAATCTTTAAAAAAAAAATTAAACAAAAGGACACTCTTTGCTCCTGGGGTCTCCACTGGCCCGGCTGAAGCTTCCTCAGCAGCACTGCAGCTCTCCTCCCAGCTCTCCTTCTCTACCTCCTTCCCAGACAGGACACTGCACCCCTCATCCTGCCTCCTCTCCCTTTATCTTCTAAAGGCATTTCCCCCAGTAAATTGCTCAGACTTTGACTTCCACCCTGAGAGCTGAACAGACAGAGTCCACCAGTAAATCCTGAAAACTGACTGTGAAGATGACCAGCAAGGAGGAGAGGGCCACTTTCCATCCTCCTGGAGATTTCGCTAATTTTGGTTACACCATCCACAGTGCTATCCAGGCCTTGGGACAGACCTGAACCCGAACTATCCTGTTTAATGCCTCTGTGCTAGAGTTAAGGAGTAATATGCCCAGAAAAAAAACAGGTCAGGAAGTCAAGGGCTCTTTTTCCCCATTACAGGCACGAGGCGTTCCCATCCCTGCAGACTGAAATCGAGGCTTCCCTGTTTCACAACTTCCAGCACTAACCTAAAAAGCCAGAGATTCAGGAAAATAGCTCCAGGGCTAGTAACACGTACCTGATAGTTTCTGAGCCAGGTTTCAGACAGCCTGAGATTGATGACGCCGCCCCTCTCCCGCAGTTTTGTGTAGCTTTCCAACAGAGGCTGAGGGCAAAGACAGATGTGTCAAGAACGACTTCCTGGGCAGCAGTTTGAGAGTCACCACTCAAATGCAAGAATTCCCATCCATTCCACCGTACTATTACCTCTTTATACTGACAGTAGACCACAAATGGCCTGGAGGGTGCCACAAAGTCCAGCAAAGACAGCAGCAGTGGAGTGGGATGGAAACGACTAGCTACAATTAAGCTGCAAGGAAAACATCAGACCGATTATTTCTCTACTCCCTGAGTGGAGTACAGGCTTTAAAATGCATTTCAACTGATCGTGTACTGATTTGCATGACTCTATAAAAGAGATTAAAATTCAGAACAGAATAAAACCATGAGCTGGTTCTTTCTAGGAAATATAAACTAGGTTATAAGCTCTCATGGTGTCAGGCCACTCTAAGGAGAACTTGAAGATTTTCTTATACCTGAATCTACCTCTGATTGTTGGGTTGTCACCAGTCCTTGCCATCAGCCAGCACCACAGCCACTTGAATGACCCACCGCTCACCTGCACTTAGTGGGACTACAAGGCCGTCTGATGCACTGTCATTGGGGAAGGTTCAAATCTGTTCTCGAACCCTCAGACAAGCACAATTTCTCATCTCTATGAGACCCAGTGTTCTTTCTTTATAAACCCAGGGCAGAACCCTCGCATCAGTTCCCACTAGCGTGAAAGCAAACACAGAACTCCAACCCCTTTGGAGCAGAGTCCACGAGCCCTAATAAGTCTCCGGCATTCCGTCATCAACGCACCCGTCTGCATTTCTTTCACTCAGCAGAGCAGCAGCCTCTAAATGTCTTTTCTTCTGCTCTTCTTGTCTCCGCTGTTTTTCCTGAATCTTCAAGAAAAATAAGAAATCAAAGTACTAAGGTCATTCAGCTGGGTTTATGGAAATACTTGCCTATCAAAACATTTCAACAGTATTTCTCAACGCAGACTAAACCAACAGAGGAGGTTGTTTATATGGAGGTGAGAATAGAAAAGCAAGCCTGGATTTTATACAGACATCATTAAGCTATGAGAGCAAGGCTTCTGTATCCCAAAGCTCCACCCTAAAGATTAAACCACACAGTCGTGCACACCCATGTGCACGCATACTCTGTCTCCAACTAAGCTGGATAGTTATCATCTTGAGAGCTGATGCTTCAAAGCCCAACCAAATGTCAGTGTTTAAATGAAGCTAACCGAGGCCCTGTGAATATTATGAAGACAGCAGGGACTCTGGACATCCTTACATAATCTTTTTTGCTGTCTTTTTCTTTAGGTTCTTTGTATTCTGGGTCCGGAGCATCAATTTCCGCTGTTTCTTGTTCTTCTGGCTGGTTGCTCTCGGGGGCCTCGGCCATGCTGTCTTCATTCTCTTGCTCGGCAGCCTGCTTTTCCTCGAGTGCACCATTACTTTCTTCAACCGAGGCGCTCTCTTTAGGCTCTGAAGACAACATCTCAGCAGAAAATGTCCCATTAAGGAGACTGTCCACTTTGTTGAGGGGGAATTCATACAAACCACTGAGGAAAGACTTGGGAAATCCAAAACACGCTGTTGCTGCCCGAACAGGCCCACCTCCAGGGTACAGCTGAATAATGGAGCCAAAACCTGAGCAGATAAAAGAGACAAACACCTGCAGGATGGAGGTGTCTGCAGAGTTACGCAAACCCTGAGTCCTCCACAGGATCAAGGCTGAGGGGCCCTCTGCGTACTCGCAGTTCAGGGACTGAGGGACATGCAGCTTCTCTGGGGCCCATCTGGAGTCTATAACATTCCCACTGATCACTCCCTTGACACTACTGTAAAACCCTGTGATCATGACAATGTGGACATCATACGACTGGTGAGTGAGTCTCTGCTTCCCCCATGCCAATGCACAAAGAGGGGGCACTTAAAGTTCTTGTTTTCTGTAGGTTCAGAGCAAAGGTAGGCAAATCAGACTGTGCTTCCATGAGACAAATCTATCCCTCATATTGTTCCTACTCAATCTACTCAATTCAGGCCAATAAATTGAGTACCCGCAATGCAGGTTACACAATTCATTGTCCTACAAGTCCTGGCCAGCCACAGGCTCTAGAACCATCCCCTGTGATGCTGAATCTGGAAGAGAAACACCAACACAGCCTGGCTGAGAAATGGGGATCATGTGGGGAAGGCTTGGAAAGGAGCTGTACGTGCCACCCATTATTCTATTAACCTTGAAGGAACTCAATCTAGTGGCCCAGGAGTCTGAATTTTTGGATCCCTCTATACTCACAACAGGGTGGGGTCCTACTGAGCATAAAAATGTTCAATCTTACCTCCCATTCGTTCCATCATTGCACCCAGCACCAAGCCTGCACATGTTTCCATGACAATCATTTTATTGCCAGCACGGATATTTCCCAATGTCAACATCTGGGCCAGGGTATCATACCTCATGTGGCTAAAGGAAGAAAGAAGGATTCATTCACTCATTGTTAGCTATGTAAAGCCTGTAATTTTAATCATAATTTTTCATGTTTTGTCTTATAAAAATTATGTTGATAATATTATTGATTGCTTTGGAGGTAACAGTAGAAGGACTTACAATTTATGAAGTAGGAGGACACTTTATGCAGGTGAGCAACTTTTTCATTTTACTTAAAATCATGACTTTCTTAAAGATACATTTTCCCCCAATTATACTTTTGAAAGGAAACAAAGCGTACTTAATTTTTCCAGGTTCTCTTGCATAATACATAATTGAAAGAATACGAGTGGATGGCTTCACAACAGTAATGATGGCTTCATATCTGGGTGAGAAAAAACAGAACACTCATTTGGAAAAATGGTTTATGATGTATTACTTTAAACAATATGCACATTTTTAAATTTACAAAAAGACAACATTTTTAACCTTTTCAAACATAAAACTACTTACTTCTTTTTCTTCTTTTTTATATATTTATCTTGGGCAAATTCTGTCTTGTCTCGGAATGTTGTACTATTTTCAATTAACTGTTGAACTATTTCCTATAAGAAAAGGAGTAAGCAGATTTTCTGAAACTTTATTTGCGCAAAACAAATAACTTCAAAGGTTCCTTACCCCAAAATGTATCCAAAGGTCTGACCCTTCATTTCGTCTTTCACAGATGAACTCTGTATTTCCATACTCTATTGATAATTTCTAAATAAAAATTTACAGCTCCATGTAAACCAGGTAAAAGAACGGAGAAACAAAACAGAGGAAGGACAGAGGTAAAGGAACCTGTCATTATGGAAGACATCAGCTGAAAACATTACTGCAAAGTCAACAAAGTTAAATCTGCATAAACACTCTTAACACATTTTCTACCACTAGTGATATTAGTAACGTCATTCACCTTACATTCCTGCAGGTAAGAAACAAAATCTTTGATATACCGAATGTACATTTCAATTTACTTCTAACAAAAGTATAACATCATTTTTCTATTTTACCTTTGGTAAAGTCTGCTTTAGAAACAAAACAATTTCCTACATACCAAACAAAACAAAATCCTTTGAATATTACCTCTCCTTTAATGCCTTTGTCCTTCAAAGCTTTTATATCATCTTGAGTAAGTTTCTGAGATTTCCCATCATCAATTATATTTCGATTATCAGTGCCTGCTTCTTTAGTCTCTAAGGAAAGAAATGACTCCATGACACCTGTGATCTGGAATTATTTTACAATATTTATTTTTCTAAATTCATATGCACATGGAGCCCAAGTTCAGCATTCGAGTTCCACAGTTGCCAATGTAGTCCCCTATTCCTTCTTGCCAGCACCACTCTTTAGACCCTAATTCATCTTCTGGCCCTCACCTCTTGCCCCTGGACTAACCACGTGGATGCCAGAGTGCTTTTTATTTTTTTATTAATAAGAATTTGTCTTAACCACTGATGCTTATAATCATAAAATGGTAACAATGAGGAAACATTCCAAAAATGACCTGTAAGGTCACATACATCTGGTCCCTGCCTACCTTTTCTGGACTCATCTCTTGATTCCTAAGCTTCAACCAAATTGCCCTTTTTTTTTCTGCCTTGAATACAAGAAGCAAGGGCTTTGGCCCCTGCTGCTCTCTCTGCTTTAGTGTCTAGGTCCCTCCCAGCACTCGGGTCTGAGCTCATGATCTCAGTCAAGGTTCACCTTCCCAAACCAGGATTTAGAATACACCCCTGCTTTAATATTGTCACAGCATGTATCAGCATTAGAAATTATGCTATTTGTTTAACTTCTTCATTATTTTTGCTGTTCTCCACTAGTAAGTATATTTTATGGGGTGAGTGCTGTGGTACAGTGGGTTAATGCCCTGACTTGAAGTGCCGGCATCCCATATGGGCGCCAGTTTGAGACTCGGCTGCTCTATTTCCGGTCCAGCTCTCTGCTATGGCCTGGGAAAGGGGTGGAGGATGGCCCGGGTCCTTGGGCCCCTGCACCCACATGGGAGACCTTGGTGAGGGGGCTCCTGGCTTCGGATCAGTGCAGCTATGGCCAACACGGCCAATTGGGGTGTGAGCTGGCGGATGGAGGACCTCTCTCTCTCTCTATAGCTCTGACTTTCAAATAAATAAATCTTTAAAAAAGTACATTTTATAAGATGGGCCATTTTATGAACTGCTATAAATGCAGTGCCTAATTGTGCCTAGTACATATTTGGTGCTTAACAAAAATATGGACATTAATGTAAAACTATCTAATTAACTGGGTAGAGACAGAACTTCAGTAGAATTTTATTTAATTTTTATTATTTGTTTACTTTTAATTAATAATGGCTAAATCTGTGGAGCACTCACTGCAGGCAAGACATTGTCAGGATGTTTCTGTAATTCATATTACTGAATATTCACAACTTAAGCATTAAATACAAGAGTACTTCAAAAAAAGTCCCCGGGAAATGTAATTGAAAGGTAAGTTTTTGCACCAAAATAAACATACCTTAATTCCATTTGTCCATAACTTTCTAAAGTACCCTCATATGCCTATGGTCCCACTTTTTTTTTTTTTTTTTTTTGACAGGCAGAGTGGACAGTGAGAGAGAGAGAGACAGAGAGAAAGGTCTTCCTTTTGCCGTTGGTTCACCCTCCAATGGCCGCCGTGGCCGGCGCGCTGCGGCTGATCCAAAGCCAGGAGCCAGGTGCTTCTCCTGGTCTCCCATTGGGTGCAGGGCCCAAGCACTTGGGCTATCCTCCACTGCACTCCCTGGCCACAGCAGAGAGCTGGCCTGGAAGAGGGGCAACCGGGACAGAATCCGGCGCCCCGACCGGGACTAGAACCCGGTGTGCCAGCGCCCAAGGCGGAGGATTAGCCTAGTGAGCTGCGGCGCCGGCCTTGACAGGGTTCTGACTATGCATCTATTTTATATATGCATGGTGTACCTGAAGTGGGCTCTTCCTGCTTCTTCTTAGGCTGAAGACTTCCTCCACTGGTCACTTCAAACGTGGTTCCATAACTATGGCCAATGACATTATCCAGGTAGAACCACTGTTTTTCGAAAGTTACTTTTCTGGGGAAGAAAAATCAATCAATCAATCTAATTATGTTTGCATTCAGTGTAGAAAAGACAAGTTCAATCTAGTTTATTTTAAAAGCGGTCTCCAATCAGTGGCATTACCTCTAACTCAAAACAATAAATGAATTAAAGAGAACTGGGTTCAGACAGACACACAAAATGAATAGAAAAGTCACAGAAACACTGAATTTGAGAGAGGGAGCAAAGACAGAAGGAAGACATGTTTCTTTTGGGGCACTGTCTGATCCCAATTTGCACGGTCAACCAGGATATCCAAACTCACAGGCTCTGCAGATGTCCTCAGCAGCAGGCAAGGTTGCCAAGACTGGACCTGCACTGTGACACTCCATGCAACTTACGTCAAAACGGAGCAATCACTGAGATGACCAGGAGTAACAAATTCTCTGGTCTGGGTCTAACTATCTCATTGAAAAACTGTCTGATAAAAGCAATTCATATTTACAAATGAACGTTACTGACAATCTACAGGTTAGGGTTAAGATATAGGGCCAAAGAAGTCGCAGAGACAACTAGTCAAGACAGAGAGAAGTCTTTTATTGTAGAAAGGACAACGCAGTAAAGTGGGATTTGGGCTCGCCTCAACAGCAGGTGGGGTGGATGCCTGCAGTAAGGCTTCAGACACCCCCAGCTCCGGGTTGTGGGCAGTTGTTCTTTGATGCTCTTTGCCTGGAGAAGGGCCGGGTATTCTCACAGTGACCCACATCCACAGTGATAAAGTGAGCCTGGATGAACAAAAGCCCCCTTGGCACGTTTCTATTGGAGTCAACAGTGAACACTTTTGTACGGTCTTATCAGCCCATGTCCCTGGCAAGGAACTGTGCGAGTCAGAGTTAAGTGGGCAGAATCTCAGGCAATGAAATACAATGTTAATCTCAGGGTCATTTTGCTGGCACCCACTATTACCAAGTGCATGGTTAACCATTTGTGTCCCAATAGCCTAACAAGTCCTAACAGCACACATTTGGAAACAGTGCTTAGCACTGACAATGCTCTCCAGGGGACCAGGTAATTTTAGGCATTCCTATTGAGGAGCTTTTTATCTTACTGCAATTCAAGAGGGAATTCTCACAGAAATCTTTGCTTTCAAAAGAAGGAAATTAACATCTGCTAAGTGTCAATCAGAGGTTAGGTGTATACACCAGACGTGTTTCATACTTTTTAAGTCTTATTCAAATCCTGGAGAGCATAACTTTCTGTAGAAGCCATGAGGCCCAGGCAGAAGTACTTTGTTCAAGATTCAATTACAAGGTGTCAGCGCTGGGAGTCAAATTCAGGTTTCTCAAACACCAAAGGCTGGTTTGTTCTACTACACTACCCCGTATACCCCAGCAAAGACCAAAAGAGCTTAAGAAGCACTCTTCGAAGCACAGGGCATGGCCCACATCCACAAAAGACTGAATTCTGGGAAACACAGACTCTGAGAGGCAAGAATGAGCGCTGGGTGAAAGGGAGAGAGGGAGGGAGGGAGAGGAGAGGAGGGAGAGGGAGAGGAGGAGACAGGGAAGGAGAGGAGAGGGGAAGGAGAGGAAGAAGATCCGAAGAAGCTAGGGAAAGAGCCCCAGGCTAAAGGAGTGGGGGCGATGGAGAGGGCCCGAGAACCAAGAATAGAATTCTGGGGAAGCGACTCTACAAGACCGGTAAAGGATGCTGAGGGTAGAAGGCCAGGTATGAAGTCATGGAGAAGACGTCTGGAAGACAGGAGGGGTAGGAAAGATCCAGAGGCCGTGGACGGAAACGAATCCTGGTGGGAAACGCCTCTGAGACAGGAACATCGGGGAGAAGGCAACTGGGGAGCAGAGTGGGAATCCAGAGTTAAGAATGGGACCCTGGTGGGAGGGGTCTGCAGGGCGACCAGGGGGGAGGGAGTATTTGAACGTGGTTAGACACCCCCCCCCTCCCCGCCAAGGCTAGCAATCTTACTTTCTGCGCTGAACTTGCACTGCTTTGAACACATCTTCCCGTTTCAGGACCACGAAGTCGCCGTCGCGGATGCAGTGGTCAGCCGGCTGCAGTGGCTGTGGGCTTGGCTGCTCCCCGGAATCCTCCATGACGCTCAGCGGGGCTTGGTGCTTCGCGGAGTTCCTACAGCCCCCTGCGTCGGGTCCCTCCTCCCCGCAGCTGCCACGGCGGTCACCCTCACCTCCCGCAAGCAAGGAGCACCGGAGCCGGCCGAACAGCACCACCCCCACGTGCTGCACGCCGCTTCCGCTTTCCGGTCCGGACCACAGGCGTCTTCCGGGAGCCTTACGGCTTCCGTTTGGCTGAACTCCTTGATTGGCTGCACTTCACCCCGCCTCTCCCCGCCCCGCGGCTTCCTTGGACGGAAGTTGCGTCACAGAAGCGCCAAAAAAGAATTTAGAAGGAGGTTGGCTTCTGGCTTGAGTCGCAGGTGTAGAGCTCAGCTGTATGAGCTGAGATCCGCCTTCGGCCGGGGACTTCGGGAGAGCTGCGGCCGAGGAGAACCGCAGGACCTGGCAAGGGTTGCCTGAAGGTCTCAGGGTCTCAACCCAGTTGTGCTTCCCCCGGGAGGGAGGGAGAATCGGGCCGGACGGATCAGCGCGTACCCCGGAGCCGGTCTCTTAGTGAATTGTGAGCACTTTGGGGCCTCTGAGCCATACAAGTAGGAACCTAGCCAGAGGAGGCGTGAATACGTAAAGCGAGGTGGTTTAATAAAGCACGGCCTGACGAGGGTGGCTTTTTTAGTCATTCTCCAGTTCTCTTTTAAATATTTTGTTTTTCGTTTATTTGGAAGGCAGAATTACAGAAAGAGGGAGAGACAGATCTTCCATCCGCTGATTCACTCCCCAAGTGGCTTCAGTGGCCTGGGCTGGGCCAGGCCGAAAGCCAGGAGCCCTGTTTCATCCAGGTCGCCCACTTGGGACCCACTTGGACCATCCTCTGCTGCTGTCCCAGGCGCATCAGCAGGGAGCTGGGTGGGAAGTGGAGCAGCCGGGACACGGACCAGGTCCAGATGGGATGGCAGCATTGCAGGCTGTGGCTTAACCCACTGTGCCACAATGCTGACCCCTCCAGTCCGCTTAAATTGTGTTGGGATTATTACCAGCACTGGTTATTGTCGTTTGGGAACGATGTGGCGTGTAGCATCATAAGGAGCACTTCAGTGTGACAGTTTTGGTCTCTGTACTTGTCACCACTCAACTTTGATCTTAACCGGTTTACTTAATTTCTCAGAGCTTCAGTGTCTAATGTGTAAGGTCCAGTCTATTATCAAATTCCTGTTGCTCCCTAAAATTGGGGACTTTTTAGTTATTAACTTGTTGATTCACCAAGTCCCTTTAAATAAAGTTTCATATAGATTTTCATAATGAATTTCACTATATATATATATTTTTTTTTTTAGATTTTTTTTTTACTTGAATGGGGAGAGGCAGAGAGACAGACAGACAGACAGACAGACAGAGGTCTTCATCCACTGGTTCATTCCCCAAGCAGCCTTAATGGCCTGAGCTGGGCCAGACAAGGAACCAGGAGCTTCCTCTAGATCTCCCACGAGGGTGCAGGGGCCCAAGAACTTGGGCCATCTTCCACTGCTTTTCCAGGAGCTGGATCGGAAGTGGAGCCAACAGGACTCGAATTGGCCCCCATGTGGGATTGCCAGTGTCACTGGCAGTGGCTTCTATGCCACAATGCCAGCCAGCCCCAGGATGTTTTCTTGTTTATTTTTTACCCTTAGGATATGAATTATTTTTAAAATAGACTTTATTTTTAGTAGGACACTGAAATTTACAGAAAAACTGCTCAGAAATTGGGTATGATATGGCAGAATTCACCATCAGTACCCATGGTGGCATATACCTCGTTAGTGTCTCCGAAAGGTCAGGATTTTTACTGCAAACAGGATAAGTTACAGTTCATTATCTGTTGTATGTTCATTTCTGTTGTGGAGGCACCTTGAAAATAGATACAGTATCTTTTCTTAATTTTACCCCTAGAGCCACTAACTGTTTAAGTAGCTAGTGTACCTTAACAATAGTGGAGAGTAGAATATTTCTCCTACAGGTTTGGTGAAGGATTCAAGGTTTTTTTTTATTTTTTATTTTTTTTATTTTTTTTTTTTAGCGACATGGCTGGAGAACACCGAGGGAGAGGATTTGGACGCGGAAGATTTCAAAGCTGGAAAAGAGGAAGAAGTGGTGGAAACTTCTCAGGAAAGTGGAGAGAAAGGGGACACAGACCTGACTTGAGTAAAGCCACTGGAAAGCAGACTTCTCGTGGGTGACATTGATGTTTATTCAGGATTTTTTTTCCTTCATGAAAGAAGCCATTCATGCTGATGTCACTTTGCCTTTTATTTGATGTTACTCAAAGCTAGTATATATATGAACATTAATACTGAAAATTCTTACCAAAACCTCTAACTTAGTCACTCTTTTAGTAGCATGTCAAGTTGTCATTGTTGGAAGGAGGAACAAACTGGAAAAAAAGTTTGCTCTATTTCTTTTATTTTTTAAGGTTTATTTATTTATTTGAAATTCAGAGTTACACAGAGAGAGGGGAGGCAGAGAGAGAGAGGTCCTCCATCTGCTGGTTCACTACCAAATTGGCCACAATAGCTGGAGCTGCGCCAATCTGAAGCCAGGAGCCAGGAGCTTCCCCCAGGTCTCCCACACAGGTGCAGGGACCCAAGGACTTGGGCCATCTTCCACTGCTTTCCCAGGCCACAGCAGAGAGCTGGATCAGAAGTGGAGCAGCCGGGTCTTGAACCGGCGCCCATATGGGATGCTGGCACGGCAGGCATTGGTGGCTTTACCCACTACACCACTGCGCTGCCCCCCTCTTTTGTAAAGATTTATTTATTTATTTATTTATTTGAAAGGCAGAGATATTGAAAGAGGAGAGAGCGAGATCTTCCATCCCCACTAGTTCACTCTTCAAATGGTCCCAATGGCTGGGGCTGGGCCAGGCTGAAGCCAGGGCCCAGAAGCTTCATCCAGGTCTCCCACATGGGTGCAGGGGCCCAAGGAGTTGGGTCACCTTCTTCTGCTTTCCCAGGTGCATGAGAAGGGAGCTGGATCAGAAGTGGGGCAGCCAGGATTTGAACTGCATCCGTGTGGGATGCCAGCACTGCAGGCTCAGGCTTAACCTTCCAAACCAGTAAGCTGGCCCCTGTTTGCTCTGTATTTACTAACCTAGTGTGTTTTTTTTCCCCTCAGAGCAAAATCCACAATCTTTGCTACGGCAGTCAACATTGGATCAATTCATACCTTACAAAGGCTGGAAGCTTTATTTCTCTGAAGGTAGTGTTAAAAGTGCAAAAAGTACCATAAGTTACATTTTCTTAACTTGTCTTTGAGTGTTCTGTCAAATATTACTGTAATTCATTTGGTTTATTGATAGAATAAAAATTTCATAGAAAATGAAATTATTTTGGTGCAAAAAAATTTTGAAATTCATGCAGTTTTTCATAATGCACATTTTTTTCGTGAAATTTTTGAAGATGCCTGGTACATAGATTTCAAACTTTTTTTGCCCCAAAATAAGTATTTAATTCCATTTTCGACAACTTTTTGAAGGACTCTTATATATACAAGTACTTTAACTTTTTTTTTTTTTTTTTTTTTTGACAGGCAGAGTGGACAGTGAGAGAGAGAGAGACAGAGAGAAAGGTCTTCCTTTTTGCCGTTGGTTCACCCTCCAATGGCCGCCGCGGCCGGCGCACCACGCTGATCTGATGGCAGGAGCCAGGTGCTTCTCCTGGTCTCCCATGGGGTGCAGGGCCCAAGCACTTGGGCCATCCTCCACTGCACTCCCGGGCCACAGCAGAGAGCTGGCCTGGAAGAGGGGCAACCGGGACAGAACCCAGCGCCCCGACCAGGACTAGAACCTGGTGTGCCGGCGCCACAAGGCGGAAGATTAGCCTAGTGAGCCGCGGCACCGGCACAAGTACTTTAACTTTATTGTAACCAAACAATTAAATTGTGTTTATGTTTCAAGAGTGTTATTCTTAAGTTGTGTGTTAGTCAGGAAACAGAAACCAGACTGGATATTTCTTTTCCAAAGGGAAATTTAATACAAATAATTAGAAGGCTGAAGGAGTAAAAAAGGGTTATGTTGATATAACCTCCCAGCAGTAACTTCAGAAAATGGCAACCATTTCCATGGCTGAGGAAACAAAAATTAAGTTCTGAGCATCCCCAAACTTAGGAATTTGAGTGGGGACCACAACATACCTTCATTTCTGCCTTTGAGGGGCACCCTGAAAACCAGTGCTTGCACCTCAGAAGGCTAACCCTATAAAGCTGTGCTCAGACCGCTGAGGCAAAGGAAGCTGATTGCTGTGGGTAATACTGGGGGGAGGGGGAGCACATGCCTCATTTTAGTGCTTGGAGCTGGAGGCTTAGGACTACACAACTGGAGAGATGCCAGAAAGAATTGAAATAAGAATGAATTCCTTTCTCACTTCCGCCACCTTCTAAACTCTAAAGTGCCTCGAGTTGGTAGGCTAAAGAAATTCTGGGAAATGTAAGGTGCAGGTCTCAATTACAGCATCACCCAGCAGAAAATAGAAGGGTGGACTTAGAACCAAGAGACAATAACTCTAAGACAGGTTTGTATAGAAACATAGTTAAGGAGTTTCTCTTTGGTAATCAAGAATACCAGCTAACGTCATAGATCTGTCTGTGTAGGTGTAGGGAACTGTCTTTTCTGTACTCTTATTGTATCTGTATTTGCTATGTCTTACAAGGTATGAATTTTGCTTTTTATATATACATGAGAGCTCTTCAAAAAGTCATGGAATTGTGTGTTATGAAAAAACTATGGATGAGCTTCAATATTTTTTTGCACCAAAGCGACTTATCTCTTAATTCCGTTTTTCTACAAACTTTCTGATGTACCCTTGTATCTATGTTTTTTTCCTCACTAGGCTGTATGGGTTGAGGTCAAGGATTCTGCTCCCTGTCAGGCACTCCATATTTGTTTTATGAATGAATAAAGTACTTTATAGATGCATCCTGCATTGGGAATCTATTATGCAGTCTGTGTCTTTCTATTGTATAGGAAAATGTGTTTCCTGGATGGTTTTTTATTGCTGTAGAGTGTATTAGCTACCAGTACCCATTGTATTCCCTTAGCAGTTAGCTCAGAATACTGTAAGCGATCAGTAGACTGCTCCTAGGTAGGCACATTGGGCTTGACCAGTCATCCTTCCAAAGTACATTATTGTACTGTTCTCTGTGGGAGACGAAGTTGAAAATATTACAGAAGTTAAAGACATGAAGCATATAGCTGTATAATTTGTGGACCAGTATCAAGTGTTTGTCTCTCACTTGATCTCAGGAAAGGATTTGACAGGTGGCAATTTAGACTAGTAGAATTTACTTAGTAAAGACTATGATAATCTTCAGCTCTATTTCAGAAGAAGACTTTAGTTCATGTGTCTGACTTGGCTTTATTACAATTTTTGGTTTAAACTTATCATGTAAGCTATTTAAACTAATTATGCTCTGTTAAGTGTCAAAAGACTCAATACAGTTTCCTAGATGTTGAGGCTTTTAGAGTCGATTCCTTTTTGCATTTCAGATTATGCAGACCTAAATTTGTTTTATTTTTTTAAAGATTTGTTTATTTATTTATTTGAAAGGCAGAGTTTACAGAGAGGCAGAGGCAGAGAGAGAGAGAGGTCTTCCATCCACTAGTTCACTCTCCAGATAGCCACAACTGCTGGAACTGCGCCAATCTAAAGCCAGGAGCCAGGAGATTCTTCTGAGTCTCCCACATGGGTGCAGGGGCCATCTTTTACCGCTTTCCCAGACCATAGCAGGGAGCTAGATGGCAAGTGGAGCAGCTGGGACTTGAACCGGCGCCCATATGGAATGCTGACACTGCAAGTGGTGGATTTTACCTGCTTTACCATAGCACTGTTTTATAATCTCAACAATATATTCTGGGGGCTGGTGCTGTGGCTTAGTGGGTAAAGCCACTGCCTGCAGTGTTGGCACCCATACAGTTTGAGTCCCAGCTGCTCCACTTCTGATCCAGCTCTCTGCTGTGGCCTCGGAAAGCCGTAGAAGATGGCCCAAGTCTCTGGGCCTCTGACCCACGTGGGAGACCCAGAAGAAGCTCCTGGCTTTGGATCAGCCCAGCTTTGGCCTTTGAGGCCATTTGGGGAGTGAACCAGCAGATGGAAGATTTCTTTCTGCGTCCGCCTCTCTGTAACTCAGCCTTTCAAATAAACAAATAAACCTAAAAAATTTTTAAAAAGAATATATTCTGTAGCAGCTCTTATCTGAATATAATAATAATACAAAGTAATTGAAGTAAGTCACCTACCATGTATATATTGTTACTTATAAATGTGCTCATACATGTGTGGTTATTAACACTAATGCTGTATTTGTTGGATTAGTTTACAGTGGTAGCTCTCCTTTTATTGAGAAGATTCAAGCATTTGAAAAATTTTTCACAAGGCACATTGATCTATATGATAAGGTAAGATTCCTCCACAATAAAGCTGCCAGTCCACACGGATGTGTCATCAGACAGTGTGTGTGATGTGCTGGTGACTGGTCACATTGCCTTGGTTCAGAACCCAGCTCTGCCCCTACTCAGCACTCTGGACTTTAGTGAATTTTTTATCTGTGCCTTGATTTTCTTATCTGTCAGTTGGAAATGACAATATATGCATCTACCTCAGAGTGTTATTTATTTATTTATTTTTGACAGGCAGAGTGGACAGTGAGAGAGAGAGAGACAGAGAGAAAGGTCTTCCTTTGCCATTGGTTCACCCTCCAATGGCCGCCGCGGTCGGTGCGCTGCGGCCGGCACACTGCGCTGATCCGATGTCAGAAGCCAGGTGCTTCTCCTGGTCTCCCATGGGGTGCAGGGCCCTAGCACTTGGGCCATCCTCCACTGCACTCCCTGGCCACAGCAGAGAGCTGGCCTGGAAGAGGGGCAACCGGGACAGAATCCGGCGCCCCGACCGGGACTAGAACCCGGTGTGCCAGCACCGCAAGGCGGAGGATTAGCCTAGTGAGCCGCGGCGCCGGCCTTACCTCAGAGGGTTATTAATAACCACAGTAAGTTATTATATTTAAAATATTAGAGCCATTCTTGACACTAAACTTATAGTACTCACCATTATCACCACATAAATATGTACTTTCTCAAATGTATAATGGAATGCTTAGTTAAGATAATTGACTAAGAAAGTAATTATTGTTTTAATACTTTTATATTTCATAGGATGAAATAGAAAGAAAAGGAAGTATTTTGGTGGATTTTAAAGAACTGACAGAAGATGATGAAATAACTAACTTAATACCAAATATAGCAACTGAACTAAGGGATGCACCTGAGAAAACCTTGGCTTGCATGGGTCTGGCAATACATCAGGTAAATACCTGTTTCACACACTCTTGTCAGAATTATAAAGGAAGATTTCACAGTGATGGTACTTTCTTTAAAAGACATTTAAGTTTTACTCATAGATCTGGGCTAGAATTGAATGGTTGCACGCTGTCTTGTCTTGAAAGACTCCATTCATTCTGTATTCAGTAGTTTACTTAAACAGAACATTTATTCCCAACTTATTTTAATTAATCTAATTAAAGATTGTACAGAAATTAAGCCCTGATTTCAAGGAGCTGTACAGTCTCAAAGGGAAGATGAAGCAAGATGTCGTGGTGTTATGAGGTATGAACTTGGGGCAGAAAAGACCAACCTCAGCTCCAGATTTTGTGACATAAAGGCAAATAATTTAATTTCCTTGAATATCCCTGTGTATGAAGTGGAAACAGTACGTGCAGTGCCAGCTTGAGTCCTTCTCAGGGTCTCATGACAGGATACATGAAAGCATTTTTGAGGCTAGCAGACATAAATGCTTTAAGCAGATCTTGGGATAGGCACAAAGTGCTGAGTGTGTTCAGAGGTCATGATAAAGACCCAACTGTTGGGGAGGAAAGGGGAATGCACTAAAGCTGGAAGGGGTTATGACAGGTCTTGGAGGGCAGCTAGAATTTGAACATACAGCAGAACAGCTAAGGGCATCCAGGTGCAAGGAGCAATTCATCACAAAGATTTGTGTGCTGCTAGAAACCCTAAAGTAGAATCCTTGGCTGTTGTATTCAGGCTTTTCTGGCTCATTATCTTCCCATATGCAAGTTGCCAAATGCTTTCCTTTCTCTTTCTAAAATATCTCTTTTAGGGGTGAGTGTTTTGTGAGGCAGCTTAAATCACCACTACTTGGGATGTTTGCATCCCATATCAGAGTACCTGGTTTAAGACCTGGATACTCTGCTCTGACCCAGCTTCCTGCTGATGCATACCCTGGGAGGGAGCAGATTATGGCTTAGGTACTTGGGTCCCTGCCACCCATGTGGGAGACTCAGCTGGAGTTCTGGGTTCCTGGCTTCTGCCTGGCCCAGCGCTGACTGTTGGAGCATTTAAGAAGTGAATCAGCAGATGGGCGATCTTTATCTTTCTCTCTGCCTTTTAAAAACAGTGAAAATAAATAAATAAAATTCTTAAAAAATACGTCTCTTAAGCCTACCTGCTTTCTATCCCTCTTAGGCTAAGCCTCCTTTATCTTTCTTAAACTGAAACAGGATCTCTCCTTGGAAACTGTGGTGACTCTAGTGACTTCTAAGTGAAGTCCAAATCCTTTATGGAACATTGGAGACTTTAAGTGATCAGGCTTATGTTCATCTCCCAATATTGTTTTTCATTCACTACAATCTGACTAAGCTGACCGCCCTCCAATATTCTCTAAACACTCCTGCCTCTTGTATGTGCTGTCCTTTCAATGTAGAATTCCCCTCAGCTTGAGGCTGGTGTTGTGACATAGTGGGTAAAGCTGCCATCGGTGATGCCAGCATTCCATAAGGGTCTCAGCTGCTCCACTTCTGATCCAGCTTTCAGCTGGGAAAAGCAACAGAAGATGGCCCAAGTTCTTGGGCTCCTGCCACCCATGTGGGAGATCTAGGTGAAGCTCTTGGCTCCTGATTTCAGCTTGGCTCAGCCCTGGCTGTTGTGGCCATCTGGGAAATAAACCAGCCAATGGAAGATCTCTCTCTTCCCTCCCTGTCTCTCCCTCTCTCTTAATTCTGCCTTTCAATAAAATAAATGCATGAATAAATAAGTAAATCTTTTTTTTTTTTTTTTTTTTGACAGGCAGAGTGGACAGTGAGAGAGAGAGACAGAGAGAGAAAGGTCTTCCTTTGCCGCTGGTTCACCCTCCAATGGCCGCCGCTGCAGCCGGCGCACCGCGCTGATCCTGGCAGGAGCCAGGAGCCAGGTGCTTTTCCTGGTCTCCCATGGGGTGCAGGGCCCAAGCACCTGGGCCATCCTCCACTGCACTCCCTGGCCATAGCAGAGAGCTGGCCTGGAAGAGGGGCAACCGGGACAGAATCCGGCGCCCCAACCGGGACTAGAACCCGGTGTGCCGGCGCCGCAAGGTGGAGGATTAGCCTATTGAGCCACGGCGCCGGCTAGTAAATCTTTTTTTAAAAAAAAGAATTCCCCTCACCTTGTGTATTCAAATTCTTTGAGCCAAGCTCTCTGTGTAAGTCTTTTTTCTCGTGATCTCATGATCCTTTTCAAAACTAATGGTATTTTGTCCATAAAGCTTTACAGTCCTTATAACAATCATAGCTGTATAAAGACTGCTTTGTATACAAGTAGGTGTTTAATATTTATGTAGTATCAGGTGCCAAAGGAGTGTGCATTGTGTATTTTGAAGATCATCTTTATTTTCTGTCTTGATTATTCAGTGAATATGGAGAAATTGAAATTTTTATTTATTTTAATTGAAAGCCAGAATACTGGCTTTGGGGGCTACTATAAGAACTTTTAATATTAAGTTTGGTTGCAACAGAAGGTAACAGACAAGGATGCTGGAGTTTTCCAGTCCTGGGACAGCAAAATCCTAAGGTTAAACATAAATCCACTGTAAAAGAGGTAGTCATAGCTAAATATCACATTTTTAATGGGCTATTAAGGGTTCTGTTCTGAACTGTTTATGTTCATAAACTTTGTGTTTTCTAAAATTGAGTTCTGCTTAAAGAGGATATTTTGTTTTTCAGCTTTTGTTTAAATGCCTGTTGTCTTTAGGTACTAACTAAGGACCTAGAAGGGCACGCAGCTGAATTAAAAGCCCAGGAAGGATTGCCTAGTGATAGAGAAACAATGGTAAATGTACCGCACGTTCATGCAAGGTGAGGAGTTTGTGGGTAGCCAAGTGTTATGTAGAATAGACCACTAAGACAGAGAATGAGAACCTTGTTTTATAAAAAGAAGGAAACCAGAGAAAAGGTTATGAGTGCTTTTGCTATCTGGTTGATAGTCTTACCTAAGTGAATCCACTGAAAATTACTCAAAGAGACCATAACAGAAATCAACATTTTAATAATTTGATTTGAAAAGTTTTGGTAAGCATTGGTTTTAGATGTGTATTTGTCGGGCCGGCGCCGTGGCTCAATAGGCTAATCCTCCACCTTGCGGCGCCGGCACACCGGGTTCTAGTCCCGGTTGGGGCGCCGGATTCTGTCCCGGTTGCCCCTCTTCCAGGCCAGCTCTCTGCTATGGCCAGGGAGTGCAGTGGAGGATGGCCCAGGTGCTTGGGCCCTGCACCCCATGGGAGACCAGGAAAAGCACCTGGCTCCTGGCTTCTGCCATTTTCATCTCGGGGAGGCGGCTGCCGCGGCGCCATTGGGGGGTGAACCAACGGCAAAAGGAAGACCTTTCTCTCTCTGTCTCTCTCTCTCTCACTGTCCACTCTGCCTGTCAAAAAAAAAAAAAGATGTGTATTTGTCAAAACCTTCTTGAGTAAATTTATAAACTTTGTAACATATTCAGAGGATTTATGTTGTTGAATTACTAAGTTTTTACTAGACACAAGGGAGTAAGTGAAATTATTTTGGTTTTCTTGAATTCATCTTTGTTGTATTTTAAGATTTTAAATTTGTTATATAAATAAGGTAATCATCACAGTTTTATTTCTTTTTCAGATTTTATGGAAGACTTTTTCCTAACAGTTCTTTAAAAAAAAGTTAGAAACTCAAAAGTTGTTGAATCGTAGATTTCTTTGTGACATTATTATTATTTTAAGATTATTTATTCATTTGAAAGGCAGAGAGACAAAGATCTTGCATCTATTTGTTTACTCCCCGAATGCCCACAACATCCATAGCTGGGCCAGAGCTAAGCCAGGAACCTGGAACTGAATCTGGGTCTCCCATGAGGGTGGCGGGTACCAGAGTGGGACAGCTATGACCAAAATACTTGAGCCATTACCACTGCCTGCCAGGGTGCACAGAAAGCTGGGACTGGAATTGAGGCTAGGATGCTATTGTCTTTTTTTTTTCTTTGACAGATAGAGTTAGTGTGAGAGAGACAGAGAAAAAGGTCTTCCTGCCGTTGGTTCACTCCCCAAATGACCGCTACGGCTGGAACTATGCCGATCCGAAGCCAGGAGCCAGGTGCTTCTTCCTGGTCTCCCATGCAGGTGCAGGGACCCAAGCACTTGGGCCGTCCTCCACTGCTCTCCTGGGCCACAGCATAGAGCTGGACTGGAAGAAGCAGCCGGGACCAGAACCCGGTACGTGCCCATATGGGATGCTGGTGCCACAGGCGGAGGATTAACCTAATGAGCCACGGTGCCAGCCTGGGATGCTATTGTCTTAAGCAGCCTCTTAACCACTGGGCCAAATGCCAGCTCCCTTCCTTTTTTGACAAAGTTTTTCCCCCTAGAGACAGTCTATAGAATATGAAGAAAAGGGAAGGCTTAACGTTTTTAATTTTTAAGAATGATTTAGCTCTTATGAGATTTCTGATATCTAAGAGGATGTAGTTTGAAAATTCTTTAGTTGCTCCCAAAAGGAACTTGTGAAATACAGACATCCTCATTGTAAATTTATGGATAAACACGTTCCTGTTTTGTTTTAGAGTTTACAACTATGAGCCCTTGATGCAGCTCAAGAACGTCCGAGCAAATTACTATGGGAAGTACATTGCTCTGAGAGGGACAGTGGTTCGTGTGAGCAACATAAAGCCTCTGTGCACCAAGATGGCTTTTCGTTGTGCTGCCTGTGGAGAAATTCAGAGTCTTCCTCTTCCAGATGGAAAGTACAGTCTTCCCACAAAGGTGATGTGCTCTTTAACTCCTTTTTTATGTATCATCCCGGTAAGGAAGGCAAATCAGTTGACAGAAAACATCTGAAATGGTTTTGAACACAGAGCTTATTTTCTTTTCAGTTTTTAAATTATGAAATACTTCAAAGTACAGAAAATACAGAAATAAATAAAACATTCCTATACTTACCACCCAAAATTTACATTTTGCAGCGTGTGCACACACACATATATTTATTTATTTTTAAAGACTTAATATTATTCGAAAGGTGGAGTGACAGAAAAAGAGGGAGAGATAGAGAAAGATCTTCCATCTGTTGGTTCACTACCCAAATGGCTGAAGCCAGGAGACTTGAACTCTATCTGGGTCTTAAGTACTTGGGCCACCTTTTGCTGCTTTCTCAGGCACAAGGGCAGGGAGCTAGATTGGAAATGGAGCAGCTGGGACTCAAACCAGTGCTCCAGTAAGGGATGCTGGCATCATAGGTGGTGGCTTAACCTGCTGTGCCACCATGCCAGCTCCATCCAGGTATATTTTTAAAGATACAAAGCATTAGTGTCTCTTATTTACCCTTTGTACCCTTCTCAGAAACAGTCACCATCTTGAAGTTAGTATGCATACTTTCTATTCATTATTTTGACTTCATAGGCATAGGCAATATACATCAAGTTTTCTTTCTTTTATTTGCTTCTCCTTTTTGGAAGTGATATGTTTTGTTCTTTTTTTTTATTAGCTTTTTTTTTTTTTTTTAAGATTTATTGTATTTATTTGAAAGACAGTTACAGAGAGAGGTAGAGACAGAGAGAGAGAGGTCTTCATCCACTGGTTCACTCCCCAGATGGCCACAACTGTCGGAGCTGAGCCAATCTAAAGTCAGGAGCCAGGAGCTTCTTCTGGATCTCCCATACAGGTGCAGGGGCCCAAAGACTTGGGCCATCTTCTACTGCTTTCCCAGGCCATAGCAGAAAGATGGATTGGAAGAGGAGCAGCTGGGACTAGAACCAGCACCCATATGGGATGTGGGCCCTTCAGGCCAGGGCTTTTACATGCTGCGCCACAGCGCTGGACGCTTTTATTAGCTTTTTTTAAAAAAGATTTATTTATTTGAATGGCAGAGTTACAGAGAAGCATAGGCAGAGAGGGATGTCTTCCATCCACTGGTTTACTCCCCAGATGGCTGTGATGGCTGGAGCTGGGCCTATCCAAAGCCAGGAGCTTCTTCTAGATCTCCCACATGGATGCACGGGCCCAGAACTTGAGCCATCTTCCACTGCTTTCTCAGGCACATTAGCAGACAGCTGGATTGGAATTGGAGCTGCCAGGAGTTGAACCGGTACCCATATGAGATGCTGGCATTGCAGACAGTGGCTTTGCCCACTACGCCACAGCACTGGCCCCTCATTAACTTTTTTAAGCAATAGGTTTTTGTTTGTTTTTGTTGTTGTTGTTTGCTTTTTTGTTTGTTTTGAGGATTTGTTCTATTTATTTGAAAGGCAGAGTTACAGAGAGAGCCAAAGAGAGATCTTCTGTCCACTGGTTCATTCCTTAAACAGCTGGGCTGAGCTGAGCTGGGCCAGGCCAATCCAGGAGCCTAGAACTGCAACTAGGTCTCCCATCATGGGTGGTGGGGGCCCAAGTTACTTGGGTCATCTTCTGCTGCTTTCCCGTGTACGTTAGCAAGGAGTCAGATCAGAAGTAGAGCAGCTAGAACCAGCACTTATATGGGATACTGGCATGGCAGGCAGTGGCTTAACCTGCTGTGCCACAACACTTGCCAACATAGAGTTTTAAAGTTATTTTAAAGTAAGCAATATCTGTATATCCACTATTATGAGCTGGCAAATAATTTTTTTAAAGATAGAATTCTCTCTGTTCCCCTGCTCAGTTCCATTCCCTTTATTCTGTTCTCGAAGGCAGCCACTATTTTGAAATTTGCATGTATTCTTCAAGTCTGCATTTTTATTCTTGATTGTAAATAGGGTTAATTTTGTTGTGTTTGTATAAATGACATAACAGTATATAACATTTTGCATCCCTTTTCACTTGGTTATTTTATAGGTCTACTATTTTAATATGCACCTAACTCCTTTTAGTTACTATAGAATATTCCTAAATAACCACTGTTGGTCCATTCTGGTGGTGGTCATTGGTGATGTTTCCAGTTGTTCACAGTTAAAATGAGGCTGCAGAAGACATCCTTGTGCATAGCAGAGAAGATTGTAACTTATAGGCTATACTTGTTTGTGACTCCATCAGACACTACCAAATTACTTTCCAGAGTTCTGGTCCCTAACACCCCCTACAGGTATTTTAAGCATTTCTCATTTCCCCATAATTTAATTAATGCTTGGTATTGTTAGTGTTTTTGATTTTTCTAGCCTGCTGGGTATAAAGTGGTATTTTATTTATAATGTGAATTTTTAGGGTTTTTATTATGGTTGAGCATCTTTCTTTTTTTAAAGACTTATTTGTGGGTCTGGCACTGTGGCACAGCAAGTTAAGCCATTGTCTGCATGTGTCAGCATTGCATGTGGGCGCTGGTTCAAGTCCTGGCTGTGTTACTTCCAGTCCAAGTCCCTGCTAATGTGCCTGGGAAAGCATCAGAAGATGACCCAAGTGCTTGGGTCCCTGCACTCACGTGGGAGACCCAGAAAGAAACTCCTGTGTTTGGTCTGGTCAAGCCCTGGCCATTGCAGCCATTTGGGGAGTGAACCAGCAGATGGACGCTCTCTCACTCTATCCTTCCCTCTCTGTGTAATTCTGACTTTCAAATAAATAAATAAATATTTGTTTTTAAAGTTTATTTTGAAAGTCACAGAGAGAGAGGAGAGAGAGATCATCCATCTGCTAGTCCACTCCCCCGATGGCTGCAATGGCCAGGGCTGAGCCAGGCCAAGGCCAGGAGCCAGGAGCTTCATCTGAGTCTCCCATGTCTGTGGTGGGGATCTGAGTAGGGCCATCTTCCACTGCTTTCCTAGGCCATTAACTAGATCAGAAGTGGAGTAGCAGGGGCTTAAACTGGTGCCCATATGTTATGCCAGCATTACAGGTGGTGGCTTTACCTGCTATGCCACAACGCTGGCCCCTGGTTGAACATCTTTTCATACCTTTATTGGTTATTCAGTTTCCTTTATTGAATTTTCTGTGTATATCTTCTGTTCATTTTTCTGTTTACTGGTTAATTCATAGAATTACTTTACATATTCTAGATACTAATTACTGATTAGATATTTGTACATAATCAGTATCTTCTCCAAGTCTTTGGTTTATCTTTTAATTTTGTCATGTTTTTTCTGTTTTTGTACTGTTTTTACCTTTTAAAAAATTATTTACATATTGAGAGCAGAGTGATAGAGACAGAGAGCTAGTATCGCTTATTTACTCTACAAATGCCCCCATGTTGCTGGAGATAGGCTAGGGTGAAGCCAGGAGCTGGGAGCTCAGTCTAGATCTCCCACTTGGGTGGTTTCAGTGACCCAGGTACTTCAGCCATCAACTGCTGCCTCCTGGAATGCGCATTAATAGGAAGCTAGAAATGGGAGCAGAGCTGAGCTCAGTCAGGCACTTTGATATGGAATGCTGGCATCCCAACTGGCTTCTGTCACACCGCGCCAAGTATCTGCCCGTTTTTCCTTTTGACATGGTCCAATTGATCAGTCTTCTCCCTCATGACTTTGGTGTTCTGTGCCCTGCCTAAAAAGGCTTCCCCCACCTGAGTAATATAACATGCTTCTGGCATCTACTTCTAGTGCTTTTGTATTTAGATCTTCTGTCCATCTGGGGTTTAATTTTGTGTATAAGGTAAAGCTAGAGATCTAGTTTTACCTGAAAAACCATTTGTCCTGTCACCATATGTAGTGAAGCCTTTTGTTGCCTCTCTTGTGTGATGCTTCCTCTGTGGTATACTGTGCTTCTGTAGAGGTGGGAGTCTGTTCATTTCATTGGTCCTGTACAAGCTCCATATGGTTTTATTCATGTTGGGCATACTAAAACTTTAGATAAGGCAGGGTGGTATGCTGTATCCATTATTTTCCTGAGTTGACTGTACTGTCTTTGGACTTTAATAAATTAGACATTAATTAAATTTTTATTCATTTAGAGGTCAACTCCTAAGTAACTCCTTGAAGAATTAGGAATGGAAACAGTGTTTCTGTTTGAAAGCACAGGGCTGCTTTCTCTTATGGGAAGCACAGAGTGTTAGATTCAGTTGTAAGTTCTGAATACTCTGGTATTGATAAGTGGGTATCATCTATACTTTCTTGGCTTAAGGCTCAAGGCAGAACCTTTAACTCAGAGGCCAGAGTTTAGATCTTGATTTAATCCAGGTATTTTCTGTAGATAGTATCTGTTCAGAGTATTTCCATGCCTTCTAATGAAGTGAGTCCCAACACTGACTCCTAAATGACGTGGTGGAGGTCCTGCATGTGTCTGAACTGCAGTGAATTAAGTGACCAAAAAGATGGCTGTTCAATTTGATCTGTCACTGTTGCTGTATTAACAGATCACCCTATAACTTAGTGGTTCAAAATAACAGTAATCATTATTTATCACAATTTCTGAGGGTCAGGAGATTGGAAGACTACTAAGCTCAAGATCTCTTGTGGAATTTCTAGTCAGGTGGTGGCTGAAGCAGGTATAGTAAGGTGGCTGACCAGGGATCTGTCTCTCCTCCATGTGGTCTCTGCAGAGGCTGGTTTTGGCCTCTCACAGTATGGCAGTCCAGGAAGTTCATGCTGCTCATGTGGCTGTTGATAGTCCCAAAGCAAGGATGTAGTTGATAGGTAGAAATGGTTTTCCCTTATATGAGCTAGCCTCAGAAATTGTGGCATCACTTGTGTCACATTTTTTTGGTTTCTAAGTGAGTTACAAGACTGCCCAAGTTCCAGGACGGGAAATTGGACTCCATTTCTTGATAGGGGAGAGGCAAGGTTCTAGAAAAGCTTGAGCAAAAATGTTGTCTTCATTTTTAGAAATTCCTGTTTGCCAGTTTTTGAATTTGTAAATGATCTCAAGGTCCAAATGCCAGACAAGTGACTTGTGAAGCTTGAACACAGTCTGCCTGTATGTTGATTGCTGCCTCTGTAACAATCAGTATTATTATATTGTACTACAAACAGTGTAAAAGGAGGCTAGGGGACAGGAACTGGTGCCTGTGTGGGATGCTGACATTGCATTCAGCAGCTTAACCCGCTACGCCATGACACCGACACCTAAGTGAAATATGTTAACTAGGATTTTCCTGAGATGTGATTGCAGTGTATTAGTGTCTGAATGTGAATGATTCCTGTTGCAGTGTCCTGTGCCTGCGTGTCGAGGGAAGTCGTTTACTGCTGTCCGCAACTCTCCTCTCACAGTTACAATGGACTGGCAGTCGATCAAGTAAGCAATCAGACTAGATTGTTAAATAAATAAAAGACTGAGTAAGTCTATAGTTTTATTCTGTTATACTGTGATTTTTTTTTAAATCTGTAAACAATAAAGTATATAATAGGTTAATTTGATGAGCAACTTATGTGTTAAAATGATAATTGTCTTTATTTGAAATTTATTCTCTGTCAGATTCCAGAAAGACTTCAGTATGCAATTATTTTGTCCTGTTACTGCTAAAGAATAGTTTGTTTTTAAATCTCAATTATGTGGTTCACTGAATTGCACGTAGACCATAAACAACGCTATATGTTTCATTCATATGGTTTTTTTTGCTGTAGAAGAAAGGTCTTATGCCTGCCATATTTAGCAAATTCAATTTATGTTTTTTTCTGAGGCTTAGCTTGGGATGGCCTTGAGGAATTACTCATCTAGTGCACCGAAACATTTGTAAACATTAAGGTGACAGCCTTATAATGTGTATCAAAGCCTTACAATTATAGCAGTTCCTGTTCTAGAAGCTTATCTGATAAAAAGTCATGATATTATGCAAAAATAGTTTGCTGAAAGTATATTTTCATAATGTTGATAAAAATTGGGAACATCAAGGGGCCAGCGCTGTGGCGCAATGGGTCAAGGCCCTGGCCTGAAGCGCTGGCATCCCATATGGGCGCCGGTTCTAGTCCCAGCTGCTCCTCTTCCAATCCAGCTCTCTGCTGTGGCCTGGGAAAGCAGTGGAGGATAGCCCAAGTCCTTGGGCCCCTGCACACATGTGGGAAACCCAGAAGGGGCTCCTGGCTCCTGGCCTTGGATCAGTGCAGCTCCCGCTGTTGCAGCCATCTAGGGGGTGAACCATCGGATGGAAGACCTTTCTCTCTGTCTCTACCTTTCTCTGTTACTCTGTCTTTCAAATAAATAAATTTTTTAAAAAATTGGGAACATCAAAAGAAAATGATTACAAGAAGTCTTTTATTTCACTGGTTGTTCAGAATGATCTCATATTTAATTTTTAAAGATTTATTAGGAGTTTTTTTTTTTTTTTTTTTTTTAAGAATTTAAGTCAAAGTTACACAGAGAAATAGAGGTAGAGAGAGAGAGATCTCCCATCCGCCAATTCACTCCCCAATTGGCTGCAAGGGCCAGAGCTGCGCCAATCCAGAGCCAGGAGCCTCTTCCAGGTCTCCCACATGGGTTCAGGGGCCCAAGGACTTGGGCCATCTTCCACTGTTTTCCCAGGCCACGGCAGAGAGCTGGATCAGAAGTGGAGCAGCCAGGTCTCGAACTGGTGCCTATATGGGATGCCTGCACTGCAGGTGATAGCTTTACCTGCTATACCATATTACCAACCCCGAGAGATCTTTTATCTGCTTGTTCGCTCACCAAATGGCCACAAAGGCCAGGGCTAGACCAACCTGAAGCCAAGAGCCAAGAACTCCATCTCCCATGTGGACAGCAGGGGCTCAAGTACTTGAGTTATCTTCTATTGCTTTCGCAAGAACAGGGAGCTTGATCAGAAGTGGAGCAGCGTTCATATGGGATACTGGCATCACAGGTGGTGGCTTAACCTGCTGTGCCACAGTGCTGGCCCCGATCTCATATTTTAGTGTATACCATATTTAGACTAAGTTTATTGCTTAGCAGTTTATTTTTCATAAGCTTTTAAGAGCTGATTTGTTTCCTTTACCATTTCAACATAATTTTCTGTTCTTTCTTAAATCTGCTGTGGAATGCCTGGAATCCACCACTTGTTTAAATACATACATACATACATACATACATATATACATACACCTTTCTGAGCTGTACTTGAGCCTGGATCACTTCAGACCTACTGCCCTGTTTCATTTTGGGAATTTCTGCATTGCTTTCCTTAGACTTTATCTTCTGTTTTTGAAAATTCAAATTTTGTTTTTCTAAAGAATATTTTCAAGTAAATATTCAGAAAGTGCATGAGAAATAAAGTGTTCTGGGTCTTTACATGTTTGAAATTGTCTTTATTTGGATCTCAGCCTGGGTAAGATTTACCTGTCTACTGAGATTTATTTTGTTAGTTTTCTCTGCTGGTGATGAGAGGTGTGATTTTAGTTTCTTTGAGGGGACTGTGTGTTGGTGAGCTTTTTATCTTCGTTGTTCTGAAATGTGAGTGTACATTGAGCGGTGTCTTCACTGCTGGTGCCTTTGTTCTAGAACTGTCACCTCTGCACTGTTGGACATTTTCCTTTTCTGGGTGCTTTCATCAGATGCATTCCTTGCAGTCTTCCTCTGACTGAATGTTTCCCTCACCTTTTCATTTTCATTGGCTTTTTCTTTTTTAAACATTTTTTTAAATTTATTTATTTGAAAGGTAGAGTTAACAGAGAGAGGGAGAGACAGGGAGATAGAGAGAGGGTGAGCTTCCACTGGTTCATTCCCCAAATGGCCTCATTGGCTGGAACTGGGCTGATCTGAAGCCAGGAGCCAGGAGCTTCTTCCAGGTGTCCCACATGGGTGCAGGGGCTCAAGCACTTGGGCCGTCCTCTGCTGCTTTCCCAGGCTCATTAGCAGGGAGCTGGATCGGAGGTAGAGCTACTGGGACTTGAACTGGCACCCAAATGAGATGCTAGTGCTGCAGGTGGCGGCTTAACCTGCTACACCACAGTGCTGGCCCTGTCATTGGCTTTTTCTTGTATCCTTTCTGTAAGTTTTTGCTTTGTGTGTGTGTGTGTGTAATTTTCCTGATTTCACACTTATTTTCCATATTTCCTTTTTTTTTTAAATAGCAGCTTATTCTTGTTTTAGGGTAGCATTTTTAAAAAACTGTTAAGACAGTCTTTTGGTTAGTTTTTAGTACTCTTCTCCCCAAATTATTGCCATTCACCCTAAAATGTGTGGTGAGAATTAGAGTAGATGGGGAAGATTATCTTTGCTGTTTGATAGGTAGCAGTTTGTCCTCTAGGCCTCACCCTTGAATAAGGACCTGAGGATTTGACATCAAATTTTGTGTTATGAATGTGTTTTTCAGTTGGGATTGGACTTCTCAAAGGGTTTTTTTCTGGAGCTTTGATACCTTCACTGGACTCCCCTTACAGAAGGGAAGGCCCATTTCCTTAGAGCAGTGCTCTGGTTTTTGCCAGGTGGTAATGCCCTCTTTCTTTCCTTACCTGCCTGTCCACTCATCTTCCAAACAATTCTGCACAGCCATTCCATGGCTTGTCTTTCATCTCTCTTGTCTTCTCCCAGCATCTTCTTCTGCTCTCCACCCTGCCACCTCCCACTTGGAAGTTTGTCCAGGATTGTGCAGAGAACATTGGTTGCCACTTCTGTTGTACCCTTGTAACTTTTGCCTCTTTCTGTTCTGGGCTATTTTGTTTTATCCATCAGTATTTTCCCATTTGCTATTTATAGTAATTTCATCAATATCTGATTTGCTGGTGATAACCTCTGCATACCCCAAAACCTCACTCTTAGTGACTCTCATTTCAGTGAACACTTGGAGGGAGGCTGCACAAATGGGGAGCTCATTCTGCCATCCTAAGTTGAAAACCACTGAAGTAATTTTAGAATCATTGTTGAGCTTTTCTTAAACCAATGGGCCCTTTATCCAGCCCTGTAGACCTGAGTAGTTAATATGTTGAAGAAGCAACCTAAAATTTCCTAACTGCCTACTGAATTTTTTAGAATTCAGGAGCTGATGTCTGATGATCAGCGGGAAGCCGGTCGGATTCCACGAACGATAGAATGTGAACTTGTTCATGACCTCGTGGATAGCTGTGTCCCGGGAGACACAGTGACTGTTACTGGAGTTGTCAAAGTCTCAAATGCTGAAGAAGGTAAGGCATAATCTGTCCTCACTTTGCTCTCATTAGTGACTTGTCAGTATTTATCTTTTGTCTTTTTAAGATATTTTTGAATCTTAAATAATTATGGAAATCCTTGCTGGTTACATAAAGCACAACTTTTCCTGTAATATAAAGGTTTATTTGTAGCTCACTATGACTTTCTTTTCCATTCTAGTTGAATTGTTATAGAGAAAGTAAAAATACTAATTACTGTATTTATTACTTTGAATTTATAGGTTCTCGAAATAAGAATGACAAATGCATGTTCCTTTTGTACATTGAAGCAAATTCTGTTAGCAATAGCAAAGGACAGAAAACAGAGACTTCTGAGGATGGTTGTAAGCATGGAACATTGATGGAGTTCTCACTTAAAGAACTTTATGCCATCCAAGAGATTCAAGCTGAAGAAAACCTGTTTAAACTCATTGTCAAGTATGTATGAGTTTATCTTAAGGTTTATTACATCCATGTGTGTTGGAGGGAGCCTCTTGGATACAGGGTAAAAACTAGGCAAAGTGGCTGGCAAACTATAGTCTGTGAGCCAAATCCATCTTCTATCCATTTTGGTATAGCCTATGAGCTAACAATGATATTTGTATTTTTAATAGCTGAAAAAAAGTCAAAAGAAGAATATTTTATGACACATGAGGGTCAGGTTTCAGCATGCATAAATAAAATTTTGTGGGATTGCAGCCCCAGCCATTCATTAACATAGTTTCTGTGACTCTTTTTGTGCTTCAGTGGTAGTTGAGATGTTGAAAGAGAGAACATACATATGGCTCAAAAGCATTTATGCTTTGGCTCTTTACAGAAAAAGTTTGCTGATCCCTAGTTTAAATAGTAAGGAATACTTGCCTTCTCACACAAGAAGGTTGTTACTCCACAAAAAAAAAAAAAAAAAAAATGAGAGAGCAGTGAATAGCAAAGCCATTTCAGTTGTATTTAGAATATTATTTGTTTACTTATAAAAACCAAGAGCAAGATTCAAATAGAAACCACTTAAAGAGGCAGGCATTTGACACAGCAGTTAAGTCACTGCTTAGTATGTCTGCATCCCATAGGAGTTTCCTGCTAATGCATACCCTAGGAGGTAGTAGGTGATGGCTGAGATACTTGAGTCCCTGCCACCCATGTGGGAGCTCCAGATTGAGTTCCAGACTTCTGATTTTGACCTGGCTCAGCCCTAGTTGTTTTAAGAATGAATTAGCAGATGAAGGGTTTCTGTCTCTCTGCCTTTTGAATAAAATAAAAATAATTTTTTTAAAAGTCACTTAGATTCAGTAAGTGTTTCATCTTTATTTCCATATTCTTGTCATACAGTGAAGAAGAAGCAAAGTAGAGGTGTTTTTGCTTTAGGGGTTAAGAGCTTTTCTTTGAAGCCAAATATAAGTTAAAGTCCTACTTTGGCCATTTACTTCCAGTAATGTCCCTTTCCTGTTTTTCAACTTAAAATGGTAATTGTAAAATGTACATGAGCAGGTAATTCTGAAGATTGAATTAGATTTTATAATATACTTAGCATAATTAACACAACATGCTGTTATTTTTTTTTTTTTTAATTTATTTATTTACTCGAAAGTCAGTTACACAGAGAGAGGAGAGGCAGAGAGAGAAAGAGAGAAGCCTTCCATCCGGTGGTTCACTCCCCAGACGGCCGCAACGTCCAGAGCTGCGCCAATCCGAAGCTAGGAACCAGGAGCCTCTTCCAGGTCTCCCACATGGGTGCAGGGGCCCAAGGACTTGGGCCATCTTCTACTGCTTTCCCAGGCCATAGCAGAGAGCTGGATCGGAAGAGGAGCAGCCGGGACTAGAACCGGCGCCCATATGGCATGCTGGCGCCTCAGGCCAGGGCTTTAACCCACTGCACCACAGCGCCAGCCCCAACATGCTGTTATTTTTGATACTTTTTGACAATTTTTGGGGGTAATTTTGGAGAAATAAGGGAAAGCAAGAAAAACTGAATAATAGATATACTGAACAGAGGGACTTAAAGAACCGAGAAGGCTTTGAAATGCCTTGTATTAGAGAAGTAAATCTTGTCCTGCTTTCCTGTTTACTTAGGCTTTGGGCTCTAGGGGAATCTGACACTTTTTCTTTAGTCTTAAGCTGACTGCTCACGTGTACATAGAGTTCCTCAGGAGTGCTTTGTTCTTAAACCTTCCGAGGCTTCCCTGTGAGTAGTCCTTGGGATCCCTCCTGGGGAGAAAGGGGCCTCTGGCCTAAGGTGGATGTGATCTGGGGGTGAGTGGTCTGTGAGAAGGCAGCCACCAGCAACCTGCATGATCCGAACGCCTCTCTGTTTCCTCTTCCTGGTTATAAACTGAAAGTAAATATTCTCAGTGGTTCTTCTCTGCCATAGTTTTAGAAGATAAGTTAATATGAAGAACTGTTTGTGGTCTCTGCATCAAAACTAGAAGTTTTCATAGACCTCCATTTATTAATCTAGCAGAGGTTGGCAAGCTAGGCATGCAGGGTGTTTTTATAAATAAAGTTTTATTAGAACACAATCCCACCCATTTCATTTGTATATTGTCAATAGTGGTTTTCATATTATGTTTAGTGGTTGTGTCTGAGACATAGTGGCCAAAGCTGAAAATGTTTACTTTAGGGCCTTTAGGAAAAAGGTTGTTGGTCCCTGCTAGGTACAAATGGAGGACCCTGAAAGAAGAATGGAGACGACAATGGAGGTTATGTTTTACTTTAGGTTGCTTCAGAAGCCATGATTTGGGTAAGCATTTATTTGGGAGGTGATCTCAGAAACACTGGTAAAGGCAAAGGAAAGTAATATAAAGAAGGGGTGACAGTCAGCAGATGGTCCTTTAATGAGTAGGTTCCCACTAGTATCTGAGACCTTCGGAGTACTCCGCTTTGTAAAGCTATCCTCAGTATTTTCCAACAAAGGTCTTATATTTGAGGCTGCTCCCAGAATGATATAAAACACTCCACCACATCTGGCCTGCTTCTGATGGTTTTGTGGCTGTAGAAACCCCTTTGGCAGATAGGTACAGGTGCTTGGTAAGACTCCAGCAGTGAGTATGCAAGAAGATGCATAACACTTGTCAAGGCAACATGGACAGGAGGCCAAACTTCTATGTCTGCATATATGAAAGTTGGGTAAAGATTCAGATTTTACTCCTGACTGTATCTCTTTTCTTCCTTATTTTTGTTTATTCCTTGTTTATAAAACTGAGAGATTTAGATTTACTTTATATTTGTATTAGTTTGATCTGACCCTTTGAATTGAACTGAAAAGGAAATGAAATTTTATCCCATATTAAAATAATTGTATACTGAGTTCACTCTGATCTCAGTTCAGGGATGTGGCTGCGCAGGTTTATTCATGTAAAATACAATATAATCCTGCATACTGAAGTGGTACATAATCCATGATTATGGTGCATTTTAAAAGAGTAGCTTTGAGACCAGCATTGTGGCATAGTGGATTAAGCCTCTGCCTGCGATGCCAACATCGCTTATGAGCTGCTGCACTTCTGATCCAGCTCCCTGCTGATGTACCTGAGAAAGCAGTGGAAGGTGGCCTGAGTACTTGGGCCTCTGCCACCCACATGGAAGACTGAATGAAGTGCATGGCTCCTGGCTTCAGCATGCTCCAGTCCCAGCCACTGTAGCCATCTGGGGAGTGAACCAGCTGATGGAGAATCAATCTCTTTTTCCCTCCCCTCCTCTCTCTTTCTAACTCTGCCTTTCAAATAAATACCGTAAATCTTTATTAAAAAAAATTCTATAAAGCTCAACAGTGTGTATGTTTGGTTACTTTAAGATGCTTTACAAATATCTCAAACCAGCATGATTTTTGTAGAATTCTTCCTTTTATAGATTAACCAAGAGTTTTGAAAAATTTACTGTAAGAATAAAATTAGAGTTATTTGAGGGAATGAAATTATTTTGTATTTACTCTTTTTGGTATAAAGCAAATTAAGCAAGTTTTAAAGCAGGTCTTCTAATGGATCAAAAAAGAGTAAGTTAAATGGGGCCTTCATTGTGGGTGGCAAGCAAAGCTGCCAGCTGCAATGCTGACATCCTGGATGGGCGCCGGTTCGAGCCCAGCTGCTCCACTTCCAATCCAGCTCCCTGTTAATGGCCTGGGAGAGCAGCGGGGCATCACCCATGTTCTTGAATCCCTGGCATCCATGGGGGAGAACTGGATGAAGCTCCTGGCTCCTGGCTTTGACCTGGGTCAGCCCCTGCCTGTACAACCACTTAGGAAGTAAACCAGCTAATAGTAGATCTCTTTCTCTGTTTCTTCCTCTCTCTCTGTAACTCTGACTTCGAAATAAGTACATAAATAAATAAATATATTTTTAAAGAGTAAGTTAAAATTTATAATTTGTGTTTTATTTTTCAGCTCACTTTGTCCTGTCATTTTTGGCCATGAAGTAAGTATTTTATTTTATCTTCACTCAAAAAATACATAAAGTTGGCAATAATAGTAAAGACTTCACAAAAAAAGCAAATTTTTTGGCTAGCTTCTCATATTCTAATATGAATCTTTATTCTCTGTATGTGAATGGTATGGGAGGCAAACAGCCTCTAGTAAGAAAAAGTTGCCTATTGATTAGAGTTCATAGGAGTGGGCTTCTTGCAGTGTAACTGGACAGTGTCTTCAAGCAGAAACTAATATATTTTTGTGGAATGGATTTATGCCTAGCAAAGTTCATCTTTACTTAATAATTTCTAAAATATACTCTGATTTTTTGCTTTCAAGTCCTTTGTAATCATTTATGTTATGGAAGTTTGTTTTTAGATTTTCTTATTGAAAACATTGAAGTTCTGTCATGCTTACTTTAAAAAAAAACATCAGTTTTTAAAAAGCCACAAATTCCGTATTGTAGACATAGGTAGAAGATCTTTTTTACTAGTTATCTTTGTGTTGTTCTTATTTTTTTTTCTCTTTTTTTCACATTTGAGATTGTTAAAGCAGGTTTGGCATTAGCGCTCTTTGGAGGAAGCCAAAAATATGCAGATGACAAAAACAGAATTCCAATTCGAGGAGATCCACATGTCCTTGTTGTTGGAGATCCAGGTTTGGGAAAGAGTCAGATGCTGCAGGTAGAAAATCCATCATTTAGTAATTGACTTTTGGCTTATGAAATGCATGAGCAATTCACAAGTGAATTTCTCAAGGCATAGCATTTGTATGTCAGAGGACATAGTTTATCTGACAGTATGTGAGTTGGGATTTGTGTGAGTGATGTGCAACTTGTATCTGATCCTGTTTTCAAATTAAGCCAGTCTTCCACATACAGGCTTAAAGACATTCTTGTCTGTTGAGACTTCCATCTATTATGAAATGTTAACTGTTTGCCTAACCCCTTTTACATCTAGCATTGCTTTGCTAGTCTTTATTCTTGTGACGTGACCTCACCTATGAACAGAATAGTTAAAGTTCTATTTTGGGTCACTCATTCACCCTTTCTTTAAGTATACAAACACTTAAAGAATGGTCTGATAAAGGTAAGGGATCTGTGTGTCTGCATCTCCCCCATTTCTCTCTGAGTCTAAAGCAGGGCAAGTTCTGTGACCAAGTTACTGGTCCCCAAGAAGATTAGATTCTGCCTCTGCCAATCAGAGCTGAGTCATGACGGCTCCAGAAGTGCTGCTCGTTGGAATACTTGTGATTTTTCTCATAGTGACACCAACTAAGCCAGGTATCTTTCCTAAGAATGCCCACAACCCACTTCCTCCTTACCAGTGTGGAAAATGTGACCAGATGAGGGTCTTCCAGGCCATTTTGATGAGTTGTGGTCCTGGGTGTTGAATGTTTGATTATGGCTAGGAACTCTGGCTATACATTCAGAATCACAATTGGAACACTTTGAAAATATGGTGGCCTGCCCCAAACCAACTGAATGAAGAGTCTCCAAGTGAGGGTCCGAATCTGCCCATCCCTCCACAGATGATTCTGATATGCAGCCAGGACCAACACCTGCTTTGATTCTGTCATCCCATTATAAACCCACCATCCTTCACATCAGACATCCCTTGTTCCCTGGGTTGATGTTAAACCAGTCATCATTTGAGTTCCTAATCTGACATTGTATCTGTGTTGGGTTCCTTTTGCCCAGTTGGCTACTTAAAAATTTTTAAAAACTGTTCTAAAAAATCCCTTGCTATAAGCCTGACAACTGACACAATGAGTACCCAGTTCTATGCAAAACAAAGTTGGAAATAAAAATGAAAACAAGATACTTAGCCAAAATATAAGGGAAAGGTGCATGTGAGGATCTGACTTGCTACAGCTTTCTTTGCTGTCTTTTGTTGTAGTATGTGTAATTTTAATTAGTGCATTATAGGTGGAAGTCTGTGTTAGCCCCCATAGCCTGAATATCTGTATGAATAAATCTTACAATTAAATTTATACATGTTGTTTACAGTATGTAAAACTTCCATATTTCTCTTTTTTATTTAATAAGTGACTCTTGGCAGATAATGGTTTTAAAATATGTCTAATGGCACCTAAAAAGTTTTAATACCAAGAAAGGTCATTAGTAATTTTTGGACTTGGTATAAAACCTTTAAAACTTTTGGCTCAATTTAAAAGTAGAAGCTATAATATTAGTGAACGTTAAATATTGAAAACAGTGAACAGTGTTGCATGTAAGCCCCATTAAGCCAGGGTTTTTAAAACATTCAGCTAACACCAGCAGTTATGAGCTGTTAACATTTTTCATTCTGTTTTCCTCTGACCATTGAGTAAACTATCAGAGCCTTCAGAGTATTGTAAAAGCTTCTCAGAAAGACTAACAAAAAGGGAGTACAGGCAACAAAAAATCATGATAGCTATTATTTATTGAGCTTGTCCCATAGAGTCACCTGGGGTGTGTACTGTAAGATCTAAGGCATACCACTGATAGAGATAACAGAGCACTGTTATTGGAGTTGAACAGTACACAGCCGTATAGAGCAGCTTTGCATTGGGTGCTTTTATGTATAGGTGCCAGATTAAGTGCCTTATGTTTTCACTTTCCTTTATTTCTCAAGACAGTACTGTGGATTTTTTTTTTTGAAAAGAAGCTGAGGCTCAGAAAGGTCTAAGAGAGACACAGCTGGTGCATGGTGGAGCTAGGATTTAAACAAGTTTGCCTGGTTCCAGAGAGCCATGCTTTTAACTCTTACACTGTTTGCCTTTCTGACCTGCCATTGTTTGTCTACTCAAAAGGTAAGCACACATCGTGTCTGATGTTTAAAGAAGCATCGAAGCCTTCAAAAATTAAAATTGGTACTCATGATTTTGCTATTTTTACTTGAAAATGAAGCCTAAAGTTAAACTGTGTTGAATATTCACGTAAGTGCAGACTCCACAGTCAGACTGCCAGGCTATGATTGAATCCTGGCTTCCCATCTTCATAGCTGTGCAGTTCCTCATGAACTCTTTGTAGACCTTGGTTTCTAAGTTAGTAAATGAGGATGTAACCCCTTCCTCTTGTGGTGGTAAAGGTTGTACAGTTGGATTCTTAGAGGAATACTGTCATTTAACTTACATTTGGGAGCAGTTATGATTACTATTATACGATCAGCTACCCTTTTAATTGTTGGTGAGTCTCTTAAACGTTTTGTTCCTTTAGGCAGTATGCAACGTTGCTCCACGTGGCGTGTATGTTTGTGGTAATACCACAACCACCTCTGGTCTCACTGTAACTCTTTCAAAAGACAGTTCCTCTGGAGATTTTGCTTTGGAAGCTGGTGCCCTGGTACTTGGTGATCAAGGTAAGATACTATAGAGAATAATAGTAAGTAAGTCTGGGACTTTTTTTTTTAAGCTTTTTCCTTTTCACATAATTGATTTATATTCTGTTTAAGAGACACTTGAACAGCAGTGTCCAAATCAGTGAGTTGGCAACCAGTGTTGGAAATAACTGGAAATACAGTACTGTCATTTTTATTTATACTGCAGAATTGGAACTGGTACTTAATCTCATTCATTTCCAGAATCTTACAGCAGATACAGCTTTATCAGCTGAAATACAGCACCCTATACTTCTCATTTCATTCCTCTCATCGCATTTTTGATCATTTGTTTTAAAGTCCTTTTTGAAATTTTACAAATAAGCTCCCTGTGAGTAGGATTTGGTATGTTGATTGTTGTGTTTCCATTGCCTGGTATATAGGTGTCTGGTAAATACTTCTTGAATCTTACTCTTAATTAGCTTGGAATAGTTCTAGATATGTTGGAACTGAAAAGAAGGAGGATGTCCTTCTTTGCCCTCAGAGAACTTGTAATAGGAGCTGTTACTTTATTATTATGTTTTTTAAATGTTTATGTGTTTATTTCCATCTATTTGAAAAGCAGAGAGAGAGAGAGAGAGAGAGAGATATTTTCCATCTGCTAGTTTACTTCACTCCTCCATATGCCCGGAACAGCCAGGGCTGGGCCAGACTGAGACCAGGAGCTCAAAACTCCATCCTGGTAGTGGCCAAAGCACTACCATCTGGTGCCCATCAGTTTGCATTAGCAGGAACTTAGATCAGAAGTGGAGTAGTCAGGTCTTGAACTGGCACTGCATTCGGGGTAAGGGCATTGTTTAACCTCCTGCTGTACAGTGCCCAACCCTATTACTTCAGAATTGATAGTTTTGGGGCAGGTATTTTGTTTGGTATTTAAGACACTGCTTGGGACACCTGTCTTCCATATTGGAGTACCTGGGTTTGAGTCCCAGATCTGCTCCCAATTCTAGCTTCCTGGTAATGTACACCCTGGTGATGGTTCAGATACTTGGGTCCTTCCCACCTACATCAGAGTCTCAGATTGATTTCCTGGTTCCTGGATTTGGCCTGGCCCAGCCCCAGCTGTTGTGGGCATTTGAGAAATAAAACACAAGTGGGAGATCTATCTCTCTCCATCTTTCTACCTTTCAAATAAATAAGTAGTATTTTTTTTTAAAAAGTAGTTTTATTGTATATTATCTTAATGTGTTTTTTTTCCAGGATTTGAGTGGTAGTTTATAAAAAAAAAAAAAAAACCACTCATAGGGTTCAACATGAAGGGATTTCCGTATTGGGCTTTGCTTCCTAAGTTTTTCATGTGGTGCCTTAGTCTTAACTGGAAAAACAAGTTCCTATGCATGTGTCAGGCAGGTGTCCAGATTCCAGTCCAATTAAGGTCATTCATTCCTTTCAGTTTGCTAGTGGCTTCTACATTTCCTTTTTTCCTTCTATTTTGTTGTTGTTGTTGGTGGTGGTGTTTTAAGTTTTATTTATTTTAAAGACAGAGTTACACAGAGAGAGAAGGAGAGGCAGAGAGAGGTCTTCTGTCTGCTGGTTCACTCCCAAATTGGCTGCAATGACCGGAGCTGTGCTGATCCAAATCCAGGAGTCAGGAGCTTCTTTTGGGTCTCCCAAGTGGGTGCAGGGGCCCAAGGACCTGGGCCATCTTCTACAGCTTTCCTAGGCCATAACAGAAAGCTGGATCGGAAGTGGAGCAGCCGGAACTCGAACCAGTGCCTACATAGGATGCTGGCACTGCAGGCGGTGGCTTTACCCACTACACCACAGCGCCGGCCCCTCCTTTTTTCCTTCCTCCTTTCTTTTCTCCTTCCTTCCTTCCTTCCTTCCTTCCTTCCTTCCTTCCTTCCTTCCTTCCTTCCTTCCTTCCTTCCTTCCTCCTTTCCTTCCCTCCCCTGCCCCCTCCCCCTCCCCCCCCCCCCCCCCCTTCAGTGGTTCATCTCTTGAACTTCTTAACTAGTTGTTTCCTCAGGTACTTACTTCTTGGACTTTTTATCTTCAAAGTCAGTACTTATCTTCTTGGTGATCTTATATAGTTTCATGGCATTACAACTGTGGTAAAAATTTCCAAATATATAATCTTGTCCCTTGAACTTGAGGCTCATATTTCTTATTGTCTACATATTACCTTCACAAATTTCTCATACTTTGTATGTTCAAAATCCAAATTCCAATCTTGCCCTTCATTCCTTTTCCTATAGTCTTCCTCATCTCAGTAAATGACAACTCTGTCCTCTGCTCAAATCAAAAAATATGTAGCCGCCTTTGACTTATTCTAATACCATGCATCTGATCTGTCAGAAAATCTTGTTGGCTCTACCTTCAGAATGTATCCATGTGTAATAACTACCCTGGTCCAATACACTGTCAGTTCTTACATGGGTTATTATGTGATCTGCTAATTGGCATGCATTCCCATTCTAATTTAGATAAAATTATTCTTTTGCTCAGAACCTTCTAATGGCTGCCCATCTTGCTCAGAGTGAAAGCCAAACTTTTGAAAGTAACCCAGGGCCTAACAATGTGGCTCTTCATCACCTCTTTTGCCTCACTAGCTTGTTTCCTCCTCTTTAACTATGCTGGTCTCCTAACCCTATCTAAACACCACCAGCACACTAGGCACATTACAGTCCCTTGTCGGAGCCTTTGTGTTTGCTGGTCCCTTTACTCCAACTGTGATCATGTGCTGCTTAACAGCACAAATTCCTTCTGAGAAACGCATCCTTGGGCAAGTTCATTGTTGATAAACCTTATAGTATGTACTTATACAAACTGAAATTACTTTGATGTCACTAGATGATAAAATTTTATGGGATCACCATCACATGTACAGTCTGTTAACCAAGTTGTTATATGGTGTTTAACCTTGTCTGCAAGGTTTGTTCTTTTCCTTTATGTTTTGGCTCAAATGTCCTGATCCCACTAGGCCTTTCCTAAGTGCCATATTTTGAGTTACGACTCCTTTCCACCACGCCACTAGCTTAGTAGATCCTATTCTCCTTACAATACTGTGTTTTTACTTTCTACAACACTTTCACCTTCTATATGGTTTGCTTTTTTATTGTCTGCCTCCTGTTGGCTTGGTCAAATGTAAGCTTCACAAGGGCAGAGAATATTTTTTTCATGGCTATACCCTGCATGCCTAGAGCAGCGTACTGGTATATAGAAGGTGTTCATTAAATATTTACAGATGAATAAACTAACATTTAGCTGCTTATCATATAACTTATCAGAAGTGGGAGTATTTTTGCTAAGTTACCAGGTAAAGAAAATATGTAAATAAAAAAGAGGATATTCTGGTCTGGTGCTGTGGCTCAATAAACACTGCTCCACTTCTGATCCAGCTTCCTGCTAATGTGCTTGGGTAAGCAGTGGAGGATGGCCCAACTGTTTGGGCCCCTGCACCCATGTGGGAGACCTGGATGAAGCTCTTGACTCCTAGCTTCAGCCTGGCCCAGCCCTGATCTTGGTGGCCATTTGGGGAGTGAACCAGTGGATAAAAATCTCTCTTTCTCTCTCTCTGTAACTCTGCCTCTCAAATAAATAAATGCATCTTGAAAAAAAAAAAAAGAGTACTCATTGTTCATCAAATGTTTTGTTAATTTGAAGTTGAAAGTGATTTGGTGTACAGGCAGCTAATAGAATTTAAGATGCAGAATGTTAAGAGCCAGTACCATTTCTTCCAAATATTGGTAGTTAAGCTAAGCACTGTGATAATAAATTTAGCACTATTAAAATGGAGAGAAGTTTACAAGTACAAAAGAAAGGTCAGCGGATACCAGGTTCTAGAAACAAATACAGAGTTCTGCTAAAATCTGTTATAAAGACCTAGGGAAAAATGAAAAATAAAACTGATTCATAATATGTCTCTTCATTAGCATCTGATGAAATGGCCAAGAAAGAATTATTTTTTTAACTTAAAAGAATAATATTTACCAGTTGTAGCCAAACAAGGAAAAGAATTTAAAATATTCAGTTTAAACTTTATGGTTTTGAAATCAGGATCAGCAAGCTTTAATCCACAGGTCAAGCTCAGCCTGCAGCCTGTTTTAGTATGGCCTACTAGCTAAAACTGTTTTTATATTATTAAATGATTGTAAAGAACAAGTAAGCAAAACTGGGAATATGTAACAGTGTATATAGCCAGTAAAACCTAAAATATTCTGCTTCTTTATGGAGAAATTTACCAGCTTCTGTTTTACACTTTGAAAGGTGGCAGCCAAAGAAGTAACTTGGCTTTGTTTCTATCCCATCCCACCTCTGAGGAACTATGTTATCATCTTGAGGATTTCCAGTAATACTGTCAACTCCAGAGAGCTAGGCAGCCGGGGAAAAGTTGAGAGAAAGCCTCCACGTGCACGGCTGCCAGGATCCTAGCAGAGGTAGAGAAGGTCGCCACATGCCCTAAGCTCCATGCTGAGCAGCAGGAAGACCACTTGGGTATTGCTTGTCATGAACATAGAGCACATGATTTTTAAACCAAAAATTAATTGGCAGGTATTGTCCACATAAGACCTCTGAGTTACAAGACTTACTTAGGGGCCGGTGCCGCGGCTCACTAGGCTAATCCTCTGCCTTGCGGCGCCAGCACACCGGGTTCTAGTCCAGGTTGGGGCGCCGGATTCTGTCCCGGTTGCCCCTCTTCCAGGCCAGCTCTCTGCTGTGGCTAGGGAGTGCAGCGGAGGGTGCCCCAAGTGCTTGGGCCCTGCAGCCCATGGGAGACCAGGAGAAGCACCTGGCTCCTGCCATCGGATCAGCACGGTGCGCTGGCCGGGGCGGCCATTGGAGGGTGAACCAACGGCAAAGAAAGACCTTTCTCTCTGTCTCTCTCTCTCACTGTCCACTCTACCTGTCAAAAAAAAAAAAAAAAAAAAAAAATAAGACTGACTTAGGTATAGAGTAGATATCGAGGGGTTTAACCACAGCAAAAATTTCCCTCCAGAAATCAGCTGTTAACTGCTAACCAAACTGGTATGGGGAAACAGGAAGAAATAGTACAAGGAAATGTTAGAGGATCTCTAGTAACTTAAATAAAATCCCGAGCACATCTGACCTTAGTGGTGGTGCTGTGTGTCGGACTGGGATCTATTAAGTGATCTCCCAATACCTGGTATCGCTGTTAACTGTGTTCTAGTCTTCTCTGACGTAAGAGCCCATGCTTTCCTTCCCAAAGCATGCTGTCCTGCTCTTTCCCAAAGACTAGCTCACACAGCACCTTTTCCTTAAGCCTTTCCAGATTGCCTTTTCTTTTTTGATTTTTGCCCTTCCCCAGCAAACTTGTTACAAACAGCTTTTTGAAGTGTATTTCCTGCATGTATACGTAAATATACTTATCTCACATGTTTGAATATAAGTCCTTAGCATTTTGAGGGCCATTTTCATATCTTTTTCATTCTTGTAACTCTCACAATCTAGTGACTTGCCTATGGAATTGCTGAATGAATAAATATTAAAACAAATTTAGTTACTTGTATTATCTGCTGGGAAACAAGCAATGATTTTCCACTGTCTGACCTTTTACAGTTACAACTACTGCAGCCAAATGGAAATAATGCCTTGTTGTGAAACGGAAAACTTTCTCTTGTCTGTGTTTTTTTTTTTTACTATAATTGTAGGTATTTGTGGAATAGATGAATTTGATAAGATGGGGAATCAACATCAAGCCTTGTTAGAAGCCATGGAACAGCAAAGCATTAGCCTTGCCAAGGCTGGTGTGGTTTGTAGCCTCCCTGCAAGAACTTCCATTATTGCTGCTGCAAATCCAGTAGGAGGACACTACAATAAAGCCAAGACAGTTTCTGAGAACTTGAAGTAAGTCTCTTCACTTACACCTTTAACTTACTGAATCCTTGGGGCTGGTGTCGTGGCCTAGTAGGTAAAACCACCGCCTGCGATGCTGGCATCCCTTATGGGTGCAGGTTCATGTCCAGACTGCTCCGTTTCCAATCCGGCTCCCTGCTAGTGGCCTCAGAAAAGCAATAGAAGATGACCCACCCACTGCCATCTGTATGGGAGATCCAGATGGAGTTTCAGACTTCTGGCTGTGGCCTGGCCATTGTGACCATTTGGGGAGTGAACCAGCTGATGGACAATCTCTTTGGCTCTGTCTTTGTCTCTCTAACTCTGACATTCAAAATAATTAAATCATCATCATTGGCAAAGGAGTGGAGAAATGAGATCGCAGATGCACAGTGCAGTTATTTTGAAGGACAGTTTAGCAACTTTATGTCAGTTTTAAATGTACATTTCATTTGTTCTGGCTGTTCCACCTTTAGAAACTCTGCACAGAAACATAATCCTATAAGTGCACAGAGATGTACAGGCTGGTTGTTGCAGCACTGTTCATCACTGGCAAAAGTTGGAAGACTGTACAGTGGAAAGTAGCAGTTGTGAGAATGGCAGAGGCTTTGTGTACATTGAAAAGGGGAACGTGTGCTTTCCTGTTAAGTGAGGTGCTTTAGGTGTTTATGGATGTGGTATGATTCCACTTCTTTTTTTTTTTTTTTTTGACAGGCAGAGTGGACAGTGAGAGAGAGAGACAGAGAGAAAGGTCTTCCTTTGCCGTTGGTTCACCTTCCAATGGCTGCCGCGGCCAGCGTGCTGCGGCCAGCGCACCGAGCTGATCCGATGTCAGGAGCCAGGTGCTTCTCCTGGTCTCCCATGGGGTGCAGGGCCCTAGCACTTGGGCCATCCTCCACTGCACTCCCTGGCCACAGCAGAGAGCTGGCCTGGAAGAGGGGCAACGGGACAGAATCCGGCGACCCGACCGGGACTAGAACCCGGTGTGCCGGCGCCGCAAGGCGGAGGATTAGCCTAGTGAGCCGCGGCGCCGGCCTGATTCCACTTTTTTCCAAAAACAATGTTTCTATCTATAAATAGTATGCTATCTCTTCTAATTCATTCTGTGTAGATTAGACAAAATGTATGAGAAAAAGGAACCAGACTGCAGTGATGTAAAAGGGAGAAAAAGACAAAAGAGTGCCTTAAATGCAAAGTTAAAACTTTCAGTTGAGGAAGAAAGTGAATTTTCTGATTTTTAATAACTTAGACATTTAATTTAGAAATAGTATTTGATATTTAGTAAAATACATACTTGTACATGGAGATATGGGGTATTTCTGTACCTCCACACCAAAAAAAAAAAAAACTAGTAGTAGGTTTTCTTCAGTAAAATGACACTGCTATATTAGCAAGAACCTAATGAACACAAATCCAGGGGACTTTCGTGTTTAGTCGTACCACAAACCTGCTTTGGGACCTTGGTCAAATTCTTTAATTACTCTGGATTTCATTTTTATGTATCAAATGCAAGGATGCTTCAGAAAATTCATGGAAAAATTCAATTGAGAAATTTGTTTTGTTGCAATAACTTTTGAAACCTGTCTTTAAGTTTTTCATAAAATGGATTTCTCATGAACTTTCTGAAGATGCTTCATGGAAGTGTTACCTGAATTAGTGGATTCAGAAAATATTGCTAAGTAGAACACAGCCACAGCATGTTAAAAAATAATGACATGGCTGGCACCGTGGCTCACTTGGCTAATCCTCCACCTGCAGCGCTGGCACCCCGGGTTCTAGTCCCAGTTGGGGCGCTGGATTCTGTCCCAGTTGCTCCTCCTCCAGTCTAGCTCTCTGCTGTGGCCCGGGAAGGCAGTGGAGGATGGCCCAAGTGCTTGGGCCCTGCACCCGCATGGGAGACTAGGAGGAAGTACCTGGCTCCTGGCTTCGGATCCACGCAGCGCACCAGCCATAGCAGCCATTTGGGGGGTGAACCAACAGAAAGGAAGACCTTTCTCTCTGTCTCACTGTTTAACTCTGCTTGTAAAAAAAAAAAAAAAAAAAAAAAAAAAAAAAAAAGACTAAGTCATATAAATGTCCTTTTAAGGAAAAATTGGATTTTTCCTTTTAAATAGGTGCTTTGAGGGATTCCATATTTTGATGGTTCAAAAGATAAAAAAGATTAAGTATTTTTAAAATATGTTTAGCAGGGAGAGGGAGGGAGAGAGAAGTACTTTTCATCTGCTGCTTCACTCCCCAAATGGCCCCAACAGTTGGTGCAGGGTCAGGCCTATGCTAGAAGCCAAGAACTCCAACCTGGTCTCCCCTATGAGTAGCAGGGGCCCAAGCAACTGGATCATCTTTTGCTGCCTTTCTAAGATCATTAAGCAGGGAGCTGAATTGAAAGTGGAGCAGCCGAGACTCTAAGGAACACTCTGATATGGGATGCAGGCATTCCAAGTGGCAGCTTAATCCACTCTACCATGGTGTTGGCCTCAAGATTAAGAATTTCTGGAGCTGGCACTGTGGCATAGCAGGTAAAGCTGCTGCCTGCTATGCCGCCATCCCATATGGGCGCCGGTTCAAGTCCTGGCTTCTCCACTTCCGATCCAACTTTCTGCTATGGCCTGGGAAAGCAGTTACCAGCTGCCTTCCCCTGCACCCATGTGGGAGACCCAGAAGAAGCTCCTGGCTCCTGGCTTTGAATCGATGCAGCTCCAGCCGTTGTGGCCAATTGGGGAGTAAACCAGTGGATGGAAGACCTCTCTTACTCTCTTTGCCTCTCCTTCTCTCTGTGTGTATCTCTGACTTTCAAATAAATAAACAAATCTTAAAGAGAGAGATTAAGAATTTCTTAACTAGACAACCGCTAATATTCCAAGTAGTGTTATAGTCAGTCATAATGGAACCCAAAGAAATAAGTGGTTTTGATGGCTCGAAAGAGGACCGTGTCCTCAACCTATCAAGGGAAGATACACAGAAGCCTTATATGCAAGTCAGAGGGTTTGAATGGGTGGATATATTAAATCCAGAAAACTTTTTACTTATTTCCTTAACTGAAAACTTGATATTTTTAAATTCTATATGGAACTCGAGTAGAAAACAAGTGAATAGACAATTTTCCATGTTTGTTTTTATTCCAATCATCGTTTTTATTCCAATCATTATTTCTTCTTTTTTTCACGCTTCTTAGAATGGGGAGTGCCCTATTGTCCAGATTTGACTTGGTCTTTATCCTGTTAGACACTCCAAATGAGCACCATGATCACTTGCTCTCCGAACATGTGATTGCAATAAGAGCTGGAAAGCAGAAAACTGTTAGCGGTGCCACAGTAGCTCGTATGAACAGTCAAGATTCAAACACTTCTGTACTCGAAGTCATTCCTGAGAAGCCATTATCAGAAAGACTAAAGGTATACATGTTTCTTTCTTTTAATCACTCTTTTTGATTCTGTTTGAATGTCAGAGTTCAATGTGTGATTTATTGTGGTAGAACTGTAGTATATAAATTTTCATAACAGGGCAGGCATTTGGTGCAGTGGTGAAGATGCTACTTGGGACACCTCTTTCCCATCCAGAGTGCCTGGGTTCGAGTCCTGTCTCTGCTTTCAATTTTCAGCTTCCTGTCAGTGCACAGCTTGGGGGGCCAAAGATGATGTCTCAAATACTTGGGTCCCTTTCACCCACTTGGTGGAACTCAGACTGAGTTCTTGCCTCCTGGCTTTGGCTTGGCCCAGCCTTGGTTCTTGTAAGCCTTGGAGAGTGAAGCAGTGAATGGAAGTTCTTTGTCTCTGTGTCTCTGCCTTTCAAATAAGTAAATAAAAAAATTTTTTAAAACTCATATGAAAACCTTTTGTGTTATGATACTAGTGTATGTAAACTTAACTTGAAATAATTAAATTAACTAGAATGAGAGCTACAACTGCAGTGCTTGGTTTATTTGGACAGTCTTAGAATTGATGAGATAGGCCGGCGCCATGGCTCACTAGGCTAATCCTCCACCTGCGGCACTGGCACCCTGGGTTCTAGTCCTGGTTGGGGCGCTGGATTCTGTCCCAGTTGCTCCTCTTCCAGTCTAGCTCTCTGCTGTGGCCCAGGAAGGCAGTGGAGGATGGCCCAAGTGCTTGGGCCCTGCACCCGCATGAGAGACCAGGAGGAAGCACCTGGCTCCTGGCTTCAGATCAGTGCAACACGCTGGCCGCAGCGCGCCAGCCGAAGCGGCCATTTGGGGGGTGAACCAACGGAAAGGAAGACCTTTCTCTCTGTCTCTGTCTCTGTCTCTGTATCTCTCTCTCTCTCTCTCTCTCACTGTCTAACTCCGCCTGTCAAAAAAAAAAAAAAAAGATTTGATGAGATAAATATAAAAATTGTATTTTATGCTTATCCTTGTAACTTCTTTTATCATGCTTTAGGTGTTTCCTGGAGAAGCAATTGATCCTATTCCCCACCAGCTACTAAGAAAGTATGTTGGCTACGCACGGCAGTATGTCCACCCAAGGCTATCCACAGAAGCTGCTCAAGTTCTTCAAGATTTTTACCTTGAGCTCCGGAAACAGAGCCAGCGGTTAAACAGCTCGCCAATCACTACCAGGCAGCTAGAATCTTTGATTCGTCTAACAGAGGTTTCTTTATGTTCATGCTTTTGGGACTTAAAAGGGATGATGTGCAGTATTTCTCTTTTGTACCATTTCCTGCATAATTGACTTGGTTTTTCTTCCTACTAAAAGACATTAGAAATGGATGAGTAAAAGTTTTCAAAGATTTGGTCATACAGGTAACATGTCAAAGTATAGCTACTTTCTATGCACAAGGCCAGTTACTCACCCTGCAGCCTTTTATTTTATTTTTAATGACACTTAGGAGATTCCTAAGCTTCTGAAGAGTGGTAGGTCAGTGAGGGTATTCAGCATATGGGAACATTGAACATGTCAAATGTCTTGAATATTTGATTTGATTACATACCAGGTGTAAGGTTAACAAGCATTTAATTTTTTTTAATTTTCATTTTATTTGAAAGAGAAACATACAGAGAAACAGATCTTCTATCCACTGGTTCACTCTCCAAACACCCACAAAGCCAGCACTGGAATAGGCAGAGACCAAAAGTCCAGATGTAAATCCAGGTCTCGCACATGAGTGGCAGAGACTCAAGCACTTGAGCGTTACTGGCTGCCTTCCTGGAAGCAAGTGGGTTTGTTTAACAGCAGTAGTCTCTTCATCCCTGTGGAACGCTAAGGCAACTCTGGCTGTTAAAAATAGCTGGGGGTTAGGAGGCAGTGCTGTGCCCTAGCCTGTGACACCAGAATCCCATACACACACTGGTTCATGTCCTGGCTACTCCATTAGCTCCCTGCTAATGGCCTAGGAAAAATAGCAGAAGATGGCCCAAGTGTTTGGACCCCTGGCTCCCATGAAAGAAACCCAGAAGAAGCTCCTGGTTCCTGGCTTTGGTGTGGCCCAGTGCTGGCATTTGGGGCCATTTTGGGAGTGAACCAACAGATGAAGACCAATCCCCCCCCAATCTTTGTGTAACTCTTTCAAATAAATGTTTAAAAAAAATTAGTTGGATGAGGAGCAGGCATTTGGCCTAATGATTAAGATGCCTCATGGGATGCCCTGGGTAAGAACTGGCTCTGTTGCTAATTCTAACTTCCTGAAAATGTGCACCCTGGGAGACAGCAGGTGACAGCACAGGTGGTAGCACAGGTTGGTCCCTGTCACCCATGTCAGAGACCTGGATTTGGTTCATCATTCATGGCTTTGGTAGATGGAAATGCTTCTCTCTCTCCCTGCCTCAAATAAATTTTTTTAAAAATTAGCTGGATCAGAATTTATGCATTTTTCTTGTTTTAACAAATTGGCCAGGCATGCTTTCCTACAAATTAAAGGCAAGGAAAAAAAAAAACATAATCCAATCTGAAATGAAAACTCTCAAAAATGTTAGTAGATAAAAAAGTTTTATTGGGCCCAAATTGTGGCATAGTGGGTAAAGCTGCTGCCTTGTGATGCCGGCATCCCATGTGGGTGCCAATTCGAGTCCTGACTGATCCACTTCTGATCTAGCTCCCTGCTAATGGCCTGGGAACAGCAGTAGAAAAATGGCCTAAGTGATGGGCCCCCCAGCCAACCCATGTGGGAGACTCAGATGAATCGCCTGGCCCTGCCCAGCCCCAGCTGTTGTGGCCATCTGGGGAGTGAACCAGTGGATGGAAGACCTCTCAATCTCACTCTCATTTTCATTCTCTCTCTCTCCTTTCTCTGTTAAAAAGAAAACGTTTTATCTGTAAGTCATTCTGTGTGTATATATATATATACACACATATATATATATATATTTATTTTAAAGGCAGAGTTACAGAGAGGCAGAGGCAGAAAGAGAGAGAGAGAGAAATATCTTCCATCCACTGGTTCACTCCCCAAATAGCCACAATGGCCAGAGCTGGGCCAGTCCTAACCCAGGAGCCATGAGCTTCTTCCGGATCTCCCACGTGGGTGCAGGAGCCCAAGGACTTGGGCCATCCTCCACCACCTTCCAGGCCATAGTAGAGAGCTGGATCGGAAGTGAAGCAGCTGGGACTCGAACCAGTGCCCAAATGGATGCTGGCGCTTCAGGCCATGGCTTTATCTGCTACAAACAGCACTGGCCCCAAGTCATTCTTTTTATACTCATTTTCAAATTCTGACTTTTGATATATACCCTCCTTCCTCTAAAAACCGGTTTTTGTGTAAAATGAATAAATAAAATTAGTTTGGGAACATGTTTATCTTTTATTATCTGAAAATGGTTGTTTACTTTCAAAGGCACGAGCAAGGCTGGAATTGAGAGAGGAAGCGACCAAAGAAGATGCTGAGGATATAGTTGAGATTATGAAATACAGGTAAGATTAAAATTTTACATGCTGTTATCTTTCCATCTCAAATTATTTCAACCAAATTTATATTTAGCCTATTATGTCACTTACTTTCCTTGACACAGACAATACATTCTTGGTTTAAAGTATTTCTTAAATATTTCTGTGTAAAACCATGTGATTTTCCCCCAAGAGCAGCTCTCAGATATTTCCTGTTTGTATTTGTATCTACTGCTACTCCAAGTTGCCATCAGTTTACTTCTGAGCCCCCTACAAAGAAGTCTCAGAGGTAAATGCAAATTGCTCTCACATGAGATTACCAGCTTGTATGGATTGGCTTTTATGAAGTTTTCAGAAAAAATGAGAACAGTTTGATTCCCCAGGATTAAAGTTACTTGGCATTATTTCCCTAGGAGGAATCAAAACCCAGTTAAACACAGTGAGATTATATTGTGAATTATCTGTGTATTAATATTTAACATGCTTTCCCTCCTTAGCCAATAGGAGCCAGGACCTTACCTGTCTGATTACCAGTGTATGCCCAGGACCCAGACTCATACCTGGCACACAGTAGGGCCTCAGTAAGTGTGCTGTACTGAGGGAAAAGTTGACCTTAGTCATCACTGTTCATTCATTAACACTTTCATTTTAGAGTTTCCATCTCCTTTCATTGAATATTTGTCCTTAATGTGGTTTTCAACATATAAAACTGCATTTTAACTGGGAAGCAGAGGGCTGAACAAGAAAAATCTGAACTGTAATGTAGCTCATCTGGTTAGCAGAGCACATAACTATTGTTTTTCTTTTTTTCTTTTTTAAGATTTATTTTATGTATTTGAAAGACAAGAGTTTCAAAAGTAGAGAGAGAGAAAAGTCTTCCATCTACCGGTTCACCGGTTCACTCCCCAAATGACCACAACAGCCACAGCTGTGCTGATCTGAAGCCAGGAGCTTCTTCTAGGTCTCCCATGCAGGTACAGGGGCCCAAGGACTTGGACCATCTTCTGCTGCTTTCCCAGGCCATACCAGAGAACTGGATCAGAAGTGCAGCAGTCAGGATTCGAACCAGTGCCCATATGGGATGCCAGCCCTGCATGCCATGGCTTTAACCCACTGTACCACAGCGCCGGCTCCTATCTGTTGTTTTTCAAAATCCAAATGTTTCCATTAGTTAACAGTTCCTGTAGGCTTCCCCCTAAAGCTCAAAATATGCTAGGAAGCAGGAGAGCACAGAGCCAACTCTAAAGGTGTCAGAGCATGGGAGGTTTTTGTGTTTCTAGCAGTAGCTCAGATATTTTACATATTTTTCTTCAAATCCAAAGCAATGTAGCATGGATTCAGATCTCAAATTCAGCCGCTCATTAGTGGTGTAGCTTCTGCCAGGTAACTTCACCTTCCCAAGGCTTTCTTTCCTCCTTTGTAATATGGGACTAAGAATAGGACAGATTTGCTGGGAGCATCAAATGGGATAAGCCATCGTATATAATTAAGATAAATGTTACCTATTATTATTAACTTTAAGCATTTTTGACTACTTTCTTATGAGAAATAAGCATATGATAGTTAATAAATATGCCGTAAGTAAGGGCATCAATATGTTTCAGAGAGGAAAATACTCTTCCATCTAGTCCTATTTGAATGACTTGTATTCCTGTTTGTACAGTGTGTTCTCTTTAATCTAGACTCTCATCTATTCCAGGAACAAAATGAAGTTTTCTTAATCCTTTAAAATCATTCCTATGAGCTCTTTAAGGGTAGGGATTGCACTTGGTTTCTTCCCAATTATAAACCCATCACCCATCAAGGACCAGTATTTATTTGATTAATTAATTGCTGATTAAGTAACATCTTTGCCCATTAGCCTGACTGTGAGATCATCTCTTATTTTATAGGCAGGGAATTACAGAGAATGATTTCATTCCATGTCTTTTTTAAAAGTTCATTTTCTTTTTTTTTTTTTTTTTAAAGATTTATTTATTTATTTGAAAGGCAGAGTTACAGAGAAGCAGAGGCAGAGAGAGAGAGATATCTTTCATCTGATGGTTCACTCCCCCAAATGGCCACAACAGCTGGAGCTATGCCAATCTGAAGCCAGGAGCCAGGAGCTTCTTCCAGGTTTCCCACACTGGTGCAGGACTTGTGCCATCCTCCACTGCTTTCTTAGGCCATAACAGAGAGCTGGATCAGAAGCAGAGCACTTTTGAACAGGTGCCCATATGGGATGCTGGCACTGCAGGTTGCGGCTTTACCCACTACGTCACGACGCTGACCCCAAAAGTTCATTTTCAAAGGGCAGGGTGGAGACAGAGAGATTCTCCAACCACTGGCTCACTCCCCAAATGCCTGCCACAGCTACTGCTGAGCCACAGAAGCCAGGAGCCTAGAACTCAATCTGGGTCTCCCACTAGGGCATGGACCCAAGAACCTGAGTACATTAAAGTATGATACAATAATATGCAGTGCAAAACATTACCAAGTACAGGGTGCACATTTCCAGGGAACTGGCTCAGAAGTAGAGCCAGAATTCAAACTCAGGGACTCTGACATGGGATGCAGCAGGGACTTTGCTATGTGGTTAATTTTATCTTTAACTGGTTGTTAAAACTCTGAAGTGCATGTTTCTTTCCTTGGTTGATGATATGAAAATAAGAGAAAGAAGAGAATTGGAGGTGATGGTGTATTCTTTAATATTTAACTATCATCACTGCAAGTCAGCATAAGCTTTGTTCAGTCCTAGAGTATGTAAACACCTTTCATTTGCCAAATGCTGCACTAGATGGGAACACCTCTATCCAGTAAAGCCTAAATTTGCTATGTTTAGAATGTCTTTTTTTCATGAATCAAAAAGTATGTTCTAGAGCTGGTGATGTGGCTCAGCTGGTAAAGCCACCACCTGCAAAGCTGTATCCCATATTGAACACTGGTTCTAGTCCCAGCTGCTTCACTTCCGATCCAACTCTGCCAATGTGCCTGGGAATGCCACAGAAGATGGCCTAAGTACTTGGACCCCTTGCCACCCAGGATGGACTTCCTGCCTCCTGGCTTCTGCCTGGCCCAGGCCCGAAAATTCCAGTTACTATAGTTTATCAACTTTGTGTTTTTATGCATTTCTCTTTTTAAATTTAGTTTCTTAAAAATGGTAACTATTTATAATATGTTTGTCTACAAATAATTCATATTATAGTAAATTTCAGAGTGGCCACTCAATAAACACGTTTAAATCTTTGCTAAGTGAGACTCATGGCAACTTCTAAAATCCTAGAAACTAGAAACCCAAGACAAGAATTTCTACCACTGTGCACATTGAGTACCTTTTTTTTCCTTTCCCCTTAAGCATGCTAGGAACTTACTCCGATGAATTTGGGAATCTAGATTTTGAGCGATCTCAGCACGGTTCTGGAATGAGCAACAGATCAGTAGCAAAAAGATTTATTTCTGCTCTCAACAGTATTGCTGAAAGAACTTACAATAATTTATTTCAATTTTATCAACTCCGGCAGATTGCCAAAGAGCTAAACATTCAGGTATGATTAACTACTTAATGAATTTTTTGGTGGTTCTATCAGAAGATCTTTATTAATGTATAGTAAAACAGAAAAACAGCTTTTAAGTTTCATACCTAACCTCTTCTCAGGTTTTTCCTCATCTTGATAACTAGAGGGCAGCACTGCAGCTAGCCTTGGTCTCTTTTTTTTTTTCTGACCATAATCCCTGTGGAGTGATCATGTAAATGCCTGAACTTAAGTTTCTTTGTCTGCTAAATGGATGTGATTACACTTGCTTTTCCTTCAAAGTTCTGCTGAAAAATCAGTGTAATAGCACTTTACTCATGTAAAACAGTTTAAGTGGAAATTATTCACTTCATTGGAAAAGCTAGTCTTTCTTTTTAAGCTAAGCTAAAACAAATATAAAAGACTACTAAAGCTTTTAATTTTTATTTATTTTGGTATAATAGAATTCAAAGTTCAAATTTGGGCAGTTGGTAGAAGTACAATCATTTTATTTGCCCAAGAAATTTGACAGTTACATATTATTGTCAGGCAGATTAATTTTAAAAGTCATTATTCTGTTGTATTACTAACAGCCAACTCTTTTGATGTTTTCTTCCAGGTTGCTGATTTTGAAAACTTTATTGGGTCACTAAATGACCAGGGTTATCTTTTGAAAAAGGGCCCAAAGGTTTACCAGCTTCAAACTACGTAAAAGAACTTTACAGTCAAGGTCTCCTGGGTTCAATTCTAGTTTAAAGCCATCTCAATAATGAAGAATATGCAAAAAAAATTATATCAATATATCTGTATCTGTATCTCTCTCTCTATATATACTGTTCTGTAAATTGTTCTAACAGGAAAAAGATGTTAGATATAATCAGCTAATTTAAGAAGTAACAGTCATATATTAATGTTTTACAATTTCTCCAAAAGATTAAAAGTAAGTTATTTTATATAAATTATATAAATATAAATTATCTACAGTTGTATTTTACCCTATCTTGGATTTTTATGACTGTTTCATAGTTTTGCATATCAAATGTCCCTCTGAATAAGTATTCAGCCAATAGATAAACAAATGAGCATGTCTGTGTTCCAATAAAACTTTATTTTTTGATACTAAATTTGAATTTTATAAAATTTTCATGTCGGGAATAAAAAATACTGTTGTTTTTTTTTTAAGATCATTTAAATAGACAGGGGACCCGATTTGGCCTACAGGTCATAGTTTGTAGACGCTTGGTTGCAAACAATAAAAATTGACTGATTAAGCAAGAGAAGGACTTTTTTGGACTAATTTTGATGGGCTCATAGAGTTGGAAGAAGGCTGATGAACCCGGAGTGTGTTTGCCTCCATGTCCCACTGATGCCACGCCTCAGGAACCATTTCCTCTGCACAGGTTGGGAAGAAGACCCCTGCCCACACCAGAACAGCAACAGGAGGATTCTTCCTGGAGCCTCCTTAAATTGTAGAATTCAAATAGAAACTTAACACTGAAGAAGGCTGGGTTGTTTATATGCCCCTTTCCCAGGATGCTAGAGTTTTCCAAGTTCTACTTTAGGGAGGCAGGATAATAAAGCCAGAATTTCCCATATTTTGTGAGAGTATTCAAATGATACTGTGCTGCCAGCCAATCTGTCATGTATATAGCTAAGACATACTTGCAAACACACAGGAGCCCAGGAATGTGAACCATTGCTTGAAAATCTACCACAACTTTGAGTAATCCAAAAAATCCACAGAAAATTAAAAATAGTAACTGGCAGTATACATTGAGTGTTTATAAGGTCAAAATTAAAATAAATGTGTAGATTATTGCTATAGAACACAATGTAAATATTAAATCCTGATTTTAAAAAAAGAAGGTAGATGTTAGTATAAATAAGATGATGTGTTTATATTTTTTTTAAAGGCAGAGCAACAGAGATAGGGAGAAACAAAGACAGACAGAACTTCTATCTGCTGGTTCATTCTCCAGATGGCTGCAAAAGTCAGGTCTGTGCAAGGCCAAAGACAGGAGCCAGGAACTCCATCCTATTCTCTCACCCACCCTGGTACTTCTGCCTTCCTAGGCATATTAGTGGGAAGCTAGGTTGGAAGTGGAACAGCTAGGACTTGAACTGGCCCTCCAACAGGGGATGCAAGGATGGCAAGTGCTGGCTTAACACATTGCACCACCACACCAGCCCCAGTGTTTTTATCTTGAGGTTAGGGTGAGTGTCAAAAACATATTTTAAGCCGAGGTAAGCATTTGTCTTAGTGGTTAAGATACCCACATCAGGAATGCCTGGGTTCAATGCCTGTGACCGGCTCCTGACTCCAGCCTCCTGTTAATGTGGACTGGGAGGCAGCAGTGAGGGCTCAACTAGTTGGAGCCTTGTCACTCATATGGGGGACCTGAATGGAGTTCCTGGCTTCTGGTTTTAGCCCAGCATAGCCCAGCCTGGACCATCTGGGGATTTGGACAGTAAACCAGTATAGTTATTTTCTATCTGTGTGTCTCTCTCTCAAATTTATGTATATTTTAAATATATAAATAGATTTATCAGCACATTTTTACATAAAAACAGATATTATCAACTAGATAATGTGTAGACATGAGAAAAGAATGTATACTAATGCTTCTTTTCAAAGAAAACAAAGACTAAAAGGTTAATGGTATTATATAAAGTTATAGAAGCTACAAACCCAAATTAGAAACTATTCATGTTTCCTTAGATTTGTATTTTTGTTTTTAAGATTTATCTTTAATTTGAAAGAGTGACAGAGGGAGAGACAGAAAGATTTTCCATCTTCTGGTTCACTCAAATGGCTACAAAGGCAGGGGTGGGGCCATGCTGAAGCCTGTAGCCCAGAACCCCATCCAGGTCTGTGATGTCAGTGGCATGGACCCAAGCGCTTCTGCTGCTGCTTTCGCAGGCACATTGGCAGGGGAGCTGGATTGGAAGCAGAGCAGCTGGGACCGAGAGGTTTAACCTGTGCCACTATGCTGGCCTCTGTATTTGTTTATTTAGCACCCATCAATTAAAGGGCCAGACAACCAAAGTTGTTTACATTTCCCCCTGTGGTCCAGCTCTCCAGGGTCCAAAAATCATTACAAACCCTCCAGCCACACCCCCAACCTCTTTTACTTTGGGGCCAAATGGAGTGCCTCCCCCACCTATTCCTGGGGCTATAAGGACAAAGCTGCATCGCTGGTGTAGGCATTTCCCCTTGCTCCTTCTGCCCACTTCCCCGCCCCCCTTCCCCCAATCAGGGTTTCCTGGAACCTGTATCTATGAATGAGGATGCTTAATTTAAAAGTTCTTTTTTTTTTGGACAGAAAGGTCTTCCCTCCGTTGGTTCACTCCCCAAATGGCCGCCACGGCCGGCACGCTGCACCGATCCGAAGCCAGGAGCCAGGTGCCTCCTCCTGGTCTCCCGTGTGGGTGCAGGGGCCCAAGCACCTGGGCCATCCTCCACTGCCCTCTTGGGCCACAGCAGAGAGCTGGACTGGAAGAGGAGCAACTGGGACTAGAACCGGGCACCCATATGGGATGCTGGCACCTCAGGCAGAGGATTAACCAAGTGAGCCATGCCCCGTTCTTTTTACATTGCTAGTACAAACGTTTTTCTCTCTCATCAGTATTTAGCATGTGCATAGAAAACTGAAGATAATCTCCCGATACACTGCTCAGATCTACAGTTAAGTCCAGTTTCAGCTGAACTTTCCCTTTCCTAGGTGCATGGACTAAGCTTAAGCTGCTGTGTGTGTTGCCAGCATCTCATGAGCCCTGGTTTGTGTCCATGATGCTCTACTTCCCATCCAGCTCCCTGCTAATGGCCTGGGAAAGTGGCAGAAGATGACCCAAGTGCTTGGGCCCCTGCACCCTTGTGGGAGATCTGGATGGAGCTCCTGGCTTTGGCCTTGCCCAGCCCTGGCTGTTGCAGCAATTGAGGGAATGAACCAACAGATGGAAGATTTATCTTTTTTTTTTTTTTAAACAGATCAATATAATCAATTTTATTGGAAAGATTGAAACATACCTTAAGGAAAAAGATGATTTTTAAAATTCTTATGTATCTAAATTTAATATAGAACATTTTAAATGTAACAAAAAAAAAGTCTAAGTGGGTTTTAAATGGATACAGATAACATCCTATGTAAATGAAGTGAACGAACAAAATACATACTCCCTAAGGAAAGACACACTGTTATCTACTATCTTTGTCTCTCCAGTATCTCTTTTCCAAGAGTCAATTTCAGTAGATGCCACTCAATCAGTGTTATTTAAAAGAACTTCTATCTAGGATGAAGAATAAATTCATACTGGTCAATAGCATGGAAAAGTTCCTTAAATTAAAAAAAAACAGTTTCACCATAGTTTAAGGTTTAAACAATAAGAAACATACATCTCACTCTTGATATGGCACAGTCATAGAATAAATGTGATTTTGCCATATCTACTCATAAAAGGTTATAGATAATCTTTATAATCATTTTCCATAAACCGAATCTTTATGCATTTATTCATTTAGAAGAGGTCAGGATTTCTGATTTATAAAGCTGTTCCCTGAAATCCGAATGGCCAACAGACACATGAAAAAATGTTCAGGACCACTAGCTGTCAGGGAAATGCAAATCAAAACCACAAGGAGGCCTCACCTCATTCCATTAGAATGGCCCTTATACAGAAATCAACAAACAACAAATGCTAGAGAGGATGTGGTGAAAAAGGTACCCTAATCCACTATTGGTGGGAATGCAAGCTGGCAAAGCCACTATGGAAGGCAGTATGGAAATACCTCAGAAATCTGAATATCGACCTACCATATGACCCAGCCATCCCACTCCTGGGAATCCACCAAGGGAAATTAAATAACTAAACAAAAGAGCTATCTGCATCTCCATGTTGTTTATTGCAGCTCAGTTCACAATAGCCAAGACATGGAACCAACCCAAGACTGGATAAAGAGATTATGGGATAGGTATACTATGGAACACTACACAGCAATAAAAAATGAAATCCCGTCATTTGCAACAAAATGGATCAATCTGGAAAACTTCATACTTAGTGAAGTAAGCCAGCCCCAAAGTGACAAATGCTATGTGTTCTCCCTGATCTGTGATAACCAATAGAGCACCCAAAATGAAAGCTATAGAAGTGAAACTGACACTTTGAGAAGCAATGGCTCTTCATACTATATGTTGAACTCTTAGAGTTAATCATACATATATGAAGTCAGTTGAAAATAGATCTCAGTAAAAAATAAGAGGGGGAATAATAGAGGGAGGAGGAAGTCTGTAACTATAAAGCTATATAGTTCTGCATACAGTCCTACTGACTTACCTCCAAGGGTACAGTTTAAAAACTTGTCATGGGGGGTGAGCCATTGTATTCCATAAACTGTACTTTGGAAATTTATATTTACTAAAAAAAAAAAAAAAAAAAAAAAAAAAAAACTTGTCATGGGACTCCAAATCCCATTAAAATTGGGGTAAAATGCCATCTTAATTGTTAAAGTTATATTAAGTGTTAAAATGAACATATAGATAGGATTAAGTGTTAAACATATAAATAGCATCAAGTGCCTGCAATAATAATAGATAGAATTAAAAAGGAGGGAATGTCCAACATGGGAAGCAGTCCACACAGCAGACTCCAGAAAGACAATTGCTTTAAGTAACACCCTGACCTCAGAATCAGCCCCTAGGGCACTCAGATATGGCCGAAATGTCCATGAGAGCATTTCAGACAGGGAAAGCCAAGACATCGTGGCAAAAAAATAAAAAATAAAAATAAATAAATCCTACATGAAGGATCTCTGTGAGTGAGACCCCAGTGGCAAGAAGGAACCACCAAAGAAGGATGTATTCTCTGAGAATTAACTGCAAAACTTATTCTTAACATTAATTTATATGTTGTGTGTGTGTAAGGGGGTGCAAACTGTTAAAATCCCTACTTAGTACAGAGTTGTCTTCTGTATATAAAGTTAACTAAAAATGAATCTAATGAAGAATGGGATGGGAGAGAGAGTAAGAGGTGGGGTGGGAGGGCAGGTATGGGGGAAGAGCCACTATATTTCTCAAGTTGTACCTATGAAATTTGCATTAATTAAACAAAAGATTTTTAAAAAATGATGTTCCCTATTTATGTTGTTGTAGGAAGATTTATCTTTTTCTTTGCATGTGTGTGTAACTCTGCCTCTCCAATAAATTTTAAAAATCAAAACTAGGTTAGGGGAGATACCACAAGAAATTCAAATTCACTTTGATACAAACTCAAGAAAAAAGTTCTGTATCATTGCAATGTTAATAATAGGTCTATAAACATAATGTACAACATGTTCATGCTGAATCTGAATGCTGAGCTGATTCATAATGTCTTGGATACTCTTAGAATAAGGAAGTGTCTTAACCTCTCTAACCCTGAATTTACTTATATTGAGAGTAAAACTAATAACGGAGCCAATCATTAGAGTGGCCGGGAGAATTAAGTGCACAAATGCTCGATAGCCTACATGGCGAGCGCTCTCCAGGGAAACAATTAGTGGTTGCTATTATTACATTTTGCAATGCTCCATTTTGGGTATATGCATCTTTGCACTTACCACTTACTTTTCTACCAAACACTAACATTTAGACCTCCCTCGATGACCATAGAGCACCGCACAAACCAGCGGCCTGCAGGACGAGCCAGGGGCCTGAGATGGGTCCTGACAGTCCTTGGCCACACTGGCTGCCTGACGACCCCGGCCTCCCCCAAGGGTGCTGGCGTGGAGCTAGGGGCGGAGAGACGCCCGCCTCCCACTGCCGCCAGGGGCGCTGGGCAGCCGGGCAACGACCGTGTCGCAAAATCGTCGCAAAAGCGTCCGCTCTTGGCGGCTCCAGGCCACCTGTGTAAGCGGAGCGTGCTGGGGCTAGGGAGCTGGTATGGAGGTGGCGGCAAGCGAAGTTTCGCGGGATTGCGGTGACTCCACGGAGAAGCGGCTGGCCGGTGCCCAAGACTGCTGAACTCCCGCCGCCTCAGGGGCCATGCTGGCCTCACGCGTGGCGCGCGGCTCGTGGGCGGCCCTGCGCGGCGGTGCCGCCTGGGCGCCGGGGGTGCGGCCGAGCAAGGGGCGCGCCCGCGGGGCCCTGCTGCCGCCCGCGCCCTGCTGCCTAGGCTGCCTAGCGGAGCGCTGGTGGCTGCGCCCGGCCGCGCTCAGCCTGCGGTTGCTGGGGGCCAGCCCGCGGAACCACTGCTCCGGGACGGGGAAGGCGGCCTCCGGGGCCGCGGCCGGAGGAGGCGCCGCCGCCGAGGCCTCGAGCAGCCGGTGGGGCCCGGCCGGCGCCGCCAGCCTGGTACGTACCCCGAAGGCGGCGGGGGGCCGGCCTTGGGCTGGGGTCGCCGGCCCTGCGGGGCTCGGCTTTGGACGCAGTAACGTGCTCTGGTCCCGTCTGCTTCAGAACTTTGAAACCAGTTCCCCGAGAGAAATTCCAGGCAGGTCATTCTGTCGGGCGACAGCTGGTTCCACCTGCGTTCTGGGTGGCCACGCACTCTCCCCGCACCGGTTACTAGAGCGGCCTCTGCGTTGGTAAAAATAGCCCTCGCCTGGCCTATTAAAAGCTTAGTTTTATTTTTCTGAAGCGAATCCCGGATCCTTGGAGCAGGTCTGTGGGAATTTTCAGAAAAGTATCCATACCCTTGTGTTTGCTTGTGCAGATTTGGCCCGCCATCGTTTGACCTTTGCTAACTTTAACGCATTATAGGACGGAGAGTAATTAAATAGGTCGTAACAAAAGGTGTCTTAACCTCTATAGAAAAAAAAAGTTAAGTAGTCGTGAGATAACGGAAGGAAACACTTGTCCACGCACCTGTTGAAATACCGCCCAGGCAGAAGACCCCAGAGCATGAGTGTGGGTGAGCTTTTGATGTCATGTTAGCAGCACTCATGCAATTATTACATCTTCAATTGTTATGTCTTCACTGAGCCCGTGTACTGCTTTCATCAGTTGTACAGCATGGGTTGAGGTGGCCGCATCCCGGCAGGGGTCTCAACTCCACAAGTAGCTGGAGCATGTTGGGGTTTGCCTGCTGGACGCTTTGACGTTGCCATATCCTGGCTGGAAGCCTTCCCAGAACGGCAGTAGTTGGTCGAGTATGCCACAGGTTATCTGGTTGGGTAATCTGAGATTAGCTCTCCTAACATTAATTTAGAAATTTTGACAAATGTAACCATTAGAAATGAATGAGGGACCTGCCTGCAACAGAAATACTTTGTGTGGTGCTGAAAAGAACCCCTTACCTGTTCCAGCAACATCCGGGACTGTTTGTTAATTGACCAGATGGAATGATTGGTGGTTTGCAACTCTTTATATTTTTGCCCTGTGGATCTAAGAACAACTTTGGGGTTCTCCCTTCTGATTTTGTTGTTGTTGTTAATCCTCTTCCTCCCCTCACCATTTCTGTGAGTTGCTGGAACATTGAATCTTGTCTTTGTGACTTGTTCTGTACTCTGAGAGTTCTGTGGACTCTCAAACACCCTCTAATCTTTGAACTTGAAATTGGGATATATTCCAAGAATGTTTTCATTTAGTTGTGCGAGGTGATGTGCTTTCCCTAAAAAATGCCGGAGTGGAGGTTTATATTGCTTCTTGTTTGATGATTGTTTCTTACAGAATTTAAAGTTTTGCTATAGCTTTCAATTGACAGTATTCTGCCACTTAATGCCAACAGCCACGCTGTTACCCCTCGAAGCTGAGATGCTTTCCTGGTAGGTTCTGTAGATAAACACAGATTCACCCTCTTTAGAGAATGCCTTTTCTTACAGGGTGATTAGTGGTATTGTAAAAGGTGTCTTCTCCCCTCCCCCATGCATTTTAAAACCAAAATTTAGGTTCAGGCATGTTGATGACTGATTAAGAAAGAAGTTAAGTAAGGTTATTCCTTGTGAAGACAAGGCCCCATGGGGGTGGAACTGGAGGTCTTGGAGGAAAAGGCCCACAGGCTTTAGAGAAGGCATTTCCTTGGAGCTATTTCTGTACACGGTTCTGCACTGTTGTGCAAGGTGTCTTCCGCAGAGGCGATTTAAAGTGGAATACCCTGGCTGGCACCGCGGCTCACTAGGCTAGTCCTCCACCTAGTGTCGCCAGCACATCGGGTTCTAGTCCCAGTCAGGGTGCTGGATTCTGTCCCGGTTGCCCCTCTTCCAGGCCAGCTCTCTGCTGTGGCCTGGGGAGGCAGTGGAGGATGGCCCAAGTGCTTGGGCCCTGCACCCCATGGGAGACCAGGAGAAGCACCTGGCTCCTGGCTTTGGATCAGCGTGGTGCACCGGCCACAGCTCGCCAGCCGCAGCGGCCATTAGGGGGTGAACCAACGGCAAAGGAAGACCTTTCTCTCTGTCTCTCTCACTGTCCACTTTGCCTGTCAAAAAAAAAAAAAAAAAAAAAAAAAAGTGGAACACCCTGTTGCCAGTCAGATTCTGTCTGGCAAAGCAGGGATGGATTCCTTCAGACCAGCTGTCTCAGAGCCCTTTGTTAGTGCCCACGTCAGCAGCCTGGCTCCGTGTGAAGCTTCAAGGAATGGGGGCTCCACCATGGCGCCGTGAAACCCGAGCGTCTGCTCCGGATTCTGATGTTTCTGTGGTTGTTTTGAACAGATTTACAAGGTTTCTCTTTATTTTCAAAAATCTCAGTCTACTTCTGTCTCCATTTCCTTTCAGCAAGTCTCAGTGCAAGTGGCTGGCGCCACGGCTCACAAGGCTAATCCTCCGCCTTGCGGCGCCGGCACACCGGGTTCTAGTCCCGGTCGGGGTGCCGGATTCTGTCCCAGTTGCCCCTCTTCCAGGCCAGCTCTCTGCTGTGGCCAGGGAGTGCAGTGGAGGATGGCCCAAGTGCTTGGGCCCTGCACCCCATGGGAGACCAGGAGAAGCACCTGGCTCCTGCCATCGGATCAGCGCGGTGTGCCGGCCGCGGTGGCCATTGGAGGGTGAACCAACGGCAAAGGAAGACCTTTCTCTCTGTCTCTCTCTCTCACTGTCCACTCTGCCTGTCAAAAAAAAAAAAAAAAAAAAAAAAAAAAAAGTCTCAGTGCAGAATTAAATCTGGGTATTTTTTTTTCTGCTCTTCATTTCTGCATAGACTGTGTACAGCATTTAGCATTTCTTTGATTGATAGATTGCAATTAGGCAGAGGTACTCTTAGTGTCTCAAGCCAACATGCGTGGGGTTGCAAATTTAACTTTTTTTCTGTAGGCTTCTAGACTCTTTATCCACTTACAAGGCATCTTCTGGAAGTTTTACTTGTAAAAGCAGAATGTTCAAAGTTCTAAATTCTTAGGATGAAGTTGTATATTGAAGGTTTAACTTATATGGTAGATAAGGCATATTTGTCTCTTTTCTTTCGTTTTAAGATTTATTTATTTGGAAGGCAGAGTTACAGAGAGAGAGAGAGATCCTCTATCCACTGGTTCAATCCCCAAATGGCCACAGTCTCCAGAGCTGGGCCAATCCCAAGCCAGGAGCCTGGAGCCTCCTTTGGCTTGATCTCCCACTTGAGTGCAGGGGCCCAAATACGTGGGCCATCTCCCACTGCTGTTCCAGGCATATTATCAGGGAACTGGATCAGAAGTGGAGCAACTGGGACTTAAACCTGCATCCATATAGGATGCCGATGCCGCAGGTGGCAGCTTTCCCCACTATGCCACAACGCTGGCCCTGTCTCTTCTTTCTTTAGGAAGAAAACCTACACTATGTCTGTTAAACCTTTTGGTCTGTGTTTGGGTACATGATACATCTTCATCTTCTGTATTCTTGTAAGATGATTTTAGAGAAATATCTATAAAAAGAACAGAATGGATTTAAAAATTCAAAGTTAAATTTGAAGTTTCTATAATTTCTGACCCTATTTTTCTAACCTATACAATTAAAGTGTGAATTTATGGTGTTTCATTTACATTTCATTGTCTTTGTCTTTCAGTATGAAAACCCATGGACAATCCCAAATATGTTGTCAATGACGAGAATTGGCTTGGCTCCAGTTTTGGGCTATTTGATTATTGAAGAAGATTTTAATATCGCCCTAGGAGTTTTTGCTTTAGCTGGGCTAACTGATTTGGTAAGTTGTAAGTGTACGCTCTTCATTTTGCTCCCTTTCCAAATCCCAGGGTCACTACAACTAAGCAAAATAACCCAGTGTTAGTTAGCATGTCCTTGGAAGGACATTCTCAAGATGATTTTGACCTATTGCTTTGTGAAGCATGTGTAAGTAGCATCTGTGTGGGACTGGTTTTCTATTTATGACCTAAGAGAGGAAATAAAGGTTGTAGGGAGGCAGAAGAGGGACTGCTTTTTAATGTCTTCTTAATAGAAACACTCTGATCAGCAGCCAGAGTTGGTTTTCCTGTTGGAGTGGGGAGGCGGTGGCCTGGTTGTTATGACTGAGGGAACTATGCTGTGACCCAGGGAACTTGTAAAGACCAGAGCTTTGCTCAGGCTTAATGCTAGCAGATGGTCCCTGTGCCCCATTCTACATCCCTTAGCTGCCCTGCACAAGACTTCTCTGAGCTGGGCATTGAACCTCCTTGCTCCTTCCACTCCCCCAATAGACAGGGAACAAAGGAGAAAAGAGCTCCTTGATACCATTGTTGTGGGAGGGGAAGATTTATTTGGGTGACTTTAAATTAGAACTGGGAAAAAATTGGGACAGAAGGCCACATTCTGAGTTCCATCAGCCTTTGTGGACTGGCCAGCTATTATGTTGACATTATTTATCACCTACTTTGTTTCATAATGGATTTTAAATGGTGTATAAAACTATACATGCTACAAAAACAGTAGAGGGCAACAGGATGAAGGCAGAGCAAGAATTTGAAGTCAGGATAAAGTTAGAATGTATAGACACAAATAGATAAAATATGTTCTTTTACAAGGCTGGTCTGACATCCATGTGAGCCCCTAGACAGGCAGTAATAATTTGGTGCCTTTTCAAACTGATTTATGTTTGAAAAGCTTTGTTCAAAATTTACTTAAAATTTATTTTAGGTAAACTTTGCATGGTGTCTTTCTCTGTAATACCAGCTGTTCCTTTTTAGGTTCATAGAAACAGTATCCCACCCACCCAGTAATAGTAACATTGGTAAGCAAGAGGTTGGAGGGCTAACAAAAAGAGAGCATTTGTATTGCTCTGTGGCACTTCCAAATGTATGTCAGTCACAGCCTCCAGATTGGCTCTCGCCTATCTTCCTCCAGAGCTTAGCTGCTGTTGGTCACCATCTCTCCCCATTCTAACAGTCTTTCGCCTTTTCTGTAACCCCTGCTTTTCTCTCTGAAGCCTGAAGGCTTCCACTCAGTATGATCTCAAGTCCCTCAAAGACTATCATATCGATAATGACAGACAGGATTAGTTTCAGTTACTGGATTCATGTTTTTTTTATCTGTATGCTAGTTTTTCACCCCTCTCCTAGCTGCCACGTGAAATTGCAATATTCACTGAGTGGGAGAGAGACCTCATTAACATTTTTCTAAATACGTAAGATGATGTGTGTAGAAACCTGAATTAACTGGCACTACATTTCACATTTATTCCAGGGAGGTTTTGATGCTTCCAGATGGGTCACAGAGGAAGTGGCCAGTTAGGGAAATGACAAGGTCTGATGTGTGTCTTGTATATGGAGAATGTGATAGGAATGAACAGTAGAAGCAGAGCAACTGGTTGGGAGGGGGATGGGGTGGGTAGCTTGGACTGGAGTGGAGTTTGGAGTTGGAGAGAAGTGGATGAGTTTGGGACAAGTTTTGAAAATAGTGTGGAGAAATCGATGGGTTGACCCAATGAGAGAAAGAAAAGTCTAATCTGAATGCTACGCTCTTTCTTTTTCTCTCCTTTCAAACCCCAAGAAAATGGAGGTACATTTTCTGTGGTGAACATCACTTGGAATAGGATAGAGATTAGGGAAAAATACCATGAATTCTGATGTCTGTCCACACAGAGGCACCAGTTGCACAATTGAGTGTAGTGGTGTGATGTTGGAGAAAGTCATGATTAGAGATGTGGATTTGAGAACCATCAGAGATAGGTGGCTGAGTTTGAGTGAAATCCCCTACGCTTAGGTAGAAGAGAGACAAGGGGTCAAAGAACTGAACCACAGGAAGACTCTAGGAAAGGAACTGAGAAGGAATAGTGGGCAAGGAACAAAGAAAGACAGTGCGGTGTCCCAGAGGTAAGTGAAGGAAGCACTGCGCTGACGTGGAGGCCACCCTCAAACTACAGAATTCACTGGTGACCTCCAAGCACTGTTTCTAGAGGGGTGGCCGTGATTGGAGTGGGCGGGTTGAAGAGCAGAGGTGAAGAGGTAACTGCAGTGGACATTGCTTTGAAGAAGCTTTGCTTTGTACAGGAATAGGGTCGAGGAAGGGTAGGGTTTTTTTTTTTTTTTTTTTTTTAAGATTTATTTATCTATTTGAAAGTCAGAGTTACACAAAGAGAAGAGGGGCAGAGATAGAGAGATCTTCCATCTGCTGGTTTACTCCCCAATTGGCTGCAACAGCTAGAGCTGTACCGATCTGAAGCCAGGAGCCAGGAGCTTCCACTAGGTCTCCCACGTGGGTGCAGGGGCCCAAGCACTTGGAACATCTTCCACTGCTTTCCCAGGCCACAGCAGAGAGCTGGATCAGAAGTGGAGCAGCCGGGACTTGGACCAGCGCTCATATGGGATGCCAGCGCCCCAAGGAAGGGTAGTTTTAAAGACACGAAAGTACTTCAAACAATTCATGGAAAATGGAATTAGAAAAATTTATTTTGGTGCAAAAATTTTTTAAATATATGCATATAGGAGATCTTAAGAAAGAGTGCATGAAGACCCGGCGCCGCGGCTTAACAGGCTAATCCTCTGCCTAGCGGCGCCGGCACACCGGGTTCTAGTCCCGGTCAGGGCGCCGGATTCTGTCCCAGTTGCCCCTCTTCCAGGCCAGCTCTCTGCTGTGGCCAGGGAGTGCAGTGGAGGATGGCCCAAGTCCTTGGGCCCTGCACCTGCATGGGAGACCAGGAGAAGTACCTGGCTCCTGGCTTCGGATCAGCGCAGTGCGCCGGCCGCGGTGGCCATTGGAGGGTGAACCAACGGCAAAGGAAGACCTTTCTCTCTGTCTCTCTCTCTCACTGTCCACTCTGCCTGTCAAAAAAAAAAAAAAAAAAAAAGTGCATGAAGAATGCATATTATGGAAAACTTATGCATGGATTTCAGAAATTATTTTTGCAACGAAATAAACTTTTAATTTTTGTTGTTAAAAAAATTACTTATTTTATTTGAAAGGTAGAGAGAAAGAGAGAAATCATTTATCCGCTGGTTCATGCCCCAAATGCCCTCAGCAGCCGAGGCTGAAGCCAGGAGCCAGAATCTCAGTCTAGGTGTCGCAATGTTGGCAGGAACATCACTATTGTGCCGTCTCCTACTGCCTCCCAGGGTGTAGCAAGCTGGAAGCAGGGGTAGAGCTGGGACTTGAACCCAGGTACTCTGATACAGGATGTGGGTATCCCAAATGGGATGTGGGCATCCTAAGTGGTATCTTCACTGCTGTGCCAAATATGTGCCCCGATATCTATATCTATATCTATATCTGTATCTATATCTTTATCTATATCTATATCTATTTTTGTAATTTGAAAAGCAGCGCTCCCATCCCCTGGTTTATTCCTCAACTTCAGTTAATTAAATGATCAGGCAGAAAGGAAGAGATTGATGATGCAGGCCACAGAGGGAAGAAGGGAGATAACTTCCAGAGCGTCAGAGGCTCGAGGTCAGAGAGCAGGGAAGATAGAGAGAACGTGAATGGAGATGGTTCAGTGGTGGGACTGTGAGGACATGATTTTTTTTCTTAAGGAAAATATAGGCTGTAGGAGAGAGAAAGGAGGTCTTGCAGTGAGAGCAGACAGTGTGAAAGCAGACGGTAAGTGCGTTGCCCAGCATGACAGAGTACCCACAGGAGATGTGAGGTCACAAATTTGAAGTGAGACCAGCCAGCCCGTTTATGTTTTTCTTGAGCAGTGTCAGGCACTTGGGTGCAGGCCTAGAGTACGCAAATGGTTGTGTTAGGCAGGGTTGAAGGAGAGCGGAGTGAGGCGTTAGAGATGTTTGCAAAGGGATGATGCTGTTGATGCCTTTGGAATCTAAGGTAAGGGGGCTTAGAGATGGCCGGTGCCGCGGCTCACTAGGCTAATCCTCCGCCTTGCAGCGCTGGCACACCGGGTTCTAGTCCCGATCGGGGTGCCAGATTCTGTCCCGGTTGCGCCTCTTCCAGGCCAGCTCTCTGCTGTGGCCAGGGAGGGCAGTGGAGGATGGCCCAAGTACTTGGGCCCTGCACCCCATGGGAGACCAGGAGAAGCACCTGGCTCCTGACATCGGATCAGCGCGATGCGCCGGCTACAGCACGCCTGCCGCGGCGGCCATTGGAGGGTGAACCAACGGCAAAAGGAAGACCTTTCTCTCTGTCTCTCTCTCTCTCACTATCCACTCTGCCTGTCAAAAAATAAAAAAATAAATAAATATACTTATTATAAAAAAAAAAAAGGCTTAGAGGAATAGTGAGGACAAGAGGGCGATGTAGTGAAAGAGTGTACGATTAAGTTCTCTGAGATCAGAAACTGAACTGAAACCTGTGTCTTCCAAGGCCCCACCTCTTCTAGGCACTTTAGATTAGACAGCATTACCCCAAGCCTACTTAAGAAGAAAACAGAGGGAGTCAATTGCAATAGTAATAGCTAGTGACTGCCTTTTTTTTTTTGAGGTTTTACTCAATGCTGATCACTAAACGAGTATTAATCACATCATGTGCTGAAGACAGCCAACCCGGCTCTGTTTCACAGATGAGGAAACTGGGGCTTACGGAGGCCACATTCCTTGATGGAGGTCACACAGCTAGTCAGTGGCAGAGCCAGGGCTAGAACGAGTTGTGTTTCACTACAAAGACCAAGTTCTTAGGGTCCTGTGCTCCTGCTTTCTCCCGTAACCGTTTGGAATTGAGATGTGGAAGACTTACCATTTTGATGTATTAAAGTGTTCCATGTTTAATTACATCTAAATTAATTTTCTCTTTTCCCCTAGAAATAGGAATAGAAAACATGTTGAAGCTTGAAGTTAAGTGAGTAAATGCAGGTAGGGACTTGGGTCCAGCTGGCAGTATCTGTCTGTTTCATGTAGCTAGGCAGTTCTTGTTTCAGTCCATCTGGTGGCCCCATCTCTCTCTCAAGTTGGGCTGGAGATCTGGATTTTTATGGGAAGATTCAGGTGTTGGCAGAAGATTCAGGTGTTGGCAACTAATTATGGAGGCCCCGTTTGACTCATTATCTACTAGGTGGGACTCTGCTTCGGTAATTCATTTTTAATGACAGTAATAAAAAGAAGTAGTTTACCTAGGGAAGTATAAAGGATTGAGTTTTTAATTCAAGTACAGGCAATTCAGATTGGTCAGAGTATTACACAAAATAAATTGAAAAATAATGAATTTAAAGAGATTTGGTCCATGGTATGGATAGGGTTGTGAAAGTTTAGCATCCTGTAGTTAAAGAGTATGCTTGCAAGTGAAAGCAGCAATTTTGGCTGTAGTGAACTAGGCCAAGGCTCAAAAGATGGGGCTTCTAGTCCAGGCTCTGTCATTCGTGCTTTCTGTAAGTTTTGTTTGGGTTCATATATTGTAAGTTTGTGTCTGGTTCATCCCCAAAAGGGACATTGTGAAAATACTGAGATATAACTAAAAGATCCTGAGAAGAAAAAGTACTATAGAAATGTGAAAATATTTTTTGACTGATTACCAATTTAAAAACTAAACATATAGTAGTGAAAGAATGAGGATGTTTGGGTATAAGACACAAGAGATTATATATTCTATGAAAGTGTAGTTGTTATTCTGGTATCTCTTAAGCGTCAAAATATCCACTCTGTTCCTATTATGACATTTATTAAAAAAAACTTTTATTTTCAGTTGGATGGATTTATTGCTCGAAACTGGGCCAATCAAAAATCAGCTTTGGGAAGTGCTCTTGATCCACTTGCTGATAAAATACTTATCAGTATCTTATATATTAGCTTGACCTATGCAGATCTTATTCCAGGTAAGAACGCCATCATGCGTATTTTTAAATAGCACAGGGAAGAATGGCATTAGCTTAGGATTTCTCTTTGGAGACAAATAACTTTGGTTTCAAAAATATATTTTTCAACTTTTAACTGTTACCCTGATTTTAAACTGTTGAACTGTTTTATTTATCAGACTGTTCTATTGTTAGAATTTATGTCCTTACTGTATTAGAATTAGCTGTTTTCTTAGTAATTTTCCTTTTAAGATTAAATTGAGCAACTATTTCACAGTGCCAATTCTTACTACTCTAGAATCTTTTGGTGCTATAGTATATATTTTTAGTGCCTAGCATTAAAAAAAATTTAAAGTTTTCCTAAGTCTATTATCTCTATTAAATACAGTTTAATCATAGTAAGGACTCTGAAATCCTTATTTAGACACTATTATACAATTTTAATATCATATATATATATAGTCTGTGCATCGTCTGAATACTCTTAACAAAATTTTATAATCTTTTTGTAATTTGCATGCGTGCTTTTCTGGTTGTTCGTTTTAGTTTTAGCCATATTTCTCAATCAGTTGTTCTCCCTCAGAGCAGATTAAATTTTCTTTTTAAAAGTTAGAGATAGGCTCTGAGAACACAGAAGCCCTTGTGATCTTTCATTATGTTATTGGCATTTGGTAAGAAAAAGTGTAGTGGTGTTTCAGTCTCCTGTAGTCCCCTCAAGCTGGGGTTTCTTCTGCTCCTATACCTGTAGTCTTCTAAGTTTTCACACTAAATCAAAAAAATAAATTGGACACATGTTTGTACTTATGTGCTTCTTTGAAAGTGACAACTGAGGGGTGTGTGTGTGGATGGGAGGGGTGGTTAAAGGGGTGGGGATACTCCCATTTTAAAGAATAGAAATACTTTCAGAAAAAGACCTGGAATGCATCCTGTTCACATTATTCAAAATTCAGATGTATCTGTTGTGTTGTTTTGTGTTGTTCAGTTTGGGCCTGGTCGTTTACCTGTGGAACATGGGAATAATTTCCAGGCTTTTGGTATTACAAATAATATTACTGTGAGCCTTAGTTAAATAATTGGTGTGGACTGCTTTCCAAGCTGGGACTTCTCTTCACTGTTACTCTGAGTGGTTGCGTTTTTTCTTTTCTTGTTGGGTCTTTTTCTTCCCATGCTCCCATGTCTTGCTTTTTGTTAGCTACTCCTTTTGGTGGAGTGGATGCTCAGGTATTTTCTGTGAAAGGGTACAGCATGGCAGCAAGGGAGGTCTTGAGCATCTACAATATCTTCATGCTAACCTTTCACTTGACTCAAAGTTGAACTGGGTATTAGTTTTCAATTGCAAACCTTTTCCATTCAGAATTTTAAAGATCTTATCCCATAGACTTCCAGCTTCCATCTTGCTGTGAAGTCTCATTGCATTCTGATACCTTTTCCTTTATATGTGGCTCTGTTTTGTATTAGAAAGCATTGAAGATTCTTTTCCCTAGTTGTTTAAAAAAGCTTTCTTAAAAATTCATTTTCTAGTAGCTTGTATGGACACCTCATTATCCTAGCACTTTTTGTTAAAAAGTATGTTTTCCAGACTTATTCCAGTGTCACATAAATGGGTTCATTTCTGGGTTGTCTGGTTTTTTTTCTATTGATTTATCTGTCTTTGCAACAATACCACTCTTAGTATTGCTTTGCTAAAGGTCTTCATATCTGGTAGAACAAATCCTTCCACTTTGGATATTCTTAGCCCTTTCCATTTGGTATATACATTTTTTTTAAAGATTTTATTTATTTGAAGGATGGAGTTACAGAGAGAGAGAGGTAAAGAGAGAGAGAGTAGTCTTCCATCTGCTAGTTGACTCCCCAGATGGCCACAACGGTCGGAGCTGTGCCGATCCAAAGCCAGGAGCTTCTTCTGGGTCTCCCTCGTGGGTGCAGGGGCCCAAGGACTTGGGCCATCTTCCACTGCTTTCCCAGGCTACAGCAGAGAGCTGGATCGGAAGAGGAGCAGCCGGGACTAGAACCGGTGTCCATATGGGATGCCTGTGCTTCAGGCCAGGGCTTTAACCCGCTGTGCCACAGAGCCGGCCCTGGTATATACATTTTATAATCACCTTTTTCCAGAATCAGCAATTCTCTAGAAAAAAAAAAAATCTGTTGGGTTTTTGATGAGGGTTGCATTGAATTTATGGAACTATTTGGAAAAACTGACATTTTTATGATATCAGGTCTTCTGGTTCACAGATTCATGTATCTACTCTATTTTGGTGTCTTTAATGTCCCAAAAGTTTTCTAAGTTTTCTCCAGAGAGACAGTAAGCCTTTCTTCTTTAGATTTATTCCTGTATACTTGATAGTTCTTGATGCTTTTCTAAATGGTAGCTTTTAAAATTTCATTTTGTAATAACTGCTTGTTATTGATAATGCTAAAAATCAGTTGTTCTTAATGTTGAGTTTTGTCCAGCAAAACTAATTCTCACCCATAATATAAATATAAATTATGTTGCATTTTCTGTATCCTTAGTTATGTGTCTGTATGATTAATGATCTTTTCTAATCCTTTTACCTTTTTTTTTTTTTTTAAGATTATTTATTTGAAAGGCAGAGTTACAGAAGCAGAGAGAGAGAGAGGAGAGAGGTCTTCCATCTGCTGGTTCACTCCCTAGATTGCCACAATGACCAAAGCTGGGCTGATCCAAAGCCAGGAGCCTAGAGTCTGTTTTTTCCCATCTCAGAGAAAGACTTTTTTTTTTTTTTTTTTTTTTTTAATTTGTGTTTTTGACAGGTAGAGTGGATAGTGAGAGAGACAGAGAGAAAGGTCTTCCTTTTGCCGTTGGTTCACTCTCCAATGGCCGCCACAGCCGGCGTGCTGCGACCGGCGCACCGCGCTGATCTGAAGGCAGGAGCCAGGTGCTTCTCCTGGTCTCCCATGGGGTGCAGTGCCCTACTGGAAGAGGGGCAACCAGGACAGAATCCGGCACCCTGACCGGGACTAGAACCCGGTATGCCAGCGCTGCAAGGCGGAGGATTAGCCTATTGAGCCGCGGCGCCGGCCAAGAGAAAGACTTTTAATATTTCACTGTGGATTATTCCTGGTTTTGTACATACTCCTTTTTTCAGGTTAAGTTCACTTCTGTTGGGAGTTTAAGACTTTCTGTCATAATTGAGTATTGAATTTTATCAAACTTTTTTCTTTGTGTGTTATGATTGAATAATTTTTCCCTTTAAGGAGTTAATGAATTGTAAATTACATTTTTGATTTTTTAAAAAAAAGATTTATTTATTTATTTTGAAATCTTTGCATGTAAATTCACCAGATTGACCTTGGAATACTTTTCTTTGAATAGCCTTGTTATGATTTTAGTATCAAATTTATAAGCTAGTCTCATAAAACAAATTAGGGGCTGCTTTTTTTTCCTATTCTTGAGAGATGTTTGTGAGATTCCAATTATTTTGACTTCAAATGTTTTGTAGAATTTGTTGAAGCCATTGAAACCTGGAGTTTTCTTTGGGAAAAAGTTTCAAAATAAGTCATTGATTTTTTTTTTAAGGTTTATTTTTTATTTATTTGAAAGACAAAGTTGCAGAGAGAGGTAGAGACAAAAATAGAGAGATCTTCCATCCTCTGGCTCACTCCCCAAATGGCTGTGATGGCCAGAGCTGGGCTGATCTGAAGCCAGGAGCCAGGAGTTTCTTCTGGGTCTTCCACGTGGGTACAGGGACCCAAGGACTTGGACCATCCTCCACTGGTTTCCCAGGCACGTGAGCAGGGAGCTGGATTGGAAGTAGAGCAGCCAGGGCTTGAAAAAGCGCTCATTCGTGTTGCTGGCCCTGCAGGCTGGGACTTTGACCTACTGCACCACAGTGCCATCCTGATTGATTTTAGTTGTTACAGGATGATTCAGGTTTAATGATCTGACCGTTTTGTAAGTTGTGATGTTTTTTCTAGGAACTTGTCCATTTCTTTTACGTTTTTTAAACATACTTATAGTGCTCTCATTGACTTTTTAAAATTATTTCATTGGGTTTTTTTATTTTATTTATTTGAGAGACAGAGAAGAGAGTGCTCCCATCTGCTAATTTCATTCCCCTGTGCCCGTAGTGACTGAGTCAAGGCCAGAGCCAGAAGCCAGGAACAATGCAGTTCTCCCACATGGGTGGCAGGAACCCAGTTACTTGAGCCATCACTGATGTCTCCCGGGCACTCCCGTATGGAATATGGGCATCTTTATTTTTATTTTTTAAAATGTTATTTATGTTTATTTCTTGGAAAGACAAAGGGAGGGTTGGCGCCGTGGCGTAGCAGGTAAAGCTGCCGCCTACAGTGTTGGCATCCCATATGGATGCTGGTTCGAGTCCTGGCTGCCCCACTTCTGATCCAGCTCTCTGCTGTGGCCTGGAAAAGTAGTAGAAGATGGCCCAAGTCCTTGGGCCCCTGCACCCGCGTGGGAGACCCAAAAGAAAGAGACCCTGGCTCCTGGCTTTGGATCAGCTCAGCTCTGACCGTTGAGGCCAGTTGAGGAGTGAACCAGTGGATGAAGACCTCTCTCTCTCTCCCTCTTTCTCTTTCTCTCTGCCTCTCCTTCTCTCTCTGTGTAACTCTGACTTTCAAATAAGTAAATCTTTAGAAAAATAAGTAAATCTTAAAAAAAGATTCATTTATTTATTTGAAAGGCAGAGGTACAGAGAAACAGAGCAGAGAGAGAAAGAGGTCTTCCATCCAATGGTTCATTCCCCAAATGGCTGCAACGGCCAGAGCTGCACAGATCAGAAGCCAGGAGCTAAGAGCTTTCTCCGGATCTCCCACACGGGTGCAGGAGCTTAAGCACTTGGGCCATCTTCCACTGCTTCCCCAGGCCATTGCAGAGAGCTGGATTGGAAGTGGAGCAATCAGTGGCGTCTACATGGGATGCCGGCACTGCAAGCAGCGACTTTACCCGCTATGCCACAGCGCCGGCCCCCAGGCGTTTAAATTTTCTGTTTATTTACTGACCATTTCCCCCACTTTTGGTCTGCAGTCCTCTGTCAGTTACTGAGAGAACGAGTTAAAATTTCCTACTGTATGTCTAGTTTTCCATTTTTTTTCCTTTGTAGTTCTGATTTTGCTTTGCATGTTTTGAAGTCATGTTGTTAAGTACATATAAGTTGGAATTGTATCTTCTTGGTGAATTGAATGCTTGCTATTATAAAGCAACCCACCAAACTGTTAGAGTGGGTGTTCTGAGTCCAGAGATGCTAATCGCTTGAGCACAGTGCTGGGCTGGAGTCTGATGTGCTGCCCCAACTATAGTGTGTGAGTTCTGTGGATCCTACATCCTTGCATATGTGTGGTGGTGTTTTTTCCTCCCATGTTTACTATTCATGGATTTTAATTTGCATGAGTTTGCTGTATTTTAAGAGTGATTGTTGTCAGATTTTGCCAGCTAGTGATTGCTGTGGAAAAAGTGCTTTACAGGTTAAAAAAAAAAGTACTAAAAATCATGATATGCTATTTTCTTGCTTGACTAATAGAGTATTTGCTGCAAATGCCATGGCTTGAGTATATGAGCATTTTCTCTTTGGAATTGTGTTGTCACCCACGAATAAGCCAAGGTTCAATACTTGTATCATCTACAGCCACGGTATAAATTTTAAATCTGCAGTTATTGAGATTTTGTTTGCAGAGCCAGTAGAATGTTAATATGGGAGAAGACCATAAGTACAGGCCCAAATAATTCATAAGAGCGTTTTGGAGGCTTTATGGAAGAGGTGTCTATGAGCCTTTTATTTTAGTAATTGAGACAATTTGAACTGAGTGGACTTAAGAGTTTAGTTTCCCTTTAAAACAAGAGGGGGATTAAAAAACCATCAAAGATACAGATTCCTGGTTAAAACTTCCTGCAGTGCAGAAGGGTATAAAGCCAGTTCTCTGGCCCTCCCGTTCTCATTCAGTAACATTGCAGATGTCCCTTGGGTACCCACCAGACATAGCCTTCTGTGGCTCTGGGTCCCTGCTGTAAAGTCTGAGGCATACAGATGGAGCATCCCTAGTTGAAATCATGAGCTTTGCAAGTGTCAACATAGGATGTTCAAAAAGTTTCAGATTTTGGATTTTGAGGTTAGGGATGCTCAGTTGGTAGTATCTGTGCAAATATTAAACCTAAAACGCTCAACCATTTTGGGTAATGGATATTGAACTTGGAATAAAACTGTTGACAAGTTGAATTCATTGAATGATTAAATAGGAAGAAAAATAGCAGTTTCCTGGGTAGGAGTTAGCTAGCGAAGAATGGAAGAATTCGTGTTGTACATATAGCAAAGTTGTACATATAGCAAAGAGAAGAAAGTGGCAGAAGCCAGCCATTAATGCTCCTGAGACTGAAGAGGAGTTTGGCTCCCTGGGTGTCCTCAGCTTTTTTGTCTGTCTTTGCATCTAATTCTAATGAGCATGGTCAGTGATCTGTTCCACACTCACCAAACGAAGAAGTAACAAAGAAGCTGGAGATGGTGAACTGAGTGTGGGAACTGTAGGTGTATAGCTTAAAAGCAGAAGCAAGGAAGAAATGAGATGTGAGGATCAGCATTCTGAAAGGCAGGCATAGACTCCCAAAGCCATGGTCTGAACTTGCTTTAAGGACAGCTTAAAAAGAGAATAAAACGGGTGTTTTCGTGAAGAACCCTAAACCATCCATAAGTGTTTATTATAAAATTTTTCTTACGAGGAATACCAATTCATGTTATAATGGCTGAATGAAGCTTTATTGTATTTATAATGTCTGTTAGTAGTTTCCAAAATCCTAAAGTTATTTTCTATTTGATTTTCAGTTCCACTTACTTATTTGATAATTTCAAGAGATGTAATGTTGATTGCTGCTGTTTTTTATGTCCGATATCGAACTCTTCCAACACCGGTGAGTTTGTTTTGAAAAAAGAAATTCTTTTAGTGTTACTAAGACCTCAGGCAAAAAAAAAAATATTTTTAAGTAAAGATCCTCTCTTTTGTATGCTGTTTCAATTTATGGGAATAATTTATGGCAATTTAAAAAGTTCATTTACCAGGAATTAAAAAAAGTAACCATGTTGCTATTTGACCACCCACTCCTGTGAGACCCAGACCTGTTAGCCCCATTGCTGGCAGGAAACTGTTAGAGGGGTTTGTACCTACTCAAGCCATGTTGTCATCTACGTTGGCCTCTATAAGGGATTGTCTAGAAGTGCTTTTTTACAATCACAGTGTGATTTGCTTGCTTAATTGTTCATTGGTTCTATAAATATCTGAGCACATAAACACAACATAATAACTTCTTTTGGTTACCAATCCCCATGGAAATAGGTCAGTATTTTACTATTTTTGTTTTTTCATTCATAAAGTTGATTTTCAATAGCCTGTGTATGCTTCATGAAGACTGTAGATACTGCTCACACAGTGGAATAAAGAAGATGCATATTAGTAGTTTAGCTGGCTAGGGCCACACTACAGTAAGCGCTCAGTGACTGCCACCTGCGTGTAATAACTACTTGTTTGTTTTTGGCTTGAACAACAAGTTGAATACTCTTTTTTTTTTTTTTTTTTGTATCCTCTGACAGCGAACGCTAGCTAAGTATTTCAATCCTTGCTATGCCACTGCTAGGTTAAAACCAACATTCATCAGCAAGGTAAGAGACATAAAACATCCTTTTAAGTTATTCCTTTGTGAATTTTTATAAACCTCAGTCAAAAGCAGCTGAAAATGAGACAGATTTAAATGTATTGACTAGAGGGATTAGCGAATGGGGTCAGGCAGACAACTTTAAGTCCCAATTATTTTGTTCACCAAGCTTTTCAACCCTTTGTAAAGCACTGTGCTTTACTTAGTGGTTTGAGAGTTTGAGCCTCTGAGGTAATAGAGGCATGGAAGGTGAAGAGGTTGGGATGTAATTACTTTCTGAATGAGATGAAAAGGGATGATGAAGAGCCCCTCATGGGTTCACTGCCTCCCGCACAGTGGGGAAAACACTGGATAATAAGATCCTTTCATTTTCAAGATTGACTGCTAAGTGGAAAGGTATGAGAGAAAGTTCTGCTCACTGATAAACAACTGCTGCTGTCAATTGTCCATTCTGTTTTCCTGAGCCTCTTCAGGGTAATAATTGTAGAACATTATACAAAAAGGATGCTGTTAATGGCTCTGAACCCATATTTGTTTTTCAAGTAGCTCTGATAAGTTTCTGAAGTCATTGTTTTGTCTCATTCCTTACGACAGCTCTAACAGGGTAGGGAGGCTGGTCATCTTCAGGACAGACTACCAGGGAAAGACTTTCACTTACATACACAGGGTTTTTTGGCTTGTATGAAATACAGTAATTTGAGTATAACAGTACCCAGAAAGTGGATTATTGAAATGGTACTGGAACAGATGCCTTAAGCAAAGCCCTGTTCTTGTAGGAAGACAAAATTTCAGACAAAATTTATTATTTTTGAAAATCAAGTCAAATCTTTGTTCTTTAGGTACAGAATGAGTGTGCTAGAACAGAGATGCTTCCCTGTGCACATCCCCTCCTGTTTGACACCTGGCAGATTCTCACAGCATACTTCCACACCAAGTGTTATTTCTAGTTGTGTTTTCTTTTCTCTCCTGTGCTTTCAGGGTAGAGCATCCTACTCATTTCCTGCAGAGAGGCTCTTTCATGAGGTGAATGCATTGCAATGTGCTCACCTCATAGGCTCTGACAGGTAGGCAGGTGAGAGAAGCACTGGATGAGGCACTGGCAAATCGGGGTTGCGGGCTTGGTCCTGTTGTCTGCTGTGACTGCAGGCGAGCCACATAACTCATTATCTTTTTTCTTATGAAGAGGTAACTCAATTATTTATGTTGTCATAGGGCTGTTTTAAAAGACAGTTGGAGAAAAGGCAAAGAATTTTGTGACATGATTGAACTGTTTGGAAGTCCAAGGGCAGCTGTGCAGACAGATGACTCAGTTGGTGAAGGTGGTGCTTCTGTGTGTTCCCGCCTGCAGATGTCAGCCTCTGCGGCAGGGATGTTGCCTGCCCTAGCATCAAGCATACTGACGATGTGCTGTGTCACAGTGTCATAGGCTCTGCCCTGTCTGGCAGACTTGAAACAGGCTCCATTTGCCACTTGTTGGCACTATTCATCTGTAACTCTTTTTTGTTTTGTTTTTGTTTGTTTGGTTTTTTTAGGTAAACACAGCAGTCCAGTTAATCTTGGTGGCAGCTTCTTTGGCAGCTCCAGTGTTCAATTATGCTGACAGCATTTACCTTCAGATGCTTTGGTAAGCTACCTTTGGAATTACTCTCTGAGAATGTCCACGAAATGGCTTTTTGGGACAATCCTAGCGTTAGCTTGTTCTCCAAGTGTTTATTGGGCACCAACTAGATAAAGTGGTGGCTGTATTGTGTGGTTGGTAGACACCATTCGTAAGAGGGTTACTTAGTATCAAGTGTGGGATTTAGAAGTAGTTTCATGCAAAGTAAAAGGATGAGAGGCACTGATCATGTGTTAAGGTTTCAGAGAAGGAAAAGAAACTTCCAGGTAGAAAGGAGAAGGAGAGCTTCAGAGAGTAAGTGACACTTGAGCCAGGAGGTGTAGGTGGATTTTGTACAGGCAGAGACAGGGGAGGCCATGAGGTGCAGACCCTGTGCACTGTCAGAGTACAGGAGAGTGGGAGAGAAAGTGAGCCCAGCCTAGTGAAGGGGGAGGGGTGGTGGGAGGGAGACCTGGAGGAAGGAATTTGAATTGTTTTGCCAATTGCTTATTTATAGTCTTGAAAATGTGTCAGATGCAAACTTCCAGAGTTCAAAATGCGCCTATGTAAGTGCACATTCATTCTGATTTATCTTACATCTTCTGATGTAGGAAAAATGCTTTTTGAATACTGGTGTATTAGTAGGAGTTTTTTCTTTCTTGAATGAATTACATCCATAATACAACCTCTCTGCTTTTCTTTTTTGTTTCTTTCTTCTTCTTCTTTTTTGTAAATTATTATTTAAAAGGCAGGGAGAGAGACAGATCTTCCATCTGCTGGTTCACTTCCCAAGTGCTGGCAATGGCCGGGGGCTGGGCCAGGCTGAAACCAGGAGCCTAGGACTTAGTCCAGGCCTCCAAGTAGGTGTCAAGAACCCAAGTACTTGAGCCATCAGTTCAACCTCCCAGAGTACACAGCAGCAGGAAGCTGGAATCAGAAACAGAGCTAGAACTTGAACCCAGGCACTCAGCTAACGGGAGAAGGCATGCCAGGAGGCTCAGCTGCTGCAGCAAAGGCCTGCTCCGGTTTTGTTTCTTTCAGGTGATGCAAGGGCTTAAAACATTTGCAAAAGCCGTCTGAGTATGGGAACTGTCTGGGTCTTTACCATTTTTCTCCAGTCCTTTTACAATCATCTTGCCTGTTCAACACTATTTTTTTTTATCAACTTGCCTTTATTGAGTCTAAATTTTGCATCCAGCTTAGTTTTCAATAATAACAGTTATTCAAACATGTATGTTTTACTGGTTTATCTGTGAGTTTAGAATATCAAACTGGCATGGATAGATTTGGAATCAAACAAAAATGAGTATTGATGATTCTGCCTCACCTGGTGGAAACAGAAGCGATTGGTCCATGGAAAATTTAAAACAGTTTTTTTTTTTTTTTTTTTAAATTAGAAACACATAGCACAAAACAAGTTAGCCCTTGCTAAAGGTACTCAGTAAGAACATGGAGGTAGTGTTATTTCCAGGTAATTGCCACACACATTCTCTCTTTATTCTGACAGTTTACAGAGATGGAAACAGAATTAAAACAGAAGCCATGTGTCCGTGAAAAGTCACCTGCTGGTCACGAGCATTCAGCGTGCCCCAGGCATTGCTCGTGTCACACCAAGGATCTGGTTACTCTGGCAGTCCACTTAAGGAAAAGCCAGAAGAGACAGCGGAATCCATTTAAAACGACTCGTCGAGCCCTAGAGCTCACACAGGCTGCAGGAAATAGAGTTTGATACTCTAGGCTGCATGTGGAAAGGGCACATGGGCTTTAGAAGGAAGCCAGGCACAAACGCAGTTCTGGCGCAGTCCCTGAGCAGGTTCTGTGGGGGTCCATTCCCTCATCTGTAGGATGAAATTGAGAATAAACTTAGAACGTAACAGCTAGACTAATGTCGAGTATGACAGCTTCTAGTGTTGTCATTAATTTTTAGAGCTCATTAACTAGATTAATTTCTTGTCTTATGGGGCCATTGGGGCCAGCGTTGTGGCATAGCAGGTAAAGTTGCCTCCGCCTGCAATGCCAACATCCCATATGGGCACCAGTTCATGTCCCAGCTGCTCCACTTCCAATCTAGCTCCTTGTAATGGCCTGGGAAAAGCAGCAGAAAAATGTCCCAAGTACTTGGGCCCCTGCTACCCACATGGGAGACCCAGATAAGGCTCCTCGCTCTCAGCTTCAGCCTACCTCAGCCCTGGCTGTTGGCAGCCACTCGGGGAGTGAACCAGCAGATGGAAGAGCACTGTCTGTGGATTTGACTTTCAAATAAATATACTGGGGCTGGCACTGTGGCTTTGCAGGTTAAGCTGGTACCTGCAGCATTGGCATCCCATATGGGCACCAGTTCAACTCCTGGCTGCTCCACTTCCAATCCAGTTCTTTGCTAATGTGCCTGGGAAAGCAGCGGAGGACAGCCCAAGTGCTTGGGCCTCTGCACCCAAGTGGGAGACCTGCATGGAGTTCCAGAATCCCAGCTTCAGCTTGGCTCAGTGCTGACTGTTGCAGCCATTTGGAGAGTGAACCAACAGATGGACAATTTCTCTGTGTCTCTGCCTCTCCCTCTCTGAACTCTCCCTTTCAAATAAAATAAACCTTTAAAAAAAAACAAGGGCCAGCGCCGTGGCTCACTTGGTTAATCCTCCGCCTGCGGCGCCTGCATCCTATATGGGCACCAGGTTCTAGTTTCGGTTGCTCCTCTTCCAGTCCAGCTCTCTGCTGTGGCCCGAGAGGGCAGTGGAGGATGGCCCAAGTGCTTGGGCCCCTACACTCGCTTGGGAGACTAGGAAGAAACACCTGGATCCTAGCTTCGGATCGGTGCAGTGCCAGCCGTAGCTGCCATTTGGGGAGTGAACCAACGGAAGGAAGACCTTTCTCTCTGTCTCTCCCTCTCACTGTCTGTAACTCTACCTGTCAAATTAAAAAAATAATAAATAAATAAATGAGTATATCTTTAAAAGAAAAGTTTATATTCTTTTATTTAAACAAATTATACCACATAGCCTTTTATCTTTAAGTAGATCTTTAACATGTGTACTTTATGATGCTGTTACTGTATTTTTAGATTTGACAACAAATTTTATTTTTCCCTTCCGTAAAAGGTGTTTTACAGCTTTCACCACTGCTGCATCAGCGTACAGTTACTATCATTACGGTCGGAAAACTGTTCAGGTGATAAAAGGGCGATGAACGTCATCCAGCACGATGAGCAGGGAGGCAGTAGACGTCCTTGGCTGCAGGGCCCGTGGAAATCTACAGTGGTTTTGGTGTTCAGCTCCAAAAGGACTTGTCGGAACAAACCATGTCCTCAACATTTAAGTAATTCGCATTGAAAATAAGCTTGATCATGGGCAAATGCAGAATTTCCAATGTATTTTTAAATACAAATAAAACTATAATTTAGAATTTTTAATCTTAGGTTTCTTGATTAATTTATAGGAGATAATTATTCTGATTATCGTCAGTCTTTTTTTGATAGGTTTTTTAGAAACTTGATCCAGAGAATGGAAACAGAAGAACTGACTCTTTAAGTAGAATTTGATTGCCCACCAAGCACTAGGGAATTTCCCTGGTTTAAACATATATCCTACGTAACTTGGCTGTCCACTTTCACATTCGATTCTTAGATCCATGTACCCACCAGCAGTTCATGTATTTGATATTTGATCGTTTAGGAGAACGAGAATAGTTAGCTGTGAATGAAATAAAGTTATAAGGTGATTTAAAATACAGTAAGTTTTGCAAATAAGATGAGCAAACAAAATTGAGGTATTGAAGTTCGTGTTCAGCAGTCTTCCAGCCTCTCAGGTGCCTAATTGTGTGTACGGCAGGAAGACAAGGAACAAAGGCAGCTGAAGCGAGAACACGTCCGTTACCTCTGCCTCTTCCCCGGCATCTGACATAGCCATGTTTGTAAGACATTGGAACCTGTACCCAAATGTCATGTAAATAATATGAAAACTGTATATTTTTCAAAGGTTTTTTAAAATTTAAGGAATCATCTTTTGTTAAGATATTAAAAGAATAAAAGCTGGGAAAAAAGTTATGTTTGATTTGTTTTGTAGCATATTGATCTTCTATTGTGTAACTTTTGTGATTTGTAAGGTCCATTCGGATATATCACTTGCCCTTAGATTCTGCAAATAGTTGGTCTGAGGGGTCAGCCAACCTTGTGGTGCAGTGGGTTAAGCCACTGCTTGCAGTGCCATATTAGAGCAACCGTTCCAGTCCCAGATGCTCTGCCTACGATCTAGCTCACTGGTAATGTGCCTGGGAAAGCAGTAGAAGATGGCCCAAGTACTTGGTTCCCTGCCACCATGTGGGGGACCCAGATGAAGTACTTGGCTTTGGCCTGACCCAGCCCCGATCATTGCAGCCATTTGGGGAGTGAACCAGTGGTTGGACGATAATCTCTCTTTCTTCTTTCTCTGCCTTTTTCTACCTCAACCCTTAGAAAAATGATCCAAGGCCGGCGCCGTGGCTCACTAGGCTAATCCTCCGCCTAGCGGCGCCGGCACACCGGGTTCTAGTCCCGGTCGGGGCGCCGGATTCTGTCCCGGTTGCCCCTCTTCCAGGCCAGCCCTCTGCTGTGGCCAGGGAGTGCAGTGGAGGATGGCCCAGGTGCTTGGGCCCTGCACCCCATGGGAGACCAGGAAAAGCACCTGGCTCCTGGCTCCTGCCATCGGATCAGCGCGGTGCGCCGGCCGCAGCGCGCCGGCCACGGCGGCCATTGGAGGGTGAACCAACGGCAAAGGAAGACCTTTCTCTCTGTCTCTCTCTCACTGTCCACTCTGCCTGTCAAAAAATTAAAAAAAAAAAAAAGAAAAATGATCCAGGGGTTGGCATTTGGTGTTGCTGTGGATTCGTTCTAAGAGGAAGAGTGCGGTGGGGGCAAGAGGTGTGGAGTCACCACACAGACACCGGGAGTCAGGTGAAAGCAGGCCAGAGACGAGCAGCCTACAGACTCGTTTATTTCAGTTGGTATAACAGCTTATATAGCCAAGGCAGCCAATCCGGTCAAGGGGTGGTTTATGCCCTAACCATTCACTGCCTGTTGCCAGGCAGGCTCTTTTGCCAGGTGGGTTCCGAAGCCATTCCTGCGTAACTGACACTCGCGTGCGTGCGCCATCTTGGCATGGCCTTCTCATTCCACCACAGTTTGGCACATGGGGTAAGATGCCTCTTGGGATGTCTGCATACCATATTGGAGGGCCTGGGTTCAGGTTCTGTCTCTACTCAATTCCAGCTTTCTACTGATGTACATCTTGGGATGCAACAGATCAGGTCAGGAAGTTGGGTCCGTACCTAGACTGAGTTCCAGGCTTCAGCCTAGACCAGCCCTGGCTGTTAGGGTCAATTGGAGGATGAATCAAGTATTCAAGTCCCAGGCTTTTGGGTACTGAATTGTTATAAAGTACATTAAGTTTATAGTTGGAATTAAATTAAGCATAATCATACGTACATAACAGACCCAAAACAATGTAAATTCATTTTGGTGTTGCCACAGAATAGATACAAATCTCAATGGTAGGCTGAAGCAAGCACTGGGAACATTTAATGACACGTCGCAGGACTTGACACCACTTAGTCACATTTTTGGCTTTTGCATTGCCATTTTTAAGCAGGAACTGGGGGAAATCTGCAAAAATGTAGTCCATTTCTCTTGGTTCCATTGGTAATAAAACTGAGGATCCACCTTAGCATTTGGGGAACTCGGGACCTTAAACCCTCAACAAAGTAACAGTGCAGTGCAGTTATTCAGGTCATAAGGAACTGGCTCAGCTTCTGCAGCATAGCATGGCTTCTGTGCTTTGTTTTGAAGAAAGGATGAAAACTTGACATCTTTTCTGTTATAGCAGAAATGAGTCATTATGGGTTACATTGTGTTCCTCCAGAAGATCAAAATTAACCTCCAGTACCTGGGAATGTGACCTTTGGAAATAGTCTGTGTGGATGTAATTAAGTCAGGATTACAGTGGCCTTAACCGAGTGACTTACGGTATCCTTACCGGAGAAAGGAAGTGTGACCATGGACTCAGAGGTGGCCATGAGATGGTGTAGCACAGAGGGCAGTGAGGTGTGCCAGCCGAGGAGCCCCAAGGCTGGCAGCCGGCACCGCCAGGAGCAGGGCACAGGCAACTCTTAAGAGCCTTGAGGCTGATAACTTGATGTCAGATTTCTGGCCTGAGCTGTAAGAAGATAAATGCTTTTTAAAAGACTATTTGCAAGGCACAGTTACAGAGAGAGGGGGAAGGAGAGGGACATCCGCCTGCTGGTTCACTCCGCAAGTGGTCTCAACAGCCAAGGCTGGGCCAGGCCAAAGCCAGGAGCCTGGAACTGCATCCAATCTCCCACATGGGTGGCAGAGACCCAAGCACTTGGGCCATCTTCCAATGCTCTCCCAGGTGCACTTCCAGTCCACTTCCAGTTGGACTGGAAGTGGGACAGTTGGGACTGCAACTGGTGCTCATGAGATTCAGGGGGCGGCTTAAGCCTCTGTGCCACAATGCTCGCAGCAAGGAAATAAATTTCTGTTGTTCAAGCCACCCAGTTTATTGTCATTTGTTACAGCAGCCATAGGAAACTAACAAATGCTAATGTTGAAAATTGAAACCTAGAAATAGAGCCTCAGTAGTTTCCACCTAACTGTATAGAAGTGAAAACGTGTGTAGTAGACACATCCAACACCAAGACACAAATCACCCCTCTGTTAAGTCCCAAGTTTGCAATTCTGTATCAACTCAATGCTTGTTTCAACATTACCAACAGTGGTAGAGGTAGGGCCCAATAGAAGTCTCCGTGGGCCTTCTTCATACAGGATGATGGCACAGAATGGTTAAGGCATTGTTTGATGGACTTAGGCTTCTAGATAGAGCTGTGGGGTTCTCTAATTAAAAGGGGGGGGGGCCTCTAGACAGCGAGCACTCAGTCTTAGGAAAAGGCAGTAAAGCTAACTTATAAACGCAACCTTTTCCCAATGTTCCCTGCAGTGATGGGGAGGGGGTGGTCTGACGCCAACAGCCAGGTTTCTGGGAACGTGGGAGGCAGGGCCAGCAGCTGTCCCTCGGCCTGGGCAACTGTCAATCTCCCCGCGTGCTGGCTTCGCCCGCCCCTTGGCAGCCTCTGCGCCTTCCTTCCTGCTCCCAGTGGAGCTCGATGGGAGGGTGGAAGCGGGGCTAGCTGAGGGTCTGCAGCTTCAGCGGGTAGTCAAAGGCCGGGTTTCGGTAGGCCACCAGGTGCGTGTCCTGTGGCTGCGGGGGCCGTGGCGTCCGGCACCGCCTGCAGAGACACGCGGCCAGCACGAGGCTGCAGGCGAGCAGCAGGCCGCTGGTGGCGCACAGCCCCGCCAGGATGAGCCCCGAGCTGGGCCTGGTGCTGAAGGCGGCGCACGGGCTCCTGATGCCCCAGGCCTGCGGCCGGCTCAGGCCCGCGCGGTTGGCCGCCAGCACGCACACGCGGTAGGTGGTGGCCGGCGCGAGCCCGTACAGCGGGTGCTCCCGGGCCGTGGCAGGGATGCCCCCCACCACCGACGTGTTCCCCGCCTGGCCCTCCGCGGAGTAGCGGATCTGGTACCCGCGCACCACCGAGTTGGGGGCGCACCAGCGGACGAGCGCCCACGTGTCGGTCGTCTCGGACACCTCCTGCAGCCGCGGAGAGTCTGGGGCGGCGTCTTCCCCGCTGAGGCCGGGGCACCGGCACCGCGAGCGCCTCTGCAGCTCTGCGCACGGGGTCTGCAGGTGCCTGCAGGGGTGGTAATCGCACTCCACGTCGCGGGGAGGTGCCCCCACCTCCGCCGACGTCCCCTCCTCGGCGTCACTGTAGTCGTCCAACAGCAAGACTGGGATCTCGCCTTGGGAAGGGCTTGCGTGGGGAGCCTGGGCGCCTGCCCGCGTCCTCGACTGGGGCTGGGGCGTGCCCAAAGGGTCCCGCCAAGCAGGGACCGGTCCGGGGCGTTGGCTGGCCGGCGGCGTGGACGTGGCTGAACTGCCAGGCTCACGGACAAGGTGCGCACCGTGTGCCGCTGCTCCTCGGAACTGGCTCTCGGCTGTGCTGGCAGCCCTGGGTGGGACGCTGGGTTTGCTGTACCGCTCTGCGCGGCTGGGGGTGCAGGCGGCGGTCCCCTCCCCGATGGCGCTGGGCGGCCCCGCAGCTCCAGTGAGAGGAGCCATCGGGAGCGAGGGCGCCTTGGTGACGCTCCGCTGGCCCCCTGCAGACTGAGTGGAGCCGGTGGAGAGCCCCCGTATGGATGGTGCGTGGGTGGAGCCGCGGAAGGAGGATGCATTTGGAGCAAGAGGGGTGGTGCTTTGGTCCGTCTGGCACACGACGTGCAGCTGTAGGAGGGAGAGAGGGGCCGGGAAGGGGCCACTGGATCCCGCAGCGGGGGCGCACTTGGTGTCTGCTGCCCTAAGGGGGCGGGAGAGGAGGGGGAGTCAATAGTTAGACCTTGTCCGGCTTCAGGGATGTACGAGACATCTTCAGTGCGGGCGTCACCTCCCGCCAAGCGTTGTCAGCACACCTCTGCGGTACCCCTGCTACAGACTCCAGACACCCGAGGCTCCTCCCGTCACCACTCCCACGGGGCGGAGAGGAAACGCAAGTTCAGCAAGAGGAACTAACTATCCGAGACACCAGGGCCTGCGAAGGGCGGGGCCTAACCCGGGCAAGCTCTGTGCGCGGCAGCGCCCACTGCGCTACTCGGTTCCCACCTGTCTGCTCCCTGGCGGTGAGCGCCAGCAAGGGCGTTCACCCTCACGCTCAGAGATGCTTCAGCGTTTCCAGGGTTTCCGGATTTTTTTTTTTTTTTTTTTTTGCATCTACATAATGAGGTATCTTGGGGATGGGACTCAGGTCTAAACACAAAATTCATCTAAGTGTCTTACGCACCATGGACACATAACCTGCAGGTGACTTTATACAATATTTGACAATAATTTTCTGCATGCAACAGAGTTTTCATGGAGTGGGATTTTCCACTTGTGATGTCGATGCTCAGAAAATTTCAGACTTGAAGCATTTTTGGAGTTGAGACGCAGAGCAGGGCTGCTCCACCTGCGGTAGCTAACATTTTGAGTTCTCGCCATGTGCTAGGGTTATTCTTCACGATTTCCCCTACCGACTAATTTAATCTGCTCTACCTTAGGCAGGCACTACTTTTCCCATTTTACAGATGAGAGGGTAGAGGCATAGAGAGGCTAAGAAACTCATCTAAAATCAACAGTATGAAGCCAGGCTCTGGTTCAAGAAGCTGCCCTGGGAAGCTCTTCATTAGCACCACAGTGAAACCTGACTGCAAAGAGCCTGGGGTGGGGGTGGACCCTGACAGGGCCCCACTTCACAGCCAGGCTTGGGAGGGAGGCAAGAAAAGAACCCCGCAGGACGAAGCTGGTGGCTTGTCTCCCAACGAGGAGCAGTCAGCTGGTGCTCAGGATCTGGGGTGTCCAGCAGCCCAGCCCCACCTGGGGAGCGAGCCTGGGTATGGCTCCCCACTGCAGAAACAGCTCATCTAGCCCTCAGTTTCCACAGTTCTTCTCCTCCCTGCCTCACAGGAAGCTACTGGCCTTGGGCTGAATTGCCCAGGACCAGGAGGCCGGGCTCTACACTGGGTTTGCACAGGAGCCCAGTGGTTAGTAACAGTTTCGGAGGAAGATGTTTCCTGCCTCCTCCATCCAGTGGCTGCATGAATTTCAACATCTCTTTGGGTTCCCCTTTCCTTTATCTGTGAAATGGGGCAACAGTAACACCTCCTTGGCAGAGACCAGCTAGCTGTCTTTCCCACTGGGTACCCAGCTAGACAGTATTTCCCAGCCTCCCTGGCAGCTAGGTGTGGCCTTTTCATGGACTGCTGGCCAGTGCGTGTAGAAGTGAGGAGTGCCAGCCACTTCCTTGCCTGGTCCATTAAAATCATCCCAGAGGGCCAGCGCTGTGGCATAGTGGGCTAAGTCTCTGCCTGCAGTGCCAGCATCCCATATGTGTGCCCGTTCCAGTCCCAGCTGCTCCACTTCAGATCCAGCTCATTGCTATGGCCTGGGAAAGCAGCGAAAGATGGCCCATGTGCTTGGGCTTCTGCACCCATGTGGGAAACCTGAAGGAAACTCCTGACTCCTGGCTTCGGATCAGCTCAGCCCCGGCTGGCTGTTGCAACCATTTGGGGATGGAAAACCAGTGGATGGAAAACCACTCTCTCTCCCTCTCTCTCTCTCTCTCTCTCTCTCTGACTCTGCCTCTCTGTAACTCTGCCTTTCAAATAAACAAACAAATAAATAAATATTTTTTTTAAAAAAATCGTCCCAGTTCTACTTTTCCATGCTCCTTGCCCCTTTACTATGTGACCACATTGGGGACAGCCGCCCTGTCCAGACACAGTGACCAGAGTGCGAGCTAAGCAGGGAGAGCTGAAGCTCCTGCAGGCTAGCCCTGGCCCCTCTGCCATTTGCCATCTTAAGAGTATTACCTGCTGAGGACAGTTCTGTTTGTATCCGCGAGGAGCCACGACAACTCGCAGCTGCAAGTGAGGGGGTTGCCAAAGAGGTTGATGGATAGGAGCTGGGAGGAATTTAGGGTCCAAGGCGGGAAAGAACTCAAGTTGCAGCTGAAATACACACACACAAAATCAATTAAATCAGGCTTTATATTCCCAGGGGCATGGCAGCGTCACAGGAAAACACCATGCTATTAGAAACTAAATGATATTGCTTTGCAGAAAACCCTTAATGACCTTGGACTTATTTATCTTATTTATTTATTTATGGCCATCTGAAATGAAGATACTAATCCAAATCAATCAATATCATCCTCCAAATCAAAAGGGGACCATATGCCCCTGCCCGCTGGTGATATAAAAGAGTCCTCTATGATGAAAGTGTTCATGGATGTAAATCTCTACACAAAAGTAGACTCTTTACTTACAGACCAGATACAAGAAATACAGACAGTCTCAATGACAGCACAACTGAACATACACTGTCGAAGCCAGACTGCAGCTGATGGCACGCAACCCCAGTGCTTTGGAAGATGCCTCACTGGAGAGCGTCAGTTAGCTCTTGCTAGGTAGAAAATATTCCCCAAACCACATAGCTGAAAGCATCAATATTCTTTCACATGATCCCATAGGTTGGCTCCTGCTTTGTGGTTCTTGTGGCCTGGGCCAGCTCAGCTGGGCCTGTCAATCTAGGAGGCCTGATGTACTTGGAGCATCAACAAGTGCACCAGGACCCTTCCACGTGTCCCTCTTCACCCAGGAGGCTAGCCCAGGCTATCACATGGTAGTGCAGGGGTCCCCGACAGCAGGAGAAGGTGAGCTCCAACATTCAAGTCTTTCTGGATTTTGCTTACATCACACTGGGTAATGTCCCACTGACCAAAGCAAGTCATCTGGCCAACCTCAGCTTCAAGAGGTGGAGACAGAAACTCCATGAAATGGGAGAGGAGCTGCAACCACCTGGCAAAGGGATGTGTCCCCAGAGTTGCAGAGTCTACCACACCTCACAATGGCAGAGCCACTCCTGGCTCTCTCCTTTGTCTCCCCTAGAATCCCAGAATATTTGGTCTCAACTCTCCCCACTCCCAGAATCTACTGGTCTTCCCAGATTTTGCCTCTTTAACAAGGCTTCCATTATAACTGATCAGAGCAACATGAGGTGCCTTTTATGTTCAAGTCTCTTCCCATCAGAGGATGGCTTTCCTCCACCTGCCTGGTAACCTCCCTCCTCATACTGCTTGGGAGCAGATGCTGATGCCTGGGACGAGGAAAGCAGTGCCACCCAGATCTGCTCTATCACTTCTTGTCTGTGGGAAGGTGACAGCTCCATGTTGGCAACACTAGGCATGTGCATATGCCACTAACATTGGAACTTAAGCCACACCCACACATATGAGCTTTCGAGACATGGACCAACCACGTTCTTCCTGAAGGTGCCTCACTGATCCTTCTTTTGGAAGAATAATCCCATCTTTGGTGGAGGCACTGTGTAAAATGGGACCTACCCTGAGATTCTCCAGGGATTTCAACCGATAACAATACTTTCATCTAACAACATTTGCAAAGCTCTGTTGCGCTTTCATTTCATTATCTCACTGGGCCCTGAAGGGAGGTGGGAAAGGTATTATTATTACCTGTTGACAAATATCAGGCTACAAGACCAGTGCTGTGACACAGCAGGGTAAGCTGCCACCTGCAACAACATCCCACAGCACAGTGCTGATTCAAACCTGGGCTGCTCTGCTTCTGATCCAGCTCCATGCTAATGTGCTTGCATGGCAGTGGATAATGCCCTCAGTGGTCCCTGCTACCCATGTGGGAGAACAGGATGGAGATCCTAGCTCCTGGCTTTATCCTGGCCCAGCCCTGGCGGTTGCAGCTATCTGGGGAGTGAACCAGTGGATAGAAGATTCTCTCTCTCACTCTCTCTGCCTTTCAAATAAATAAATATATAAATAAGTAAATAATTCTTTAAAAAAGATCAGGTTCCAAGTGGGTTGGCCTGCATAAATCTCATAGCTGAACTAAGATTTAATATTATTTCCATTTCAAATATTTTATACATGGTCAATGTCACAGAAAAAAAAAAGGTGTCAAATAACAGGATGTTTAAAATGGGATTATTTCAGGCTCAAGTTCAACAGAAACTATAAAAGGCTGAGAATAATGCCTGAGGGCCTCCCTGTGCTGAAGGGCGATACTAGACCCCCTGTGCAGATCAAGGGGAGGGACTGAGAGGCGGGTTTACTGACCCATCATTCATCCTTAAGCTCTATGAGACCAGATCCGAAGGTAGAAGAAACCGGGCACTGAAGACCATTCTGGAGGCTCCATAAAGTCCTCGCCCTGACCACAACATGGGCAGAAGGGAGATGCTCCCCAGAGCCCAAGGAAGCCACCTCACTCCTTAAGCCAAATGAGGGAAGGGGCTTCAGGACCCCTGATGTCCCTCAGGATTTGGGGGATACAAGGACATGGTCTGACTCACATGTGAGAAAGCCAAGGGCAAGAGGCTACATAGAGCTAGCAGAGAAAACAGAATTGGCTCCAGTGGGATTGACAGGAGCACAAAGGTGCCTGCTTCCCGGCTCCCATATGTGAATCCCAAAGGAGAGAGGGAGCATTGGGATCGTCTTCACATGAGTCCTTTTCCTGCTAGAAGTTAGGACAGTGCTGCTCTTGGGAAAAAGGAGTAAGCATAGGGGCCGGCATTGTGATGCAGTGGGTTCAGTTGCTGCCTGCAGCACTGGCATCCCTTATCAGAGTGCTGGTTGAAGCTACGGCTGCTCTGCTTCGGATCCAGCTCCCTGTTAATGTGTCTACGAAAGCATAAAAAGACGGCTCAACTACTTGAGTCCCTGCCACCCACGTGGGAGACCCAGGTGGAGTTCCAGGTTCTTGACTTTGGCCTGACCTAGCCCCAGCTGCTGTGGCCATCTGGGGAATAAACCAGTGGATGGAAGATTCTCTCTCTCTCTCTTGCTCTCACTTTCTCTATGCTTTTCACATAAATAAATCTTAGGACAAAAAGAGTAAGTGCAAGAACACATTGGACATCTGCTTGGCCAGAGGGCACCAACCTCAGGTCCCAACTGCATGTAAGATCTCTCCATCCTCTTAGCCTTCCTCCTGATATCCTGGACCTGCTCAGGCCCTGGAAAGCACTGAACGTGGAGAAGGAGGTGGGTCCAGACAGAGAGAGCCCGGAGGTCCTCATCACCCCTTCCACTGCACACTTACCAGCTCAGCCAAAAAGAAACTTGAAAAGCCCAAGCATTGGTGAGGTTAACATTACTGTGGCCTGTCTGAGCTGCACAGTGACTAGGCTGGCTGGGTGATCTGGGACCTGCTCAGGATATCACCCAGGGGGTGAGGAAGAACAAAACCCCAGAGAGGACTGGGAAGACCATGGGAGAAAAAGTAAGGTCCAGCAGGCTCTGTAAAATTCAACACAGCGTAACGGACAACTGCTGGCCATGCGACTGAGATGTGTCTCTGAAACACTCACTTCTGCAGCAGAAGAAGCTGGAGGCGAGGAGTATCTTGAAAGATGGCTGTGTGGACAGAGGTCAGTGCCGGGGAGTCTTGACAATCCAGGTGCTGCAGGCGAGGCGTCATCTTGAAAATGTCCCCCTCCAGGGTCCTCAGCCTGGGCATCCCCCTCAGGTAGAGGGACGTGAGGTTTGGCAGGTCTCGCATCCACCCGGACTCCACTGAAACACACAAGACACCTGTCCACTGCCCAGGAAGGAGCAAGCCCAGGAGGCCAGCACAGCATCGGGGAAGGTCATTGCCAAGAACGGGCACAGCCAGGGGCTCTGGAAACCCCAGAAGTTTGGCTATCTCAGCTGGAAGGGCCCTCGGGGGAATCAGTCATTCCTCTCTCCCAGCTCCCAAAGCCAGAGAGGTAGAGCTCACTGGCCAAGGCCCCACAGGTGGAAAGAGACAGAGCTGAGACTTGAGCCCAGGACACTGTCTCCAAGGCTGCTGCTGCCCCAGCTTCTTAAACTCCACACACAGAGTAGGCTGACTATACACTGACGGCTTCCAGGGTGGGGGACTTTAAAGGCAAATCAATAAGGAGGGGAGGGGAAGCAAGGCTGGGAGAGGCTCCCAGACCTCATTTTGGAGCCCTGCTAATAAAGGGAGAACGTGCCCCTTGTGCGCTGTAATTTCTGTTCCTGGTTTCTCTCTGTGTCTGTAGTAGAACAGGTGGTTATAGACACATGAAGGGTATTTTTTATTTTTAAGTAACAAAATTGGGCTGGGCGCTGTGGGTAGAGGGTTAAGCCTCCTTCTGCAATGCTGGCATCCCATTCCTGTTGCTCCACTTCTAATCCAGTTCTCTGTTAATGCCCTGGGAAAGCAATGCAAGATGGCCCGAGTGCTTGGGCCCCTGCACCCACATGGGAAACCCAGAAGAAGCTCCTGGCTCCTGGATTCAGCCTGGCCCAGCCTGGCTGTCGCTGCCATTTGGGGAGTGAACCAGTAGATGGAAGATCTCTCTCTCTCTCTCTCTCTCTCTCTCCTTCTCTTTCTGTATTTGTGACTCTCAAATAAATAAATAAAATCTTTTTTTTTAAAGTAACAAAACCAATCTTGTGAATCAAAGGACACCAAATATAGGGCATCCTTTGACCTCACCTCCCTCCCTGTGCCGTGTTTGAAATTTTCAACAATCACAGGTCACCTAATGCTAACTGCCTGGTGCCAAGTTCATGCACTAACCAGCCCCAAAGCCAAGGATTCCCGTCTCCATTGTACACACACGTTTCCAGCTATGGCGGGAGCAGCAGAACACAGTGATCTGGAATGCCTGGGTTCAGATGTGGAGATTGGAAGAGTTCCCACATCTTGGGCATTAACCTCTGTGTGGCCGTTCAGACACCGCTGGCTTGCTCCGGAAGTGGGGCTGGAGCTAACTGGAGGTTCCACTATGAACTAGGTGAAGAGGTCATCCCTTGGGAGAGCCCTCCCTGGCCCCAGCAGCCACGCCCAGCGGGCAGGACACCAGACTTACCGCGCTCCAGGGACGTGCCGCTGAGATCCAGGATCTCCAGCGTGGCCAGCGGCGCGCCGTCCACCCCCGCGAACGCTTCCTTGGCGATGGCCTCCGCGGCCCCGCGACCCAGCTCAGTGCATGAGAGGTTGAGGAACCGTAGCTCGGGAAAGCAGGCGAAGGCCCGGGGCTGCAGCGCCGGCAGCGGGTTCCCGACGAGCGTCAGCGCGCGAAGGTTGCGCAGCGCGGGCCCGGCGCACGGCGGCAGCGCGGCGATGCGGTTGTAGCTGAGGTCCAGCGAGTGCAGCGCGGCGGGCCCGCCGGGGCCCCAGTGCAGCGTGGCGATGCGGTTGTGGCGCAGCGTCAGCACCTGCAGCTGCGACAGGTGGCCGAGCTCCGGCGCGCTCAGGGAGCGCAGCAGGTTGTGGCTGCCGTCAAGGCTACGCAGCGCGGGTGGCAGGCAGCTGGGCAGGCGCTCCAGGCTGCGATTAGCCAGGGTCAAGGCCGTGGCCCCCGCGGAGGGAATCCCCTCGCAGGGCGAGCCCGTGGCGTTGCTGCCAGCACTACCCCAGGGGAACTGAGTGATCCGGAAAAGCGGGACCCTGCCCTGGGACGGCTCTGCTCGGCTAGGGCGCAGAACCGTGGGCGGCAGCAGCAGAAACAGCAAGACCGGCCACATGGCGCGTGGCTGGGGAGGGAACAGCAGGACAGCCCATTAACCTCAGCAAGGAAGGAGCAAACGTGCCAGCTCCCCACTATCTCCGGCTCTTGGAGGAGCACAGGTCCGGAGGTCCTCTGGAGGCCGCTGGGTGTGACTCTGCCCCATTACAACTGTCTAGCCCCAGGACGTCCTAGGTTGCAAAGCTCATGTTCTAGCTCCTGTTCCTAGAAGGCTCTCAGGACTGCCTGCCGTCTCCCACACAGCTGTGAGGCTCAGGACCCTGGCAGCAAACATTTCCTGGTGCTATGTGGGATCCAACCAAAGCCCCTGTGGCAGCCCTATCCCCCAAGGGACCCAGGACTGCATGGAGCAGCTGGGAGATCAGGTTGGGGTGGATCAGGCCTGCACTGGCCTGGCAAGGCCCTGGCCCTGAGGTCACTGCCTCACCTCATGCCCCCCACCCCCAGAATGCAGACAGACCTGTGTGTCCCTGCACCTTGGCTGCTGACCACCTCAGCGCTGAGCAGTCACCCAGGAGCCAGGGGCAGGGCCTCCCTCTTGCTCATCGGGGGCCCAGGCAGTGCGAGGGATCCTGAGACTGGGGCAGCAGGTCACACTCACCGGAGAGGGTCCTGTGGGACCGCGGCGGCCCTGGAAGCTCCTTTGCCGTCCTCAGGCTTGGTTTATAGATTCCAGGAAGCGGTGACTGAGGCAGCAGCTCGGAGCTCAACTCCAGAGGGAGGCTTGCTTCCCCGCCGCCCCTCCCCCACCCCATCCCTGGGAGGGCCAGAGACACTCCAGGTCCTGTGGCCCCTCCTCCCCTCCTCCTGCACCCTCAATGACCCGTCTCTCTCCTCCTCTCTGGGGCCTGGAACCCCCCCCCCCCCCCCCCCCGCTTCGCCTCTCCTTCCACCGCCCTGCCCAGGCGGGAGTCAGCTAGTGGGCTAAGGGACTTGGGGAGGCAGAGGCCACAAGGCTGTCTCCACCAAGGGATCCGGTCCTCCTGACCAAGTGATTCCCACTTCCTGGGTAGGCTGGCGGCTGAATAGTGGGCCGGGAAGAGGGAGACAGCCCCTTACCCGTGGGGAGGGAGGGTGTCAGAGAAGGGTTGCAGAGATGCACAGGAAGAAGCAGCCAGCGGCGAGGGGATCTGGGAGCCAGGTCAGGCTGGGCCAGCGTGAGCCTGACCTGGCTCCTGGGGTCCACAGGGAGAGTTTAGGAGGTTGCCGCAGGGCTGCTGAGCGCCAGTGTGCGTCGCTCTCTCACAGGGAGGATGCATGAAGGGGGCAGAGGCACCAGGAGCAGTTCTGCCCTGTGGCTGGGGTGGCGGATCCTGACTACCCATAGCGCTGGGTCTCCGGACCTGCTGCTGAAAGAGCTTGGTTTCCCGCACGGTTGCTTCCAGCAGACCCACTTTGCTCCTCCAGAGCCCTGGGGAGAGCGATCATCTTGCTCGCCGGCCGCCTCACCCTGTCCCCCTGGACGGCCTGAGAAGTGACTGGGATTCCCTATCCCCAGCTCTGGGAGACGGGCGCTGAGACCAGAACACCACGTATCTATCCTCCTGCCAGTCCTACTGGGGGGAACAGGCCTGCTGGGATAAATAGATAATTGGAAGTCCCTGGAGGCGCCTTTGAAGCCTCCCAGAGCCTCAGAAGTCTCCCTTCAGTCTGGTGTCAGCTGGTGGCCTTGCTACTCAGAAGCTTTGCTTCCTGTGCCTGAGCGGGGCAATGAGAGCTGTCTGCCCCTCCCCCACCCCTCCCATCCCCCCACCCCCTTTTGGGGCCAACACTGTCACCACCAGGGAGCCTGGGCCCAGTCCTGGCTGTTGCTGGCATTTGTGGAGTGAGCCAGCAGATGGAAGATCTCTCTCCCTGTCTGTCACTCTGCCTTTCTCTTCGAAAATATTGAGAATTGAGCACTTACTGTAGCCAGAGCCTCGTGCCCTATGCATTGTCTCATTGAATTCTCTCCATTTACTGTTATTTGCATAACACAGATCAGGAAGCTGAGGCTCCCAGAGGTGGACTAGCTTCTGAAGTGCACAACCTGGGAGCTGGCTGCCTTAGCGGCTGGGTTAAATAAACTGCAGCATGTGACGCTGTAATATTCCCATTCTGCACAAGAGCACAGTTCTCAAATATTTAGCTTGATCCAAATCATGCAAGAAGCCAGGACAGGGGGAAATTTCCTTTTGTGGTTGATTTTCAGGATACGCAAAGCTGGTCTCTTGGTCACCATGGACCTAGGACTGATGATGACGCCAGGGTGCGCCCTATCCAGCATCCTTGGAGAGGCCCCGGCTCTCTCCTCCAGCCCCTTCTCCTCTTTCCACACTTCTTGGAGGCCAGGAAATGATGACTGAAGTGTTTGTCCCCTTCGGAGGAGGAAGCTGAGGTCCCTACAACATTGCATCCTGCAGATGCCACGCCAAATGCTGCACCACCCTGAGTGCCATGCGACCTCCTGCACCCCAGTGCCTCTCCCTGAGCTGGTCCCCCCTGCCTGCCCAGGTGCCACCCCCCTTATCACCTTGGTCTCCATTTAGCTCATTCCTCTATACTGCGCATGGGTTTCCTCAAAAGGAGGCCTTGAGTTAAGGATTTGGGCGCAGGCAGTTGATTTGGGAGGGGATCCCACACACCTAGAGGGGAGGGGAAGGTACTGACAGTATGTGCAGGAACTGGTGGTTCCTGTGGGCAACAGCGGTTCAGCCCTGCTGCGGACCCTGTGAGCAGCAGCTGGCGAGGAAGAGGTGGCGTATGTGCCCGCTAGCCCCTGCTTAATGCTAGCTTGAAGGTTCTTCCTGCAGCTTTAACTCCCTGGCCTGTCTGGCTCCCTCTGAGCACAGATAGAGCAACTCATAGAGGGCACTGAGAGCATCCGCTGCAGCCCCTCCCTTGCCTCCCTGGCCCTGAATTGGACGTCTTCCTTGGAGGTCTTGCCCAGGTGACAGAGGTCACTGCCTTGAGGCAGATTGCTGTGGCTCCTCTGTCACTCAGGACAGGGCTTGCTGAGAACCAGGCTGTGGCACTTGTGTTGGTAGCCACAGTGCCCAGGGTGGAGTTCAGCTGTTGGGGGAAACACCCACAAGTACATGATGGATCGTGAAGTCCCCAGTGGTGCCCAGGAGCGGGTACAGCAGGACTCAGAATAGTAAAAGTGAAATTCATTGGCTGCCTGAAGTTGGCACCTCAGATCCTCCAGTGTCGCAGTGCTGAGACTGGATAAGGTGAGGGTGGAGGCTGGGGTTGGGTAGCAGAGGTGGAGGTGGGAAACTTAGCCACAGAGAATTCCCAATCCAGATTCCCAACACTCTCCGGGATCTGTGGGCAGAAAACTCTCTTGGAGGATCACAAAAGTAGAGTGTTAGTAAATCCATAACCTACAAAGAGACAGTAATAATATTCTTGGCTATTTTTCTCTATTTAAGGCAAAAATCAGAGTCACATATCTTTGGTCTTAGAAGGGACTTTTTTTTTCTTTAAAGGAGATTTATTTATTTATTTATTTGAAGGGCAGAGTTACAGATAGAAAGCAACAGAGATCTTCTATCCACTGATTCACTCCCCAACATGGCCACAATAACAGGAGCTGAGCCAGGCCAAAGCCAGGTGCCAGGAGATTCTCCTGGGTCTCCTGTGTGGGTGGCAGGGGCCCAAGCACTGGGCCATTTTCTGTCATCCTTCCAGGCGTACTAGCAGGGAGCTGGATCAGAAGTGGTGCAGGCCGGCGCCGCGGCTCAGTAGGCTAATCCTCCGCCTTGCGGTGCCGGCACACCGGGTTCTAGTCCCGGTTGGGGCGCCAGATTCTGTCCCGGTTGCCCCTCTTCCAGGCCAGCTCTCTGCTGTGGCCCGGGAGTGCAGTGGAGGATGGCCCAAGTGCTTGGGCCCTGCACCCCATGGGAGACCAGGAGAAGTACCTGGCTTCGGATCAGCGCGGTACGCGCGGCGGCCATTGGAGGGTGAACCAATGGAAAAAAAAGGAAGACCTTTCTCTCTGTCTCTCTCTCACTGTCCACTCTCCCTGTCAAAAAAAAAAAAAAAAAAAAAAAAGTGGTGCAGCCTGTGGGGCTGGAATTGTGGCATAGCAGGTAAAGCTGTTGCTTAGGAGGCCAGCATCCCATGTGGGCACTGATTCGTGTCCCAGCTTTTCCACTTCTGATCCAGCCCTTGCTAATGGCCTGGGAAAAGCAGTGGATGGCCCACATGCTACCCATATGGGAGACGTGGATGAAGCTCCTGGCTCCCAGCTTTGGCTTGGCTCAGCCTTGGCCATTGCAACATCTGGGTTGTGAACCAGCACATGGAAGATCCCCCACACCATCTCTTTGTAACTCTGATTTCAAGTAAACAAATAAATATTTTTTTTTTTTTAAAAGAAGTGGAGCAGCTGGGATTGAGTTGGTGCCTATGTGGGATGCCAGCATCGCAGGTAGCAACTTACCCTGCTGGACCCTGACACTGGCCCCAGAAGGGACTTTGGAACTTGTCTTGTGGGTCTGGCTTTGTGGAGCAGCAGGGTAAGCCATCACTTGCGATGCTAGCATCCCAAATCACAGTACAGGTTCATGCCTGGAAAAGCAGTGGATGGATGATGACCCAAATGCTTGGACCCCTGCCACCTACATGGGAGACCCAGATGGCATTCCACATTCCTGGCTTCAACATGGACTAGCCTCAACCATTGTGGCCATTTGGGGAATGATCTATTGGATGGACGATCTCTCTCTCTCTCTGTCACTCTGCCTTTCAACTAACTAAATAAATAATTTTTAAAAAATTTATTTTATTTATTTGAAAGAGTGACAGAGAGAGGTACAGACACAGAGAGAAAGAGGTCTTCCATCTGCTAGTTCAACCCCCCCCCCCCCCATTAAATGGTTACAACAGCCAGAGCTGAGCCAATCCGAAATCAGGAGCCAGGAGCTTCTTCCGGGTCTCCCATGTGGATGCAGGGGCCCAAGGACTTGGGCCATCCTTGACAGCTTTTCCTAGGCCACAGCAGGGAGCTGAATTGGAAGTGGAGCAGCTGGGACTCAAATCAGTGTTCATATGGGATGCCTGGGCTGCAGGCCGAGGCTTTAACCCTCTGTGCCACAGTGCTCCCCAATAATGTTTTTTAAAGAGCTTGTCTGGTCCCATCCCTCTCTGTCCATTTTAGAGGAAGAAAACTGAGCCCCCGAGAGGGCTACTGGACTGTCTGAGGTCACATGGTGACCGACTGAGCAGCGAGAAGGGAGGGTGAGCTGATCCTCACTACTCCACTCTGGGCACAGGTGACCCCATCTCCCTGTCCTGCTATGAGCAATGCAGGCCTCTTCCTGCTGATGTCAGGCCACTGGGAAGACTGCCTTGGGGTTTTGACCCCTGCTATCCCATCCCAATCCCATAACTCTGAGAACAAATGTGCCAGTGCAGGCTGCCCCAGAGACCTCCCTCTGGGGTTCTGTCAGGCTCTGACCACAGCTCTAGCAGCCCGAGGTGGGGTGTCCCAGCGCTGAGACCGGATAAGATGCTCAGCCAACCACCCCTGCTGGGCCCCCCATGCCAGCCGGCTCTGCTGAGTTCTCCCGGGATTTTGTAGAAGGAATGTGCAGGCTTACAGACCGCATTCTTCTCTGACAGCAGAGATAAGCCAGGGAACAGGAGGGAGATTGTGGGAGGAGATGGTACCAGGTTGTCAAGTCTCCTCTCTGGAATGGTATGCAAAACAGGCTATCAGTGGGTGGGGACCAGGACCTGTGAGCTGGCTCACC